ATTATGCCTTTGACTACATAACCACAACTAGCCTGTGATCATGTGCTTGTGTTGGGCGTTTTTCATCTCGTACCCAGATCTCACTTTTATTAGTCTTACGAGGTTGGGAGTTTTTATGCTGTCTCGGCAGGGGAGAAATAGGTCTAGCGAACATTCTTAAACGACGCCAGAACAAGCTCAAGCAACATATTCAAATGCAGGTGACATACCAAAAATTTCGCAAATAGAAAACAATTTTCAATGCCTATTAATAATTTACAACAGTGTAAAAGTCGCGCACTAGCCTGCGTAGCAAGGGTTTCCGCGCGTGTTCGTCCAGAAAATTGGGACGAGAGCAAAAAAAGGAATGAAGGGGTTTGCGGGCAAGCGTTTCCTCTTCTCTCTTCCCCCTCCCCCTTCCATTTTTTTTTGCTCCCGCTCCAACTTTCGCGCTATAACTCGACTGGAAATGCTTGCTACACAGGCTAGTCGCGCACGAGAGACAGGGAAAAATATTTGCGGCGGGATTACATCATTTCCATAATCTATACTCTCATAGACATAGCTTTCCACCGATAAACGCGTGAGAAATCACTCAGGTTAGTTACTGTAAAAACGTTTCTTCAGCACATTTCGTTTGGGAAAAAATATTATAAAGGCCACAAATTTTTAACCACAAATAACCAACAAATAAAGAAGTTGTTGTATCTGCCACTTTGGTAGAATTGACTGGTTAATTCCCCAACCCAGCTTTCTCAACACATTCCTTGTTTAAGAAAAATGCAATTTCAGGAAGAAAGTTCCAGCCAGAGTGGAATTTAATCCAATGTCAAACTTATTGTTGTCTATGTAGGCCTTCATTGCACAAACTTGTTCCCCATTTTTAATGGTACAAATTTGACAAGAACGCATTGCATGAAGGGAAGTACCAACAAAAATTGGGGTCTGACTCCACTTCTGCAGCACCCAATATAAAATTATAGTGCCCAGGCCACAATTTGCCGTGTAACCGCAACAAAATTTTAGCCCGGCCTGAAACGCATGACATTATCGGTGGTATTTTCTAGGCATTCAGATTGTGGGGACAAAGCAAAAATAAGGGAGCAGAAAAAGGGCCTAGGGAGAGTTGAGGTTGTACTCCACTGTCCAAAAACGTGGAATAGTCTAAATAAGCTCCTTTATACAGACTAAGCTCTTACTAGTGCTTCACACCTAGCTTATCTCTTGCATAAATTTTAAGGGTTCACTGTTCTACAACAAGACAGTCTTCTGTGTAGTCTTTAAAAAGCGTTCAGGAATGCAGTGGGCTGGTAACAAATACATTGCACACAACACATCATTTCCATCAAGACATTCTCCATTAATGGTTAAATACCTCGAATGATGTGTAAATAATTAAAACAATAGAGCATAAACCAAACAAAAATTACAACATTGCTGTGCTCAAAGTTAACTTTTTAGTACACATGCTAAGTTTTGCTACCAAGTTTTTTTTCCACTAGTGAACTGGTGAGACCACTAACAAATTCTTTCCCTTTGTTTGGATGATTCTAACTCACAAACATTTGCTAGTGGATATTTTTCTCACTCGCAGATTATCAAAATCACGCACATTTTGCGAGTTTGCGAGCGGTTATTTCAAGCCCTGCATTGTCTGGGGTGGGCTTGTATGATACAAGATATATATGATATATGACTGGATTCATTTATTGAATAATCTTCCATGCAGCTGTTTTTTGTCTCATCACACAATGCTTGTCAGGGGTGAGTGTGATGAGATAAAAATGGCTAAATGGGAGACTACTTATGGGCCAGTGAAAGACATTTTGGAAATTATCAGAGATGAACAGGTTATAAGCTTAATTATGAAGCTAACATTCAAAAAAAGAAGGCTTCCTATTTTCTCCTCTGTCAGTCCTCCTTGAACCTTTCACTTTTAGTTGAACACACATAATGAGACACATTTAACACAGTTAAAAGAAAACAAATAGTGTATGGTATCAGGTACAAAGGGAGGACTGGGGCTTGAGCCACAGCAATACTAAGCATAAAGCACAGGTAGACCAGGGAACGAGGTACTACTATAAGTGGATCAAATAAAGTGATGTTTATACTGATAACCACTGAAAACAGAGAAGTGTGATCGGCAGACAGACGGAAAGAAAGGCTAATGTTTTTAGCCCATACTGCCAATGCGGGGATATTTATGCTGATAACCAGTAAAGTAAGCACACATAAAGTTAAATAAAAGTTTCCAAAACTTTCCAATAATGCCATTAGTCTCTTGTCTTTCTGCTGTATTTGTTCTTTCTTTCTGAAAGCTTTAACGATGGCAGCATATTTCCAGGTTTTCCAAAGGCATACAAGGAAGATGAGAACAAGAGCCAGTGTTCCACAAAAAAGAAAGGCAGTCACGACCTCAACCACCATGAAGATCCAATCCTTAGTCCCAAGTTTTGTTGGTATTTGAGGTAACACTTTGAAATGACTCAAAATAAAACCACCAAGCCTAGCAAACATTCCAACCCATACAAAAAGAGTTATAACAATAATGACAGCTGTAGATATGATTAAAACAAGGGGGATCAACCAGATGAAGGTCTTTAAGTCATCGATGTTGGGGAGCCAACTATGTTGGCCAATATCACCTTTCCACACAAAATATGCCAGCACAAGCTGTGAAATAAAGAAATGACTTTGAATGACAAGAAGCAGAACTCTAAGGCTCTTAGCAGCATTTGCCACTAAACTAAAGAATGAGTCACATTGCTGTTCATTGTTCATTGATGAAAGCTGCCACGCAATCACCAACATAACTACAGAAAATGCCCAGTAAGGTAGCTGAACATAATAGAACCTGTAAATTTGACCAAGAGTTTGATAAAAATCAAACTGAGCACTGACTCTATGTGAACACTTCGGATCAAGCCAAAGGTGTATCTGGACATGTTCTCTTGTTCCTCTTGGTTTGGGGTGATTTAGTTTCAACACAAGGTTTGCATGTCCATTGCTTGAAAAACTGTATTTGTCTTCATTGAACCATGGCACATGAATCCTTCCTATCAGCAATGAATTTCTATTATCACAGTCCATAGCTTCAACATAAAAAACAAATACTTTCCAGGCCTTGGCTACAGATTTTATGCTTATGTTAGCAAAAATGGTATCAGAAGGAATGTCAAGAACAGTTGATTTTCTTGCAAATAATCCCGGTAACTGAACATTATACACAGAACTGTCAGAGGAATGAAACTCAGACCACACTATATTAGATCTTGTTGATGGAGGTACATGAACAGCCAAGTACTCCATTTCTGCAAAATTTGCTAGATCAAGTTTTACAAACTTCATTGCTGTTCCATTCCAAGGAAGCAACTCAGCAAGATGAGTTAAGTCTGTTACAGTGCTACATGCTTGCCCTGAAGTTTTCTGACATCCCAGCAACCAACTCTCAGACTCAACAGATGTCATTATTATCAGAAAATTATGTGTTGCAGTCCATTCATCTAAGGAAAATGCAAACAGCCTTTGTTCATTTAGATTTTTACCAGTTCCTTTGAATCTCCACAATCTTTTGTGTAAAACAACAGGATTGAAATACTTATCCATTCTGCTCTTGACTTTTCCAGTTTGATCTAAAGTAACTATTGATTGACCTGAATTCTTGAGAAAGTGATGTGTAAAAATCTTCACTCTGTGTTGCTTGTTTTCCATTATTTGTCTTTTTTCTTGATCAATCATATCAAACAAGGCACGGTTGGTTATTAGAACTAACTGTCGACACCAGCAAAGGCAAAGATGGTCAACACTGACCCATGCCCGTGGTACTGATGAGGTTACTATGCTGATAGTTTGAGATGGTCTCGCTATTTGTTTTAAGGACGAAGGACTGGATCGTACCAACACATCTCTGAATCCACCACTCACAGAAACTAACGTAATATTCTTCAGTCTTGATTCATTTTCATTCATGAATGTTTGACTTTTCCAAAAGCTGTTGATATTTTCATAATAGTCTGCCAATTGAGGATCAAGAGATACAATTGGATGTTGATGAGGTGTTCCAAGGGTTATGATTGTATGAACAAGATGGGTACTGAAGTTTCGCATAGCAAACAAACCCCTTGCAATCAAGCCTCCCATAGAATGCCCTATTAGTACCACAGACTTTGGTGGGTTTGAAGTTTTTCTATATAACCACACAATTCGAGTGATGCAAAGTCTGACAAATTCAGTTTGCTCCTTCAGTACTCCTCCATATAATCCAGATAACGATTCGTCTAAGTCAGCGGTGAAATAATTAAAATGGACTCGAGAACTAAGACTTTCTGCTTTTCGTAATGCCACAGATGCGAGTGACCGGACTTGTTTATAACTTCCTGCATTACCGGGAATAAACAGTACAGGAATTCCGGTTAATTTAAGATTACTAGATCGATCAGCATAGTCTCCTTCACCATAGAGATGTAAAGCGTATCTTGGAAAGCGTTTCGAAGTTCCCTTCCACAGCGGGACTCTGATATAGCGCGGCCATTCATACATGTACGTCATCTCACACCTGTTATCCTCTATGTTGACAAGGAAATCCCTGATTCCAACGAGAGCAAACGCTGCAAAGACGGCAAGCCATGTGATTAACACCAAGTGCTGTGTTCTTGAGATATATAACGCCATTTTGGACAAGTCTGAAGTGGAAGAGAAAACTAATTTCACACCATCGACCTTGGATCTTCTCGCTGTATGCAGCAAGCTAGGCTACAAAGCGCAACAAAAAAAGCGTCATATACGCGACACAAAACGTCTCAGAGTTGTTGTAGCCGGTGGAAGGTGGACCCCTGAGACCTAATCTTTCTTGTCCTAAGTAAAGAAAGTGAAGACGCTTGAGTCACCTTATGGGGTATAGCTGTACTCTGGAAGAATGAATGGACTTGCTCATATCTCTCATCATGTCTCCATGCCTTTTCACCCCAGTTACCCTGGACGCTTTGTGTAGCATACATAACGACTTCTTGTCATTTGGCGCTAAGAGTTTGTTTAGGATACCAGGATTTTGACAGTGAAAACTGTATAATCGTTCTCCTCGAGGTTATTTTCTCTCTTTCCACAAGGTATCTGATGTCTGTGGGACGTGTAAAGTACGTCTGCGACCAAGATAAGTCTGTTTTGGTGAACAATTTTGAGAAACGCGGGTGGGTTCCTTGTGCTGAAGATGAAGACTGGAATTTTTATTGGTAATTCGCCCTTAATCATTTTTAGTAAGCTCTGTGTGATTTAAATGAAAAAATGTAAGTTAATTTTACATTTAACTGGCACATTCAATCCTGTGTTCCTTCTTTTGTAGGGCTAGTGTGCAAACTGTAAGAGCTATTTTTAATGTGGAGACTGGATACAGACTTGGAGATGAGCAGTAAGGCATTAGTAATAGCTCATTTTACTCGTTTTAGAGTACATGTTTTTTCTCATTATTTTGAATCTCACAGAAAAGCAATGTTGCTGAATATAATAACCCTTATTATCATTCGAAGCAAATTTTTCTTTCTTTTCATTAGTCAAGAGCCCACTACGTGACCTGCAAATAACTGCCTACAAATAATGGTCTGCTCATGCGCAATGCCGTCCAACTGTGTTTGGCTGCAAATAATATTCTGCTCATGCGTAAAGGAAACTGTGCTTTTCGCCTTCTTGCGATCGCTCTTGCGTGAAAATGGCAGATCGCTTCGCTTCCCAAGGATATTCATTAAAAAAACAAACTCGGTAATCGAATGATAAAACAATTAGTGAACTCGGTTATTGCAAAATATTGTGATTTGTCATTGTCTCGCAGATCAATTATTTGTCTCAGCCTTCCGCTTTGGCAAATAATTGATCTGCTCGCCACAGAGAAATCACGATATTTTGCTCAACCTCGTGTAATAATTATTAAATATTTAGAATGATTTTCATAACAATCAAAACTGTTATGATGATACACCTGCAGACATTTTGAGGTCTGGGGGAGAAGGGAAAGGGGGGGTGGGGAGACCCTTGGCTACCCTGATGCATACCTTCTTCTTATCCACTAAATAAGATCTTTCCCTGAAAGGTGTGTTTTCAAAGTTATTATAAGACAGTTGAATCCCGATAACTTGAACCATGAAAGGGAAGTTGAAAAAGGTTCAAGGTCTTCGAGTTATTGCTAATTCAAAGCAAATAACTGGAAATAAAGAAATAATTTTTTCGGGCTTCAGTACACCATTTTTTTCGGACTTGTCATGCACTTGAAACATAACTCAAGTTACCAAGGGTAAAATTGTATAGAAATGATCAGAGGGGAAACAAAAATTACTTTGGGTTAGCAGGAGGTTTGAGTTATTGGGGGTTCGAGTTACCCAAGGTAAAATTACAGTGAATGTAAATCCTGGGAAAAATGACTTTGGTTTGAGTTACTGTGAGGTTCGAGTTAGCGAGGGTTCAATTTATCAGGTGTCAACTGTACAGGCAGCCCAAACTCACAATAACATATCGGTATTGTAATGTACAAATAATGTTTTACTCCTTGACATTCGATGGCTGTAAAATGATTCAGTGACCCACAAATGTTCTTCAGGTAACTAGGCTACAACACTACCATCTGTGCTACTGATGGGAGCAACATGACTGTGGACTAAAACTCTTGCTTCTTGCCGAACTATCTGGTATTGACCCATGTGCAGTAGAAAAAATAAAATATTAACTATATAAAAAAGTAATTGTTGTCACACCATCAAAACAATGTGACCACTGAATTTCGGTGGGTCTTTTAGATTTGAGACTATGACTTCTGTGCAAGTAATCCACTCCCATAGTCTTTTAGTACCTGATAGGTGACACTAAGACTGTCAGACACAAAATTAAGACCACACAGTCAGGTACCCCAATACAGTCAAACCCCACTTTACAGACAGCCACTTAATATGGACACCTCATTATTATGGACAGTTTGCTTTGTCCCTAGGGAAAGAAAGCCCTTGAGTTTTCTCTAAATTCAACCCACTGAATGCGGTCATCCATTAATATGGACACTTTCTATGGCCCCCTCGGTGTCTGTATTAATTTGGTTTGACTGTATGTTTTCCTACTCCGTTTTCTCACTTTACAATCCCCAGATGAGCATAACCCAGTACACTATAACTGCAATCCCTGGATGAGTATAATCTAGTACACCACAACTGCTGTACAGTTCAACTTGGCTAGAGATAGTGACTTCTGTTCTTCTTCTGTTATAATTTATAGAGTAATCAATCATTTTCCTAACCACTATGAGCTGACAAGAAAGGATTTGATGATGAAAAATATCAAGAGATATCGCAAGGAATTAGATAAGGAGGGAAATCCTCTGGCAGAGAAAGATGAACTTGGTAGATACATTCATCTAGGTAAATATTATGTTTTTCTAATTTTATTTTATTTCCATTTTCCTACTATGGTTTTCTTCCCCATTTTTTACCAGGACTCTCAGACCAGGGATTTTGCCTGTCCACCATTGTACATGTAGCTACTTTTATAAGAAACAAACAAAAAAATGAGCCAAAAGAACTTTCCAAATGTTTAATTAATCCCTACCTGTTTATAGCAAGATTAATGAAGGGTACACAGAAATCACTGATAATGTCTGAAAATACCGCTAAATGTAGCACTGAAGGCCTTTGTAATGTTATAATATGTCATGCATTCAGTTCAGGACTACAATGTATTCAGACAGGACTTTGCTTAGACTAAAGTCTTGAGATTCAGAACTTGCTTTTTGTGCCATTTATTTGAACAGAATCTTCACAGCCTGGTTGTATTTTGAGTGTTCTGTAGATCTTTTTAGTTCCCTTTCATTGTTTGAAGATATCATACATAATGTAATGTTATATATTTCCCTTATTTTTGTAGATTTTATTCCTGTCACATTCATCCTGCCAGCAGACTATAATTTATTTGTTGAGGAATTTAGAAAAAATCCAGCCAGTACATGGATAATGAAACCAACCAATAAATGTAAGTTTTTCTGCATGTTAAGAGTGTTTTCATTTTTGCAGAGATGAAAAATTGCATGGTGATTCAGTCAGATTCCATTGTGCTCATTATCAGATCAAATTTTCAGAGAGTTATTTTTAATCAATATTTGCTACCAGTCTGCACGTATGATTTGAACTGATTTCCACACTTAATGTTTTCTTAATCAAGTCATGGATAAGTCATATAACTTTTTTGAGTCTCAGTAAAATGTGAATTTCTTAATAAAAATTAATGTAAGCTTTTGTCATGGCAAATCACACTTATTGAAATGTTACTGTGTTTTCAATAGACATTAAAACATAACTAAGGAGCTAGAAATCACAAACACTGCAACCAAATTGGTTGAAACTTCCTTTTCATTCCTAGCTCAAGGCAAAGGAATTTTTCTGATCAATAGACTGTCACAGCTGAAGAAATGGTCTAAAGACAGCAGAGGAACACCGTAAGATTTAACAATTTAATAGACTTTCATCTAAAAAGCTTTAGGCTATGTTCACCCAGTCTATACTGGATATCTTTTCGTGCTGCCATGAAAAGCTGTCTGGTAGACCATGAACACCTATGTGATATGTGACTCTCTGCTTTAGAGATTGGCGTGACACAGCTTTGCTCTGTCACAGAAATCATGCCAAAACAGTTCCAGTTTTGTGTGTCAACAGAAGCCCTATGTGGTATGGTTTTTATGGCAGGGCAAATAAAAAGCTGTCTGATATAGTGTGAACAAAGCCTTAATTTTCAGTTATAAGACAATCAAAGAATAAACATAAAGAACTGATGAACTTTGAGTACTTTAGTTGAACTTTATACTGCTTGCATGCACTTAAAATAATATCTTGGCCTTAAATTTATGGTTAACCAGGGGGTGGTTAACTGGTTAGTGTAGTGCAGTCTGCACTTGGATGTTCTTGATGAGCAAGGCTTAGGGCAGGAGTGTTTTTTTGCCTGACGAGTCTTTATGAGTGGGTGGTCTTTTATTAATGGAGTGCGATGGAGGAGGGGGGACTTGGTGTGGTCGAATTTAAGTGACTTGGGAATGAAGTTAGCCGAGGTTATGATGTTGAGAGCTTTTAGCTTATTGGTTGTCATGTTTCTTTCTGGGTCACCTTGGATGGAGTTTTCAGCTGGCTAATTGTGGGTTGCTGTGGGTCATTTTAGTGGATCTGAGTTTTTAAATGTCAATTTATGGTAAGCTTTTCCTTAGTAAAATATTGTCTCTCACAAATATTAAGATGACTGGAAAAAATCCCAAACCTAAAGACCACAACAGACTGAGAATCTTGTTTTGGGAACTTAAAATTCAAATATTACAGGAAAAGCTTTGCTTGCTTGCTAAAAGTGCACTAAAATACCAAGCCTCAGTCTGATAATATCAAAAATGAAGCAATAGTCTACATGCTAGCGTGGTGTATTCTCAGTAGTCTTATGACTCTCTTACAATATATTGCTCAATTCTGAAATAGGACGACTCCTATACAATTTACAACTGCTTGCTCCCAGCCCAGACCTCTCCATTATTAGAGTCTAAATTCATATTAATGAGATCAACATTCACTATAACTACAGGAGATGTGTACCTTTCAATGTTTTAATGTATGTTATGATGTGATTTAATATAGCCTTGTTCATCCCAGTACAAAGGATGCCTATGTTATATCAAGATACATTGATAATCCTCTGCTCATTGGTGGCAAAAAGTTTGACCTGCGTATTTATGTCTTGGTGACATCCTATAGGCCTCTTAAGTGCTACTTGTAAGTAACACAGTTTGGTTTGTTTGAATCACAGCACTTACCACTCATCTCTGTGATAATGTTGACATCTGCTTTAAATGGTTTCTGTTTAATAATGATTTTTATATATGTGTCTAAGTTTAAGTTTGGTGGCATGGAAACAGTATGGAAAAAATTTAATGTTTGCTGATTTTTATGTATATTTTCCTGTTTTAAGTTAATCTCTGGAAACTCTGGTGAATGGTGAAAATTGCCCTTTAGTCATTATGGAATCACCAACTACTCACAGTAGATAATAAAAATAATTTAAGTAGGATAATACATCTGTCCTATTTATTTCTTATCACTTTGGTTAAGCAAGAACAAGCATATGATCTAAATTAAAGAAAATGTGAGTAAATTAAGGTGTAATCCTCAAGTCTAAAATTTTTTCAGTCCTGCTCTTCCTCCTTAAATATTTAAAATTTTCCTGGTTGAGGCTATAAACGGAATAGGGGTGACTACCCTCCCCTACGTAATCCTGTATGCTGCTGTGTCACATCAAAGAGAGGCCAAGAGAGTGAATTGTTGCCTATTAATTTGCATTCTATGCATCAGCAATTTTCTCCTTACATAATTTTAAAATTGCTGGGTCAAAAGCCAGGGAACTTTTCTGTGATACTGTCCCTCGAGTTTTCCAGGAAAATGAATGACAGTCTATTCTAGTGTGGCTAACATTTAATGCTGTTCAGTGTTGTAACTCTCCATACCAGCTAGGTGACAGTTTCTCAAGAAAAGTGCAAATTTGTAGGACACTAATTAACAACATACCTGGCTTGCCAATAATGCTGCAGACACCACTTTTATAGCTTGTCTAATACTTGCATGGTTACATCTTTCAGGTACAAACTTGGATTTTGCAGGTTTTGCACAGTGCAGTATAATGCAAGTCTTAATGAACTAGATAACATGTTTGTGCACCTCACAAATGTGGCTATTCAAAAGTATGGGGTAAGAAAGGTTGCTGGTAAATCTTGAGTCTTGAAAGAAAGAAGATCATAATTTTGTTGCTTCTTCACTTTTCTTTTCTTCTTCTTTTTTTGTAGGAGGAGTATAATCCTATTCATGGTGGAAAGTGGACTGTTAAAAACTTACAGTTTTATCTTGAAGGAACCAGGGGAAAAGAGGCAAGTAATGTTTGAGATTTATTTACATTACCAGGTACGTGAAGGATGAAAGAAAATAATTAAAACGTGTTAGTATTCCTCTACATAAAGCCTGTGCAACAGACAAAACTAGACCTCTGGTTATGTCCATTTGACTGCGTGCAGTGCCAAAATCCTCGTTCTGAGCCTCCAGCTGTGTACCCAAATTTGAGTACCTGCCATGGTTGGCTTGCTAAAAATGCCATTACCGATTTGCCAGTCAGGTTAAAGGGAGATTTGATACACACTCCCCGGTAATTCATTGAGTCCATTGAACAAGGATCACAGCGCTGCTTTGCATACATCACTAGCGGGTGTTACCAATACCAGCTACCCTACATATGGAGTTTATTATTTACTGTGTAGGATTGTGAATGTTACACCTGGCTCCAGGTATTCAAAAGGTGGATAACACTATCTACTGGATAAGCTTCTATCCAGTGGATAGCGCAATTGGTTTCCCTACTACTTATCCACTGGATAGTGATTTATCTGGTGGATAGTGCTATCCAACGTTTGAACAACTAGGGCCAGGCTACAGGTGTATGTACACTACTATAATATCGTGCCACTGGATTATTTGTCAAAAATCACCCATCTACAGCTGTAAGGCCAGGTACAGTTCTCACATAGTTAGCAAAAAACTTTTAAGATAAGATAGACTTCGTTTGGGCACAACCTTAAACACAATAGAAACATACTTTCACTTTGGTGTGAGTTTGTCTCGTTTGTATCACGTGAAGTCTTTGGGTCGGTTATGTAAATAAAGTCTAACTTAGGCCGCGGTTGAAGAAATCATTGGACCTTCAGATCTCTTCTTTAGTGGGTTAATTTAAGAAAATAGGTGCTTTTTGATTCTTATTTATTATTAAATTTTTCTCGATAAATGCTGTTTAGATGAAAGGGTGTAGCAAACTGAAAATGGTTTAGAACGCAGTTTTGTTAAACACAGGCTAAACTCCGTTTAAACAACTGGCCCAAAATTTTACAATAAACTGATAACCGTAATGATCTAGTATACACGCTCTGGGCATCTATTTCATTTTAGGGGTCCAAGAGGGGTAGCCTGTGTACAGACGTCCCCCTCTCCTCAGGAAAAATCGTCTCCTCTCCCGATTTTTCCTGAGGGAGGGGGGACGTCTGAACACAGGCTACAAGAGGGGGCGCTTTAGAGATAGGAGGCGTTTAAAACAGAGAGGCGTTTATTCTCGTACATATAACTGTAAAAAGCACAACATTCTTTCGGCAAAAATATCAGGAGAGTTAGAAAATAGCAGGATATCTAGTTTATCTATTGATACATGTACGTCTAGGCCGCCTAGAGATCCACAACGCTTCTTCAAATCTCAATGACATTGATGTCAGGATCTTCGTTCAGGGTCATTGTTTTCCATCGTTAGTCTATTCTTATCTTGAACAAGATGTGATACCCAAACCCTTGTTAATCAAGCAAGAAACTACATAAATGGAAGAATTTTGGTCCATTTTTCTAATTCCTAGTGTATTTTGAAGTAATTTTCATAGGGGGCGTCTATTAGGCATGGGGCGTTCATTAGAGAGGGGCATCTGATACAACTTAACATTGTAGAGGGAGCGTTTATTAGATAAGGGGTGTTTATTTGAGAGCGGACGTCTACTAGATCATTTACAGTAGTAAGGTAAGGTGCAAGTTTCATATTAAACACGTATTTATATATATTCTTTTTAGGTGACAGACAAGTTGTTTGATGATATAAACTGGTGCATTGTTCATTCACTGAAGGCTGTGCAGGTTAATGACTAGCATATTTGTCTTAAATAAACATTTTCACCTAGTGTGGTGGAGGTAGGAAAATCCCATGTGAAAGGTGCACAGTTGTTCTTTGGAAATAAAAGGCCAAAAGAGGCTAATGTGGGTGTGACTTAGAAGTTTTTGGCCTATGAGTTACCACTTGGAGTGCTTACTATCTGAATGGATTTTTTGGTGGATTCAATGGTTTTGGACAATTGGAACTGCACTTTTTGCTCACCAAGAAAAAAGAAAGGGATTGAGCCGTATCATTTGATCGGAAGATTCGGTTGCACTTGAAAGCAAAAGCAAAAGAAAAATCAAGTACCGACGACAAAAACTGAAATCTTTTTTAACTAGAAGGCTACAGTTGTGTTGTAAGAATTCTGTTAACATCAATGACGACAATAAACCAGCTCAGGGTCGCGTCATAAACGGTTTGGAAAACTGTATTAGTCTAACGATTCAACTTTTAAAATCCGCCATCTTGGGCACCTCTGTCTATCCGGAATAGACCTTGTCACGGTTTTCGACGCCATCTTGACGAGTAGGCAAACGTGTGAGAAATTATAGTGTTTGTATGCGAATCTAATGTCGAATAATTTCCGTAAAACCGGTGTTCTGAAAAAAATATCAATTGTAAACTAAAACTACAAAGCAAAGGATTGTCCTAAAAAAAATTGGGGGCGTATCTGTGCTTAAATTTCTCCAGAGGCCCGCTTTAGATTTTCCATATATTTGTCTGTAATTTTCCCGGAACTTTCTTACAGATAAATGTATAGAAAATTTTAAAAAGTGGTTCTAGGTCTTCTAGTGCATGTAACGCCCTCAATTTTTTTCTGGAGAATCCTTAGAAGTGAAGCTTTAGTTTACAAATCATATCTTTTTCAGAACAGCCGTTCTACAGAAATTATTCGACATTAGATTCTCATACAATCACTGTAATTTCTCACGCGTTTGCCTACTCGTCAAGATGGTGTCGAAAACCGTGACAAGGTCTATAGCCTGGTACTGCTAATTGAGGAAAAAAGGTACAGAAATTTCGGGAATTCCGGTAGAAGCGAGAAAAAGGCAGTACCTCAGATGGTTTGAACATGTTTGGTAGTGGATGAACCATTCGGGTTGAATTCTCCTCGGAATTCAGGGGAGAATTCAAACCGAACGGTTCATCCACAACCAAAAATATTCATACCATTCCTTAACATCCCAAGTGAGACCAAAATCCCAGATCCTCTTTTAGAAGTTCAAAACAGTAATATTGAATGTTCGTTCTTTAGAATGTCATAGCAAATGACAGACACTGCTTTGAATGTTATGGGTAAGTACTATACTATATTTGGGAACAAGTTTCCCATGTTTTCAAATGCATGAATAAAGATACACTAGACATAGAAAATTTGTCTACTGTCTGTAATCATGATAAGTCAAGAAATGATAGTTTATGTGCTTTATAATGTGGTCAGGATTCACGTTTTTTTTTGGCAGAAAAAGTCCTGCGTGCCTTCTGTATCAGTCCATGCTTTCGATGTTTTCAGTGCGAACACAAAATTAATAAACAGTCGCGTGGCACCTATTCATTGCAGAGCAAATGACCAAGACGTGTGCATAGCCAAAAGTTTGCGTAGAGATTTGCAGCTTTTTGTTCTTCTTCTTCTTTTTTTTCCTTAAATTTGCCGGTGACAAAAGAACCAAAGGATGTTATCTTTTATATATCGCTTTTTGTTTGCAGATATGACATCATTATTGACGACAATCTCAAACCTTGGCTGATTGAGGTGGGCAGCTGTCTGATTGAGTGGATAGTTAATGTAACTTTAACAGTCCGGTCTATTTTATCCTTTTATTCAGTGGCTTCCCTTTATCCCTTCTCAGTTTCCTTCCTTGCAATTTTAAATCTACGTTTTGCGAAGTATTTGAGACAACGCACATAGCAGTAAAAATATTACTGCACGCAAATTTGGCTGTAAAATTCTTTAAGGAGAAAGTGGCCCGCCTTCGAAAGAGCGCTTTTGTTAAAAATCACACCTCTGATCGCTCCCCAAGACTGAACAATGCCTCGCGCTAAAGAACTTGGCACTGTGAGTACATGTCGCGAAAGACAACAGCATGCTGGCCGATTTTGTAATAACGAACTAACCACAACTGACAGTGTGTCTAACGGTTGATAGACCACGAGTAGTCCCCCATTTTTCCTCAGGGATAGTAGAGCGCGCGTGAAAATCACCCCACGCGAGAAAATGCGACACGCGGCGGGCAGAGAGAAAAATGAGGGACTACAGAAAAAGCCCAAGCCCATTTTTCTCTCTCCCCACCGCCTGTCGCCTTTTCTCGCGTGGGGTGATTTTCATGCGCGCTCACGTTTCGCTCGCTCGACTATCCCTGAGGAAAACTGTGGGACTACTCGTAGTCTAAACGGTTGACGCTAGACACATTAGTTTCTCTTAATCAAATCCACCAATCATCTGAGAAGAGTATAAAAAACCTTGTTCTCCAATTGACATTGCTCACATCACTTCAACTTTTTTCAATACTTTCAACTCAGATTCAAAGCGTTTTGTCAGTCCTTACGCAAGGCCCCTTCGACTGTGTACTGCTCCATGTCCATATATTTAACACGAAACGATTACCCTTGTCAAATTTGACAACTAAGTCCCATGAGCACTGAAGCTTTCTGAAACGTGCAACATCACTATTGACCGACATTGTACCACATTCAATACAACCAGTCATGAAAGGACACAAGCTTTGATTAGTCATTACTCATGAGTCAGTGTTAACTTACGTTTGGATTGGTGTTTGTTGTCAGGTGAACGCATCACCATCGCTAACGTCAACCACATCTGCCGACAGGATTATGAAATACAATCTCATACATGATACCCTGAGCATTGTTGTCCCCAATGGAGAGATACCAGAGTGAGTACAGTCGAATCTCCACTAACATACCCCCCCCCTTCCCGCAAACGGACACTTAGCTGCGGTCCCTGCAAGTTTACCACTTACATTTTGTAAACACTGACAGATGGAGACTTCTCCTGTCAGTTACGAACGTCGTTTCCAGGCCGGGTCTGCACGCTACGAAAACGTCGTCGGTTTCATTCTATATTTGCACACCAGGGAGATTCTAACAAGAAAATGGTACCGTCTTGTATTAGACCAACTGTTGTCCCCTTTCCTGGCAATTATAACATGAAACGTCTTGAATGATTTGTTTTACTAATACTAAGCTAGTCGCTCTGTGCAGTTTTTATTCAGTACTTAAGTAAGTTAGTAGTGTCTGGTTATAAAGTGAAGAAAGTAATTGTTGCGGACATTTAGTTACCAGGCTTAAGTATCTGTCTTACAGAATCTTACAAATGCAATGCTTATGGCAGTTTTCACGCTAGAGATAGATTATCCGTCTCAGGCGGGTAACCCGTCTTCAAAATCCGTCAAAATTAACTGAAATACATATAGATAATCTCAAATAGATTATTGGACCAAAATTAAACCGTTCCGTTTTCATATTACAGCGGACTGTCCGTTTGACGGATAATCCGTCTGTATGTGTGTGAAAACGGCCAATGAGACAAATTGTTACGGTCACAGTTTGGTGTCCGCACACTGGAGGTGTCTGCTCCCGATTCACTTCCGACAAATTAATGCAACTAAGTGGAACTGACCTTTTGTGAAGGTTGCGTTGGAAGAAGCTTTTTAAGGCCTGTAAAGACGTACAGCCAAAGATTTCGCGGTGTTTGTAATGTTGTAGTAGTACTGAGCAATTTGAGCGTTGGACGACTTATCGGACAACCTGCTTTTTCACATTTCAGTGTTAGATGGAATAAGTTGCCTTCAAAAGACGCTCTTGGAAGTTTCGAGGTTTTGTAAGTAAAGTAACTTGAATGTAATTTTCTCCTCTCCAAAACCTTTAAGACGGAATCCATAAGGAAATTGAGTAATTTTAATTTTCAGTGGACAAAAACCTTGTACCAGAGTATTTTAAGCCATATCGCATTCTTTTTTACGCTTTTCAAGGGCTATAAATGTAATAAGTTATATGAAATAACTCCAAAGAAAAGGTTCTTATGGGAGCCCGAGAAAATAAATTTCAAATTTCACAGGAATTGAGAAAACACGGTAAAATCGTCATGCGTAACATTTCATTTTGTGAAATTTGAAGCTTTTTCTTTTCTGGGGCTCCCATAAGAACCTTTTGTTTGGAGTTATTTCATATAACTTATTACATTTATAGCCCTCGAAAAGTGTAAAAAAAGAAATGCAATATGATTGAAATTATTCTGGTACAAGGTTTTTATCCATTGGTAATTAAAATTACTCAGTTTCCTCGTGGATTCCGTCTTAACTTTAATTAACTGGGCTGCCTCAAGGTACGCCCAGTTCGTAAATTTAGTTTCAGAATTTTTCGGTCTCTTACGATAAAAAAGTGAACACTTTTAAGAATTATCAACCCAGTAACCCAGAGAGTGTTGCCTGATCCATAAAGCATGTTTGTCCATCTTTGCAGAGTCCGTTTGAAGATTGATTTCTTTCTGTATCAACAAACGCCGTTTTAAAGTTTATCTCATAGCGTTATTGGCGATGAGGGTAAAAGACGGAATGAGTTTGCGGAATGGCATGTGGCATGGCTTGCAGAATGACATAGTTATGCAGAATGTAATATATGCAGAATGACTCAAAGAAATAAATTAAACTGAAAATTGCGTCTTTTTTGACGCCAATCAATGCACAAGCAGCCGCTTTTTTTAAATTGCGGGGTAAACGGCTGTTTAGCAGGCTAGGCTCGACTACGACGACAATAAAATAGCCGCGAAGGACTCCTTGATCATCTCTCACGGTCCATTAGCTGTTTTTGCACAGCCACAAAAATTCTACTTGCCTTTATAGTCGGGCTGCATGGCAGCACCGATACTACATCACGAAAGTCGGTCATTGAAGAAAAAAATTTTGGAAGGTCACGCTCCCTTCTTCTTTAAATTTAATTTTTTCTGCAAAAGATATTTGCACGATTAACTTCACTTTTTTATTTTTATTTGCTTCTGAAACCGTATGAGAAGTGTTTCTTTTTCAGACGGTGGGTCGCGTGATCGTGACATGATATTCGGCAATCGAATGTATCTTGTTTTCTTGAGGCTGCGTCGTGAAGTTTCAGGCACGTGAAGCTAACAGCTGGCGGAGAAGCGCCAGCTCGAATCCTGGCAATTGAGTTTGTGTGCTTTTTCTCTTTCTCTCTTTCTTTCTTTCTTTCTTTCTTTCTTTCTTTCTTTCTTTCTTTCTTTCTTTTTCTCTTGCTCTCTTTCTTTTCTTTTCTTTTTTTCCCACCTACTTTTAGCATTTTTTCACGATCAAACGCACACACTCACACAAACAAGGGAGTAGACTTTCAAAAAGGTCTTTCGTCCGATTTAATATGGCGCGGGACGAAAAGCTCGCTAAGGACCTCGTGAGGTCGACTTGTAGCAAGTCTAACAAGGGAGGCGGAAAGGCCGAAAGTAGACAGATATATGGCAGCTTGCTTCACTCGATTTGTGGATTACAGATTAATGTTTGACTCGGGGCGTTCATTTAGTCTCGAATATGATCTGATTCGTTCACCTTATTCAGGAGCCCATAACCCTCCTGCCGTATTAAAAATCCCTCGAATTTTAGCTAGCCCGACTTCACGTTCAGCGAGCGTACTTTACCTTCTAGCGTTGCGCTAAAGATTGACCCTTGATTTGAGTTTAGCCAAGATGTACAGGTTATATACCCCGGAAAGCCCAGACAGATTTTCGACACAGTACGTCTGCACGTATTTACGAGGCTTATTTGTTTATTTCATTTGGGACTACCGAGTATGCCATTTCAAAGAGCCTCGTTCCCAGCGTCCTCTCTCTTGCTCCTTTTCGCTTTTAACCTTGTCCGCCGTTACGCTGTTTTTCCATGTAATGAGGAGAGTTAAAACTCAATAGAAGACTGGTTGAACTTGACATGTTTTCGTACTTTAACTGCGCTTCACTGGAAAAGATACGTGAGTAAAGAACCGTTTCAGTTTATTTTAGACTGATCAAGTAATGGGTGTATCAGCTGTGTTTCAATTTTAGCCTTGCTTTGATAACAGTAACAAATGGACCGGCAAAGCGAGTTCTCCTTCAAATTGGGGCAAAAAAAGCCGCGACAGAGACGCGCGCATACTTTCCTGTTTAATCTATTTCTTTGCGCCATTTTTCATAAATTAAATTCCGCATAATTATGTCATTCCGGGTGCCATGCCACATGCCATTCTGCAAACTCATTCCGCCTTTTACCCTCACCGCCTTATTGGTTAATGTGGGTCGGATCTGTTATGATGAAAAACCATCACCATAGCTGGTTAGATATTCTGTGAAAATGACTTTCGTCTGGTGGTCACCTTGTTTTCCGTAAGTGTACTTCCTTTTTATTTTGCGTTTCTCTATCAGGTATGATGAAGAGCTGGCCGGTCAAGATACAGGAGAAAGGGACTCCAGATCAAGAACGGGGCAGGTCACAACATCTCGGCCCGGTAAAGATAGTAAAACCAAACAGGCCACATGGAAATAGTATTTATCCGACTGACATGTCAGTTTGGACAGCACTCAAGGTCAGAACTCGGACGGTGACAATCTCCTTCCCATGGCGGATAATCCCTGGGAATGGGACTGGGACGGCGAGTCCTTTCTTCATTGTTGGCGAGACAAGCTAATGTTTCTACGTTGCCGGTAGCCTGTGTACTTCCCCCTCCTCCCCGATCTTTTTTTTTTTTGAGGGGAGGAGGCGGTACCTGTTTATCGATGTATCACAACGAACATGCTGTTTTTCTGTAGCGTGTTCAAGGGCCTCAACCCACTTTTTTTTTTCTCGTCTCGACTAACTGAGAGCCTTGAACTGGCAATTTTTTCCGATGAAAACGCTGCTGAACAATTTCAGTGACTGCTCAAGCTACCAAGCCTTAAATGCCATTGTGATTAATTGATTGACCTGAAAAAACTGTTAAAAACTTGTTTCACTGTGATCGTAACGGAAAGGGAGGGCACTTTCTCTGTAAATAAAAAGATTTTTGTTCATACTCTGCTGCTTTCTTTATGTTTAGTTTCCTTTATTTTAATGCAGCATTCCTTACTGACTGTTTCTATTTAGATGCTGCTAATAAGTCACTAATAACGACTGTTTCGGGTAGAAAAACAATTCAACTGTTTCCTGTCTAAGAAGATCACTTATACCATTAAATGCCCGGTTCAGATGCCGTACTTTATATGAGCCGAAACGAATTCAATTAATTACCTTCATGTGATGTACGGGGTCTGAATCAATTCGAAACGTCTCGTTAAATGTGGATCGGCAACCGGTCTTTACCTTTGGCTCAGCCGGGAATGACGGCTGTGAGCCAGTGTTGATTTTGACCCCGAACTTCACCTGAGCCGAACCAAATGCATAAATTTTTATAATCTAGTTAACCTAATTGTGCCTTTCCCCCCTTTGAATTTAGTTCGGTTGCCTTGGAATAAAGATGGCAGTGTGAATCAATTCAGCTGCCGGTCTAAATTAATTTTAGTTGGCCTTAATTCGAATTAGATTCGGCTCATGTGAAGCACGGCGTCTGAACCGGGCTTAACCGGCGTACTACAGTGCAGTCAACTCTCTTTGTAACGGACACTGTAGGAACCTCAGGTTAGTGTCCTCATTAGCGAGAGTCCGTGATACAGTCAATTCTCGCCTTGTGGACACCCTGATAATACGGACAGCGACTAAATCCTAGGTAAAAATAAATTACAGACGTTTGACTGAAATAAACTCCTGCTATTACGGACTGTCGCTAATGAGGACACTAACTCGAAGTCTGTATAGTGTCCGTACGCGTAATAAAGAGAGTTGACTGTAGTGGGGACTTTATTTTTTTATCGGGGTGTCCTCAAGGCGACTGTGCGATCCAAGCCGAGTTTCTCTTGCGTGCTCGGGTTTCTTAAGGAATTTCTCCCGCTTGGGTTTCTATCCTACCCCCACGAACAAAACGGAAGTTGTTGTTCCACTAGCAGATGTTCGTTGGGAACGAAGGCGTATAAACGACGCACACCTGTTTCCCATTGGTAGAAATCAATCTTTTAAGCATGTCATTCTTAGCTTGCACCGTACGAAAATCAAGGTTAGTGAATGTACTCTCATTTGTTTGAACTGATCCCCAGTTTCTCTTGCTAGCATAGACTAGTCTACTTGTCCGTCGATTATTGGCAAGGTATAAAAATGTCGTAAGTAGCTAATTTGCTTTCGCAGCATGTGTTTTTCCCGCGCACCCCTGGTCGTCGTGGCCGAGCCCGCGATCACGCGAGTTGAAAGGGAAACCCCTGCGATCTTTCACTGTCAGGTTGTCGTAACTCTTCGCGTTTTGCTTGTCTTGGAATCCACGCTGCGGACAGAATTTCCTATTGTGTCGAAGAGGTTACTCCTTTTTAGACTATAGAAGAAAGCTACTGCCCTACTCATGATACCAACAGCAAAGAGCCAATGTAACCAGAAAATTTTTAAGCTAAGAACAACATGAACTTTGACGTGTTATTCCGTATTGTTATGTGTTGTTTGCTTTACCCTTGGGAAACGTATGGTTTTAACCTCGATATTGAAAATGCTATCGTCTTTGATGGACCTCCGGAAAGTGGTTACTTTGGATACTCTGTGGCTCTTCATTCATGGCAAAGTAAATACTGGTAAGATCCTTTATTGTTTAACATTACTTCATTAGAACACGTGTGCGTGTTGTCAGAGATCAGTTGGTCCAGTGCGGCGTGTTTTTGCTTCGAAGGTAGAGACTTTTTGAATATCAAAATTCACGGAGAGACTGGATTTGTTTTCTTAATTTTACTATTAATTTCGGCGTGAGTATAATCCCAGGTTTAGATACTAGATGTCATTCATCGTTTATCACTGATCGCAATAAGAATTAGAGATGACATATTTCCGTAATGCAATCTTTCGTTCGGATACATGATCGAGTCTGAATTTATAGTCCACAAGAGACAAACGGGGTTTGAATTCTTTGGAGAAGTGAAAATGTTTTGAAAAAGCAAGATTGTTTGTTAAAGTCATGAAAAGTTTTTTATAGCCACGTTTTCGAGCGATATCTTAAACAGCAATCCCGAATTAAACTCATGAAATGTGTTTCTCAAGATAACAGCAGTGGTATTGACACTTATTAATTTACAATTTCCTAATTTCGTGACTCAATTTGGCTCCGCCGTCTTGTCTGCAAAATGCACGGTCGCTTAGTGCTGGCATTTTATTATAAGTATTATTATTTAACTGACGGCACACTTAACGTCAATCTAGCGCAATTATTGCTAGAAGACTGAGTCAACTCATTAAACTAAAGTGTCAATATATCTTGTAAACCAAATCACTCGGTTGTCTTAATAAACAGCGCCTCTCATTAACTGCCAATTTTATCATTATTGACGGTCGTTCGGAAAAAGCAATCATTTAACTTAATGTTTATTCAGATCATTTCCTGAGGTTATTTTAGAAAATTGCAATTTGTGTGCATCCATTCTTGACTAAGAAGTTCAAGCGGCTTTGTTTCTGTTATTGTAACTCCTTTTTATTTTATTCAAGTAAGCTTATATGGTAATAATATTGTTAGAGTATGACGTATTAGCATTGATTTATAACCAGGACCAGGTTGGCTAGCCTCCAGCGGCTCTAGCAACCTTGCTTCTTCTTATCACATAATTAGTTTTAAATCAGTTATTTTCTTAATAAATAAATGAGAGTTGGAGAAAATAGTAGAACCGAAAAATTTCACCTTTGGCAAACTTTTCAAAACCAAAGTAATGTTACTAGATTTGAAACTTATTGAAACCAGACGTATGGATAAACTGAGGAACACTCCACTTGCCAACACCTGGCCAAGCATTTGACGAAACGTATCCATGCAAAGTTACTAAAGTTAGCACAGAATATGCACATTTTGAAGGGGGCTGGGTGTGGGTGGGAGGGTTTGAGGATGAGGGGCGTGGGGGGTGGGGAGCCTTACTCACCTGCATTGAAGCCACAAAAAATTTTGTAACAAACACATCAATTTATTTTCATTGTCCTTTTTATTTCATCCATTACTTACTAATGACAGACAACTGCACATTTAAAAGCAATAAAAGCAGAAAATATTCAGCAACATTAAACTTGTTAACAGACATCAAGACTATGTGAAACCCTGAACAGATGATACCATCTGAGTTCAATTTTGTACTCAGCTTTGTTTAGGCAAAGGTTCAGAATAGTGGGTTAAATTATCCTCTTCTCCAGGAGCTTCGCAAAATGTCCTTGGAGATGATGTGGTTTTTAGCACCCCCCCCCCCCCCTCCTTTGGGCTTGAACTGTATTTCTGTCGTATAGACACTGTCTGAGTTCAGCTGTGTTTCGCCCCCCCCCCCCCCCCACTGCATGGTCCTGCATGGTACTCCTGAGCTAATAAAAGTGGAAAGTTACACAAGTTTCTTTTATAGAGCCAGAATTTAAGAAAGGGGAACTCATCCGATTGCACATACTCGGTATGTGTACGGCATATATGTCATATATGTGGTAGTGGAAGGGGACTCTCGGGTAGTACCCCTCTGGGAAGTCCTCTCCCCATTGACTCTTCTGGGTGGAGACCTCTCTTGGTCCTGTGCAAGGTTGTTTGTCTAGGATAAAGGTCATTGTGAAAAATCTAAATCAGAAAGACAAAAGCTAATTTTGTATTGTAAATTAATGTGTGCTCAGGGTAATAGTTGGAGCGCCTCTTAGTAATGTCACTTCTGCTTCTGGATCTGAGACATTAATAAGGTATGGAGCAGCGTACCGATGTGAATACACTGGAAATCAACAGTGCAGTGTCATCAACATTGATAACCGACGTAAGTTTTTACTTTTAAAATTTCTTTCCTAGATACAATTTTAACCATTCATTTATCTTAAGTCTATCTTGACTGTCGTGTTGCTGTCCCCATTCCATCCAGTTTACCCGTCGGCGGGGCTTGGGAATTTCGCCAGGAAACGCCTTTTGAAGCTAGTCGAGCTAGTACCAAAACTGCCCAAAACCCCGCTATAGGTTGAGCTCTTCTCGGCTTTCTGTTTGGGGGCTAAAAAAAACAGCCTAATGTATTGTGTTTGGGTCGCTTATTTAAACTTAGACCGCGGTTTAGCAAATCTTTGGGCCTCCAGATATCTTCCTTAGTGAGTAATTTTAAGAAAATAAGTGTTTTTGCAGTCTACGACTTATGCTTTTTTGAAACGTTTCATGATAAATGGTGTTAAGATAAAAGCATTGGGAGAACCGAAAATGGCTTAGAACGCGGTTTTGTTAAACGCTGGCTAAACTCCGTTTACATAACTGGCCCTTTGGGTGTAAACGTGACTTTTACCTTTCGCCTTCTCTCCTCTCCTCCTCTCCTAGCATTTACTAGGCTTCGGTGCGGTGGGAAAAGTTTCGGGCAAGGCCTTTTATAGCTAAGGATCGTAGGATAGTTGGATTTAGAAAGAAGGGGCTTAGGGCCGAGCGTTAGTAGGCTGAAAAGTTATTTTGAGCCCTAGAACTTGTTTCATGTTTCAGCTGTGTGGAGAAAACAAGTGACTTTCAATGATGTACCAAACACCTGGGTAAACATGGAAGAGAAGACTGGCATGTGGCTTGGAGGAGTGGTTTATAGCACTGGAAAAGATGGCAAGGCATTGGTATGAATAATACTTTCTGCTCATGTTTTCTGTTTATGTACACATGTTTCAGTCGTAACGCCAAACCTTTTTCAACTAAAGTAGAATCTTAACTGTTCAAACCTCCCGGGGAAAAATAAAATATTTTCGAATGATCGCGAGCGAAACATTCAGAAATGAGGAAGACGATTCAGAGCAGATTGCTCTGCGTTTTATTTTTCCTAATCATCCGAGCCAACACATGGATATCTGCGGTATCTCCCTATAATAAGAAACACGTAGGCAGTACGTAAAGCTATAAAATTGTGGAAGAAACTTTAATTGGGAAATTAAGTTAGTTTTTCTTGGTTTACTTGTTGCCACACTCATGGTCTGGTGATCTCTTTTTTGATCCCTGTTCTCTTTATTACGACATGACACTACACTTACTAACTCTTCGAATAAGCATGTGCCCGTTCGACTATTGTAAGCGACCAACTACTTTGTAAACCCAATACTAAATCTTGGAAGTTTGCTTGGTTGCTTTCGAGAGTTTCGACTGTATACAGTTTGTAGTTACGGAAGTTCATTCTCCAGTCTGCAGAGAGTAGCCAATGTACAAACCACACTCCCGAGCCACTTCATCGCCGTGCCTTCTACAGTATACCTTATGACCTTTCAGACTACACCTACATGCATTACCCATCGACTGTGGTATGGAAGTGGTGACTGTGGTTCAGTTAAGTTCATCTGCTTCAGACCAGTCACAGTGAGTCGTCACACAGCCCTACCCCTACAGGCCACTTGGTTAATTTCGCATTCAAATCATTTTGGAAATTTATCTCGTAGGCCTGTGCTCCAAGGTATATTTTTCGTGGAGCTCCTGTGACAGGAAATGCGGGCGGCGACGTTCATTATAGTTGGCTTCTCGGACGGTGTAATCTTCTTAATCAAGACCTTTCAGGAGTGTCTCATAATGGGGTTGTCGATCCCTGTTCGACAGGTACGGAATAAATAGTAAGTCACAATTAGTATCCAACGTAACAAGGAGTATCGTCAGGGTTAAGTTATTAGGTTAGTAGTGACGTAACAGAAAGGGAATCAGTGACGTTATGAATCTTACACCCCTCTTGCCATCTCAATAATTCGATCTCAACGATAAACTTCCTCTGTCAAAGGTGACAGGCGGGTGAAATTTCACTGAAGCTCAGTGCAAAATGTTTCTTTTCACTGTGATTTTGGCCAAACTAGAGAGGTGACTTAGCTCCTTTAAGCTCCCTAAATTGACCTGCACGTGCAATGCTCAGATAGCCTGTTGGTTTTTTTAAGGAACATGCTGTTGTCGTCGTCTTCTTATCAGAGAACTTTAAATTCGAGAACGAGAGCGACTTCGGGACGAGATTTGACCTAAAGTTTTTTCGCTGATTCTCAAAAATTGACATTCCGGAAAGCTTCATTGTACTTTTTTTTCTCCAAAAAATTAGCACTGTTATCTTTATTGAAGGAGGTTAAGCCCTCTCCTGGTCGCAAAATAATAAAACCTCCAACATTAGAAAACTTTTTTCCGCCAACACGACATTATCGCTAATACAAAACTCGTAGTAGAAGGAAAACGACTATCACATTTTCCCGCCAAAATTTCGCTGGTTCATGCGCGAGCACTGCTTAGAACCGAGAAAATCTCGCACTCGTAGTCGTCCTCGTCTTAGAATCTAAAGCTCTCTAATACCATATCAACTTGACGATACACAACTCACTTGATTTCGAACCGTTATTCACTGTCACCAACAGTCTTTAAAGACTTTACTCACCCCTTGACGCGGTGAGTCTTGAGTTTAAACCATTGAGAACTTGGAATATTAGACAGTTCCATATATTATTTTCCAGAGCGAAAAGGCAATAATTACTATGGTTATTGCACAGCTGGTTTGAGTGCTGAGTACTCAGTGGATGGATATGATGTGATTATGGGAGTAGTTGGAGCGAAGAGAGGGAAAGGTGAGGCTCTCTATAATAACCAGTGTACCAAATGATTCACAGGAGGGCATATTAGGAGATTACTGCATTTGTATGATCTTCCTGTCCTTTGGGAACCCTTCAACCCCATTTTTCGTTTTCAGAAAGTGTTGATTTGTTCTGCACCTGACCGTTCCAGGTTTTTTCCCGTTCATAAAGTGCCGGTGTAAGGAGGCGGGAGATTTTATCATCACTGGAAGGACTTCCTATACATGCCTGTATCGTTAATTGGACGTTAATTGATACAACATCGGAGCAACGGTAGATGCCTGTGGGAAAACAAATGTAAAAGCAAAGAAATCTATTTGAAAGCAGGTTATCGAAGTTCCACTGTGCTTATGATATGCTATTATTGTTGGTAAATTGTTTTCTATGATTGAAATTGTGTCTAGGCGGACTCATGCTGTACAGCGATAGAGGCAAGACTGTTAAGTCCGGACTAAGTGAACTCGCGATAGGAGACTACATGGGTACGTCATTATTTACCAGCACTGAGATCAGCTAACAACTTTATGTGTAACAGTGATGCAATTAAACGTGAAATCATGATAACGGACACTTCTGTAATTCTCTCCTTGTCGCGGTTAAAGATACCCTCACCCCTTTCTTCCAAACCCGCTCAACGTGGATGGTGCTAGACGTTTCCTACACAGAATTTCGGGAAAACCATGGCCATGTCATCAATTTTACGTGTGTGAGACTTTGCGGGGCTTCAACGGTAAAAGAGCTCATCAGCTGAGAGAGAAACGCTGTAGACTGAAAGGAAGCGACTAAGATTCAAAACTCACGACTTCAGTAATAATGATGACAAATTTTTCACCATTTCCTTAGTAGCAAGGAGTAAGGACAAGGGAAAAATAGTTTGAGATTTCTGCGTTATTGAGCAAGGGTGAGGTTAAGACGGCTGGATATTGGCCTAGGGGTTTTTATGCGTTTTCTAATGGACCAAGAAGAGGTCGAAGTTAGTAAAGTCAGTCAGTGAAAGAACAACAGACCAATATCCTGCCATGTTGACCGAACAAGCTCGGTCAATAAAAGATTTATTGTATGGCCAAAAAAGAACTTTTTTGCGGGACCGACGCGTGAAATCCTGAACGGGCGAGATAGTATAGGTCCATCTTGTGTGCTCGGGTAGCCAATCAGAACACAGGATTCGCTTTGCCTTTTTCTACAACTCAATCATGTGACAAAATCCAATCATGTGACAAATATGGTATCGTACTATTTAGACGTGGGCTTGACCAAAATGGTTACGTGTATAAATCCTTGGCTGTGATTGGTTAGGTCCAAAATAACGGCTATTACTACCTAGTATGAGGCATATATGATATTCTTTGCCAGGCTACAAAGTTCATCTCACTATATTATCTATTGAGGCGATTTTTCCCTCTGTTACTTATATATATATATTTTTCTTTTTGTGTTGTTTTACTTCAGGTTATTCCGTGACCAGTGGACATTTTACTCAAAGAAAACGAATAGGTTCGCAAACATTGTTTAAACTGACCATCGATGGAAATTATCTTTCCGTGTGACCCGTTAACCGCTGCTTAAAAATAAATTTATTGAAAGCAATCGAAACAGGCTTTGAATAAAATAAAAAGCATTCGTCAAAATGGACTTCAGAGTTTTCATCTTTCTTTAGGTGTTCCTGACTCAACTCATTTGAGAACTGAACTGAGAAAGTAGCTCTTTATTTTTTAAGAAGAATTGTCAGTGATTTTGATTTCTTATTACTTTTTCAACTAGGCGCAGTAGAAGCATGGGTCTTAGTGGGAGCCCAAGTGAGCGCGATGCGTACGATCGGGGGGGGGGGGGGGGTAGATTTCATTTTCGGGGGGGGGGGGGGGGGGGAGGGCCCCTTAAAAAAATGGGGTCCGTTAAAACCCAAACAAAACCCGAAGGTCTGTTGGGGGGGTTGCTTGCGGCAAGTTAGCCCCCCCGCTGATATTTTTTTTACTATTAACAGAAGAAAAAACAAAATAGCCAAGAGAGTTTATAGATAATTATTTTTTTTTTTTTTTGTTTTTTTTTTTTTGTATTACATTTAAATTGAAAGAAAGTTGTATATTTTTTTTTTTTTTTTAAAAAAGGTTGTTTTTTTTTTTTTTTTTTTTTTTTTTTTATTCCGAGGGGGGGGAGGAGGGGGGGGGGGGGGGGGGGGGCGGGGGGGGGGGGGGGGGGGGGGGGGGGGGGGGGGGGGGGGTGGGGGGGGAAGAGGGGGAGATCAACCCGCTAGCAGGCGCAGGAGCCCATAACTCCCATGCATACAGGGCCTATAACACAGTGTTTTTACGGACCAGTTTATTTTAAGACACATTTTGGGGCACTTTTTCCCCCAAAATAGAACTCCACCATGTTTATGAGCGCTTTCGAAAAGGAAAAGTAAACGTTATTTTAATTACGTACAGACCTAAAAATGAAATTTTTTGCCTTTTAAAAAAGGTCTGTAGATTTTGTTGACAAGTTTATGGAATTTAAAAGGTATTCAAAATTCGCGCCAAAATCGTTCTAAAAATAAGTTGGTCCGTGAAAACGCCGTGACCCGAGCACATGGAAGTTGCTCGCTCCAGCTTATGGGCTCCTGCAGGCGTCAGTTTTTTTAGGGTGAAGAAAGAATCTCTCCCCTTGGAGTGTGCCCCTCACCCGGCCTGTCATGATTAAGTTACCTGCTACGCAGGAGACGTCCGAGTCGTGCATCCTCGCTCGCCTACGTTATTTCTCATGAGTCTGTGATGACGTGGAAACGTTCGCCTCGTTTTTTTTTCCAGAATACATTGGTGGAGCCCCAAGAGCCGACGGTGTGAAAGGGAAGGTATGGAACTTTTGCTTTAATGCAATATGCCGAGTTACAGAATTCTGCTTTATTTCAATGTTCCGAATTACAGAATTTAGGCGCCGATAAAACATGTACATTCCAAGGTTGAGATTTTGCCGAGTTGTACCGAAATGGAGTGGTGAAAGACGTGAATGGAGGAGAGGTTATCAAATCTGCCCTTTTTAGAATGGATAAAAGTATTGATTTTATAGAGCGTCTTTTGAACGGTACCCAGTAAATACCTTTTTTTATCCAAGTTCTTGTGCTTTTTCTGTCCACTTCCTCTTAAGTTTCATACCTGCCTACTTGCCATGTACTGATTTGTTTCCTTTTCCTCTGTAGGTTGTTATTTATCATATTTACGAAAACTATTTGTCGGTGAAATCAACGTTACCTCGACCAAAGAATATACCGGTATGTAGATGTTTTGAGTTATTTGTTTTCCTCAGTACTAAAAAGAATGGGAGTGTTTTTAATTTCTTTTGTTTCAAAGGTATTATCATGCATTGCCATTTCCCAAGACAAAGAAAACTTGAATTTAAATCAGGACGAGATAGAAAAACTGGCATGTACACCAAAACCACAATGCTAATTTGTTTTCAGAATTTCAGAATTTTCAGTTTAGTCGTCGAGAGGTCATTGGATGACAGTTACATAACCATATTTTTCTTTTGTGTTGAACTATGTTTCTAAAATTTATTGTGCAATATTGCATTCAAGATTGGCGCGAAATGTTTAACTATACCATTGCAAGAAAATAACAAATCTAAGATAAAAAGAGTGACATACATGGTGTGCAGCTTGAAACGTCGCATCTGAAACTTTAACGTAGTAATGTCCTTAAGACTTTTCACTCAGTGACCGAGCACTACTGCCTGGTTACCTGCACAAAATGGTGTTGTGTTCACAGTTTGAGTACCCGATATGTACAGATGTACAAATGTGCTTCATTTCGCCCTAATGGACGCCACTTAGGAACAGCGGGGAATTACTGACGGGGAAAAGCATTGGACTGCCTCGGAACTAAAATAACAGCACCGTGCCCTAATACGACAGTTACGAATATTTAAAATTCATACTTGGCTCCGAGGCTGAAAGGAATAAAAAAATCACATTGAGATTCAGTGATTAATAATTCATTTAAATCGTTTTATTTTGCCTAGCATCGGAGCCAATTATGAAGTTTGATATTTCGATACTGGCGTATTCTGGCTTGGGTACTTGAAGTTTATCGCTCGCATCAAGTGTGGATGTAACCTTGGTGATAAGCAATCTTATTAGTTTGGTTAATTAAATATCTGGCTTTCAGACTGGGACGTATTTCGGAGGTGTCATTTGTGCTGTTGATCTGGATAACAATCAGTAAGTTTCACAAAGATTCGAAGGGTGTATCTGTATCATTGCTCTCTTAATAGGCCATTTGCATGTGACGTCTTTTTACTACTAAGACCAGAATTCATTTCATTTCTTCTTTCATATTTAAATTTGTTAATCCCATTGAGGTTTTAATAACAAAAGCCCTAATTTGCACAAGAAAGCAAAACCCTAAAGGATTCTGGTAGTAGTAGTAGTAAAATGACGTCATCGAGCAAATGGCCTATAGGGAGTTTGAGCAAAGCTGTTTTGGGTGACGCACGTCAACCAGAAGTAGACTTTTTGAATCCTTGGGTATTGGTTTTTCCAAAATACGGGCAAATCATCTCTATGAGAGTTAAGACACTGATCAGGTCAAATTTGGTTCGGTCAAGTGTTTTAAAGTGAAAAACGCCTCTCTTCCGTCGCTCGTCGCTCAAGTAAGTAAGTAAGTAACTATTTGACCAGAGTAGCGCATTCAGCAACGAGGACATGGGAAATAAAGATGTATACATTTAAAAGTTAAAAGAAAAAATCCGAAGGTATGTATATAGCCTGTGTACAAACCCCCCTCCCCTCAGTAAAAATCGGAGAATGGGCCCCTTCTCCGATTTTTACTGAGAGGAGGGGGGGGAGGATGGGGTCTGTACATAGGCTAGTATGTACAGTACGAGATTAAAATCAACAATAATGCAACAAAAGTCTAGCTAGTTTAATATAAAAAGTCTGTGCCAAATAATAAGAAATAAAAGTGAAAAGATTAAATACCTAATCATATTTTTAAAACTATTTAAGGATGTGGCACTTTGTTCCTTCTCCTAGTTGCATGATTGTGCAAATCCCCCTTCTGAAATTTCCCGCCACGTAACATCAGCATAGTCAAATAACAGCTGCAAGAGTGAAGTGTCTACCTGTTTAGAGGCCTCCAGCGTGAGGCATGATCAAATGCGAGACATTTTTACGCATTTTCTTGTTTTTATCGCACAGTAATAAAATTTGACCGGTTTTTGTGACAGGTTTACAGACGTTCTCGTCGGTGCTCCATACTTCACTCATGTTAAAGACGAAGGGAGAGTGTACATCTACTTGAACAACGGCCAGGTTGTGTTTCTTTTTTTTTTTTCGTTCTTGATAGAGACATTCAGATTATAGGACGAGGGCGACCACAAGGAAGAGACTTGAATGAGGCTCAGTAAGATGTGAAGAATTATCCATATCTAGGAGGATGTTATCCACCGAGGCTAAAGCCCGAGGTGGATAACATCCTGCGAGAACTGCATTATTCTTCACATCGTACGAAAGCCGAATTCAGTAATTGTTTTATTACTTCGGATAGCCGTTAACGCCATTTTGAACGATGGTTGTTTTAAATCAATTATTATTCATTCAAAATATTTCCCCGATTCTGATTGGCTAAAAGGGATTTATCAGGGGAGAATGGACCTAAAAAAGCGTAATCCGCAAATAATATACTTACTTTTACTTACTTTTACTTTTTTCACCAGAAAAGTTAAGACGGTTATTGCTATTGACGTAGGTTTAAGCTTTATCCCGTTCGCAAAATGATAAAACTTTTAACATTTCGTAGCTTGTTTCCGCCACTACGTATTTTCGTTAAAACAAGTTGTAGGATGACGACGACTATCACGTTTTCCCGCCAATACGACGCTGGTTAACGCACGTGCTCTTCTAAGTATTGAGAAAATCCCGTTCTCGTAGTCGTCCTAGGGAGAGACCACTTTTAAACATAGTTTCTTTTTACACTTAAATGTTGTTTTACTTTAACCTGCAGGGAGCACTTAATTTGCAAGACAACTTTCTTGAGGGAGATAGAAAAGTGAACGCTCATTTTGGACAAAGTATTGCTGCCGTCGGAGACTTAAATGCCGATGGGTTTCAAGGTAAAGCTGGAAGTTATTTTTTCTACATGGAATATGTTTTCCGATTGTACCTGCTTTTAAAGTGACACCCTTGAGTGATCCGACCTTTGCAGTTCAATCATAATCAAAAGTAGCCTTTGGTTTCGAGGGCTGACTGCACGAACCTAAACCTTGGTAATTGTTGCTAACATGCGAAAACAGTAGCCAATAATGGTGAAATACCAGTAGTAAGCAAAGGTTAGGGAGTGCGGGCGAGCCGGACCGATTGGAAGTGGAGAAGCTTTTGCTCCAACGCTGTGATTTGCGTAGGCTTCACGTGATAGAAGGTCAAAAAGCGCGTGATCATATTGTGTTCTGTGCATTCCATTCATTTTTAGTGAAGTCTAAACGAATGCCAACGAATGCTGGCTATATACGTGCCGCGCATCGGTAATAACAACCTGGAGACTGGATTGCGGGCTTCTCTGGTCGCCCGCAACGAATAATAGAACAGTGTTATCAGTATAGTTACCTTAGCATAGTAACATCAGCATTAGCATGTGACAGCATCAGTAGCAGTCCCATAGTTATGAACGTCATTTTCAGCCCTTCTTCAGTACATTACATGGTCACCATCATCAGTAACATCATTGTCAACATCATCGACTGGAAGAACGTTAGCTAGCACATGTAGCATCGCTTCCCTCAGCAGTCAGCAATAACAGTGTCCCCACCATAAGCAGCCCGGTTTCTGATATGGAAGTACAATCAGACCCCGGTAATACGGACACTGAGGGGGCCATAGAAAGTGTCCGTATTAAGCGGGTTGAACTTAGAGGAAATGTATTAAAGGGCTCTCTTTCCCCAGGGACAAAGCAACTGATCTGTTAATCCGACGATTACGTAATTTTCACGCGTACGTTATTTTCACCACAGACATTGCTATTGGTGCACCGTTTGAAAGAGATGGCAGTGGTGCTGTGTATTTATATCATGGAAGCAGCAAAGGAATAGAGTTGCATTACAGACAGGTGAAGAACTTTATCTCTACAGTCTTCAAACACTTTCAAAAGTACAGAGAAAACAAAAGAAATCAAACTCATTGGCTTATGACGCGATGTAGCTTTGTGATTATAGGTGTTAGTTCAGTCATTTAAGATACATGTCTCATTTGGACAACTTTTCATTAGCAAATTCCGCTGAAGCCACGCCCGATTCAAGATTGAGTTCGGGAATCCCTCTCATCGTCAAAGGACGACATAACTCTTTCAGCACTCGCCCAACCCTGGAAAAGGCCTAAGGCGTCTCCAAATGAGAAAACGTTTTTGGGACCGGGGTGTGTGGGGGAGGGGGCTGTTTAGGCGTTCAAACAAACGTCTTTTTGTACGTACCTAACTCAATACCTACGTTAAGTAGACCCAAATGGTAAGTTTGACGGTTGATTCAAACATTTAACTTAAATAAGTTGACTCAATTCATTATCACGATATAAAAATGGTCTACAATGCTTTCCAGTCAAAATAACTTAAAGTAATTTAAGCATGGCGGCACACAGTGAGAAGTTCGATTTTGAAACAAAGTAGGTCCACATTCGAAACTTCCATGCTGGCCACCCAAACTTTTAAGTTCGAGTGGCCCGCATGGGAGTTTCGAATGGTTCGAACCAAATTAGATATATCGGACTTAACTGATTCAAATCTCGATCTTTTCATGTACATGAAAAGTTCTTCCTTTGAATTGGGCCTTAAATAACCCTTTTGGAGATATTTAAGATAATTCCGCCTTTGACCCAAGAATATAAAATTTATCTGTAACATAATGAGCAAACCTTTCGATGAAGTATCAATCCATTCAGGATGAGTACTACAGTATCAGTGATTGCGAATTACTTTCTTTTTTCAGAAAATTTTAGGTTTAACGATCAAAACGGGAATCAAGTTGTTTGGATATTCCTTATCCGGAGGAGTTGATGTTGATGAAAATGGTTATCCCGGTATGTCGTAGTTTATAAATCCATGATAGCTAGTGTGGTGGATTTTTTAAAGTTCTCTAACCCTAATCTTCTGCCACAATAATTAGATATTGCAGTTGGAGCTTATGGCTCAGACCATGCTGTTATGTTAAGGTAAGGGTTGTTAAGTTCAGGGTTGTTTAGCGAGGCCAACTTCATAGACACTTCTTTTGAAAGTCGAACAACGTTTAAGAAGTTCGACAAATTCCAAAGGACTGCAGTTTGCTGGTGTTGACAAATATTCCCTTAACTTCCATCATCAGGGCTTGAAACGTCGTGCTATTGTCGTGGTAAGCTTGCTCGAATGTAGTTCGACTGCAGCACGACACCAGCACGACTTGGTTTCAGACGTCGAATTTAATTCAGTCGAATAGAACGGCTGTTGCCGAATACAAAACACAAAAATGAAGAAACGGTTTAGCAAACCTTAAAATGTGTTCTAATGTATTTATAATTTATGAATTGAGTTCGGCACGGCGGTAGCGCGACGTTTGAAACCAAGTTAGAAGCTCAAATGCTTTTTTTCATCAAAACCCAGGAAACACGTCAGCTTCTCCTCCGTATGTTAGTGTCACTCTTTGTATGTGCCAGTACTGTTATACCGTTATATAGTGATTTTGTGCGAGAAAAAATAGATTCGGGCTACAAGATAACAAAACAGAACAAAGAACAACAACAACAGATTTAAATAATGAAAATGTGTGCGTCCGTGTATGCATTGCTGTACCACATTGGCTATTAAGGTAATTTCCTTGTTTTGCACTGCGCACCCTCTACTGCGCATAACATTGCCCCATCCAAGATGGCGGCGGTTCTTCCCACTAGCGCAAAAAGAACAAACAAGGGCCGCTTTTGCAGAGCTAAAGCTTTTATTCGCAATAATAATGCCGCAGATCGGCTGACAGCTTCCTAGGTTGCTATCGAAAAACAAGAAAATGAAAGAAATGTGCGTGATCCCGAAGTCTGCAGTGGTTTTTCACTTCGCGGCCGTCGAGTTGTGGAATTATTAAAATGACCTGGCTGACTAAAAATACCCCAGTTTAAGAGCCTGCTGACACATAAACAAGCACGGTGACCCCATCTTTTTATTGCATTTTTTTAATGTTCATATCATGAATGTTGATTATGCCAAGTTTCAAAAAAAGTTGATAGTAGAACAATTTCAAGGGAATTACCTTAAGCTGCCATATATAACCTGCTTTATCAAATAAATGATGATGAAATGTTGATAACCGTTATACTGTTTAGGTCACAGAGTATTGTGAATGTGGTGGGTGAAATTAGACTGAGCGAGCAGCAAATCACTTTGGAAGGCAACCACAGCGTTTGTAACCTTGAGAGTACTCAGCACAAATGGTATGATCTCATGTAATCACTAATGGTATTTCAGTGTCATAAAACGTGTATCTCCCGAAGAGCTCTCTAAGAGCTTTTTCCAATCAAACAAGAGGATGGTATTCAATCTGATGGCCCTTATTTAAAGAACACTTTTTAAACTATTCGAAAATTCATAAGCCTGGGCACCCATTTTGGTGGGAACCAGAAGGAAACGTATAAAACATTGCAAACACCGCCCGGTTTGGTCAGTTATTAGGGCGCCCTCCATCCGTGTGGAAGGTCGCGCCGAGTAACTGAGAAGTGAAGTCTCTCTCTTTGCCCTGCAGATGGCCACGTAGAAATAGCAGTCCCGTCTCCAGTAGGAGACGTAAAAACATTCTTAATTTATTAGTACTTTGGGCTCGATACATTGAAACTTAAATAAAGTAGGTTTCTTTTAGGGGGTAATTGGTTATCATTTCTCGCCCGCAGTGTGAATATCACCATAGTCTTTTACTACAATGATGCAAGTGCTGCTACTACTAGTAAAGGTTTGTTAATACCGACCACCAACAATTCGTTAGTTAGCTAAATATTTGGCTTTGAGAATGGGATACTTGCAAATATTATTTTATTCTTATTTTAACTTTTTAGTAAACACAACTGATCATGTTTAATAGTCGAAATCGAAAAAATGCTTACTGACAAAAATATTCCCGCGTCTCGGGTTACTTGATGGTGCAATAAAGATCACGTGACTACAATATTACGCAGACATCAATAAATTAACATAAATTATATAAAAAATGTTCACAACACTCCCCAGGGTTGCATCACGACTTCGTGATAAAACGCCTTGACTCAACAGTATAAATCTTGAATGTCCACTATTCAATAAATGTCAAAAGAGCTTCGTCGTCTACAAAGTTCACTGTTTGAAAAGACATAATTTCGAATTCATCTCATGTACAGTTCAGTTCAATGTTCACTCAGAAACTTCAACAGGAATTAAGTCCTGTATCACTCTACGTAACACTTGTGGCTTTCGATCCCCTTTGCCAGCAACCTTGACCTTTGCTGATCGAATCTGACCATCTCTACCCGGTAACAGTTCTTGAACCTTTGCCAGTTTCCAAAATGTTCTTTTCGTCAGATCAGACTTCACGATCACAATGTCACCTACTGAGATTGGGCTCTCCTTGTTTTGCTTCTTACATCTCTCATTAGAGCGCTCTCGTAGACTCAAAAGATACTCGTGCTGCCATCTCTTGGTGAACTGACGCAGTAATCGTTGGTGATGCTTAGCTCTCTTTGTCAAGGTCTGATTAACACTAACAACTTCGAAATGCTGGTTACTTGGTGCACTAGTAATTCGTCTACCAGTAATTAGATGAGATGGCGTAAGTGGAGTGGAAACTGACTCTTCATCATCATAGACATATGTTAACGGTCGTGCATTTACGATTGCTTCGATCTCCACCATTGTGGTTTGTAGCTCATCATAGTTTAACGTAGAGCGTCCCACTGTTTTCTTCAATGGTTGCTTCACAACTTTAACCATCCGTTCCCAAAAACCCCCCCACCAAGGAGCTCGCTCAACGATAAAGTTCCATGTGATGCGATTGTCAGTTAAGTATCGCGTAACCTCGTCTGATTGTATGATCTTCCTTATATCTTTGGATGCGGATCTGAAGGTTTTGGCATTGTCAGACAGAAGGGTGACTGGTAATCCCCGGCGACTAACGAACCTACGAAAGGCCAACAGAAATGAATCAACGCTCAGAGAAGGCGTCAGTTCCAAATGAATCGCTCTCGTGGACGCGCAAGTGAATAAACAAATGTACACCTTGTCGGAGCCCGTTTCTTTTGAAGACCTTCCATCACGTATGTACAAAGGACCTATGAAGTCTAATCCTGTGTGGGAAAACGGCGGGTCTAGAGACACTCGTTCCAGTGGTAAATCTGGAGTCGGTGGTGGTCTGTATGGAGCTCCTTCTACTCTTCTACAGATGGTACATTTTCTTACAATTTTCTTCACAACTTCTCGACCTCTTGGTACCCAGAATCGTCCTCGAATAGTGGTTAAGGTGTCCTTGATACCACTGTGTTTAATCTTGGAGTGCACATCCTGGATGATGAGACTAGTTAGTGGGTGTTTAGACGGAAGTAAGATTGGATTCTTGCTTTCTTCAGAGAGCGGTGCATTGTTTACTCTCCCCTTGCATCTGATGATTTGTTGGTTGTCAAGGAACAAGTTGAATTGCGTGACATAGACGGGTGGAAATGTTCCCCTTTTGCTTTGAAGAAATTCGAGTTCTTTGGCAAATGAGGCTTTCTGTACAGTCTTGATCCACAGCATTTCAGCTTGATTTAACTCTTGAGCATTAAGTTCCCTTTTTGACGAATGTTCTGGTAACTTGTGAGTTTCACGGTTTGATACACTGTTCTTCGCATTACCTATGAACCGTAATAGGTAGGCTGTCACGCGGAATAATCGTGTTACACTGCAGTATCGTTCAATGTCAATGACTTGACTGAGATTGATTGAATGGTCTTCTGACTCTGTCGTGACCAGAGAGTGCGTGACACTCACAGGGCTTTTTAGAACTTCTTGAAGGGCTTCTTCGTCATCAGACAAAGCACTTGTTTGGGGCGACTCAGGCCAATGTTCTCTCACTAACTTCAGAAACTTGGGCCCATTCCACCATGTCTGGTTTTGTGCTAATTGCTCTCCTCCACATCCTCGTGATGGTAGATCAGCGGGGTTCAACTCCCCGGGACAGAAATTCCAGTTGGCTTCGTTAGTTAGTTCTCGTATCCTGCTGACCCGGTGTTGTATGTAAGGTTTCCATGCTTTGGCATTTTTTATCCAACACAGCGTGGTGAATGAATCGGTCCACAAAAATGTTCCTTCGATTGGAAGAACGGATTGTAACGTTTGCTGCGTTGAGTGAACTAGTTGGGCTAGCAATGCAGCTCCTAGCAGTTCCAACCTGGGAATTGACTGACGTTTACTCGGCGCTACTCTCGTCTTGGATGTCATGATGTTGACTTGGATTTCACCATTGCTGAATGCGGTTCTCAGGTACACAACAGCTGCATAGGCTCTTTTCGACGCATCTGAAAAGCCATGGATCTGATAGGAGCATACTGCTGACTGCGCTGGTGAGTAATTGGCATAACATCGGGGAACTCGAATGTTCTTCAGAGCATTCAGGTCATTAATGAACGTTTTCCACTTCGCTAAAGCTTCTCCTTCCAAGTTTTCATCCCAATTGACCCTCTCAACACATAAATCTTGAAAAAGGACTTTCATGCTTATTGTAAATGGAGTTAACAGTCCAATCGGATCAAAGATTTTGGCTGACAGTTTCAAAACACATCGTTTGGTAGCTGGAAGGGCTTCTGCGTACTCAATCAACTCAGAGAGGTCATAGCGAAATTCATCTCGAATGACATCCCAGTAAATCCCGAGAATCTTCACCAATTGCTCTGTTTCCAGTTTATCATCTTTGGCACTCGATGACTCTTCTTTCTTGAGATTTTGTGTACTTTCACTTTCTTTGGGAGGGGATTCCCAAACTGACGGTCCTCTTCTTTCTTCATCCTGCTTGATTTTTTCGCGGAAGGACTGACAGTTAGAATTCCACTTACGCAGTGAGAATCCTCCATCTTTCATGATTTCCTGTGCTTTGTCGTACAAGTTCACAGTTTCATTCTCGCGAAACACTCCTCCTGCCAGATCATCAACATAGAAGCTGGAACTTAACAAAGATGTTACTTCTGGTTCCTTTTCTTTGTACTTGGACAGATGGAGTTTTATGGTACTTGCCAGGATAGCTGGACTTGGAGTTAAGCCAAACACAAGCCTTCGAAACTGGTATTGCTTGATTTGCGGACGATCTTTCTCAATGTCATCGAACCATAGAAACCTCAGCATACTTCTGTCTTCTGGGTTGATCTGTATCTGATGGAAGGCCTTTTCGATGTCAGCTACTACAGCAATTGGATACCCTCGAAACTTAACCACAATATCAAATAGGTGTGGCACTAAGTTCGGTCCTTTCTCTAAACACTCGTTAATTGAAGCAGTTGACTTGTCAGATTTGGCTGAACCATCAAATACAACTCTCAATTTTGTAGTTTCCCGGTTCGACCGAATTACGCCATGATGAGGTAAGAAATGCATTGGAGCTTGGTCGTAGTTGTGTTCTGGTACGGCTTCGATTATCCCGGATTTGACTTGATCCTTGATCACATTGTCATAATCTCTCAATAGTTCCTTGTTTTTCTTCAGTCGCGAGTGAAGCTGTCTCAATCTTGTAACACACAATTCGTACTCGTTTGAAGCAGGAACAAGGCCTTCCTTCCAAGGCAGACCAACTTCGTATCTTCCTTCATTCTCATTGAAATGAATACTCTCCAGGAACTCTCCACTATCTGACTGTGACACGGGTGGCTTCTCTCGTACTCCTAATGACTCAATGTCCCAGAATTTTTGCAAGGCATTACATAACTCATCGTTCTCACTATGACTGATGTCAAATGGGCTCAAGGTCATCAATTCCGGCCTCTCTATGATGAGATTTGTAGTTGCAAACTTCTCTCTTGATTCTTCAGCACTTGTGGGACCAGACAAGACCCATCCGAACATGCTGCTAACTGCTACGGGACCACTGCAGCCACGAATGACATCCCCAGACACAATATCGAAATAATAATCAGATCCAATTAGCACATCTATGTCCTGTTGACCTGTTTCAGCAATGCTCATGTCAGCAAGCTCGAGACCTTGCAGATGTACGTGATTGTCGATGTTAACTTTAGCTGACACCGCCGAGCAAATCTTCGGGAAACATAGTGCAGATATCTTGATTTCTCCTTGAGATCCTTGCAACCGCAAGTTCACAACATCACATTGTTGCTTCGTATATCTTTCGTCTCCAAAGGTGTTAAGATGCAATGTTTCTGACTTGACAGGGGTCAGATTAAGCCTCGATTTCAATCTGGTTGTGATGTAGGTGCGTTGACTTCCGGTATCCAAAAGTATTCTAACTGGTGCGGCTTTAGAACTGACAACATTGACAGCCATGGCTTTCGCTGTTTGTAAGAGCACAGTTCCCTTTGCCTTGTTGCTCACTGTTGTTGTTGTCGTTGTCTCTTCGGCTGAAACTTCTTTTGGTTTCGGTTTCCCTTGGTCAAGCATTGAACAAATCGACTGATGATGCCGCTGCTGGCAGTGTCGGCATTTTTTTGGATTCGTGCAGTCTTTCGCACAGTGATCAAAACGCAAACAATTGAAGCATCGTTTATCCCTTTCCAAAATACTTCTTCGTTGAGCGGTATCTTTTACCACACCACATGATGCAGAGTAATGCTCGTTTTGACAATAGGCACATTTGATTTTGAAGTTCCCACTTTGCTGAGAGACGAGTGAATTCGCGGTTGGCGTTTGATTTCGAAACTTTGAATCACGGCCGGGTGGTTGAACTTTCCCGCCTTCGCTTGTTTTCGCCATGGTCATCTCGCTTGCTTCCCGCGCTTCGACTTCAACCTTTATCACGTTTAGCAACTCCTCCATTTTCCATACAGAATCCTTAGAGTTCCTGGCTATCTGCAATCGAATCTCAGATGGCAACTTTGACATAATAACAGGAATTAAAAGACTTCCGTATTGATCTGAAGTTACGCCGAGCGATGCCAAACCGCGGGAATGAACACAAATTTGATCGTAGACGTATCGAAGACTGGCTGGGCGATCATTAGAACACGGCGAAACCTTGAGGAGCTGATCCATATGTGCGCTGATAATTTGTTGGGGACGCCCGAAACGTTCTTGTAATAATTTGACTGCTGCGTTGTAGTTCGCTTCGGTTAAGGTAAGACCCTGAATAGCTCGAGCGGCGGCCCCTTCAAGGACAGAATTGAGGTAGTTGAACTTATCGATGTTGGAAATCCCTTCGTTACGATGAACCGCCGATTGAAATGAATCCCAGAAGGTATTCCACTTGGTCACATCTCCTCTAAACTTCGGCAGGTACAACTTCGGTAATCTTGCACGGACTGCATTTTGATTCACTGGCTGTGATGTCGTTTGAGGAGATCCCACGTGTTGCTGGGTTGGCATGTTCACCTTGCTCGCATTCTCGATTTTGCATTTTAGACGTATAATTGAGGCAGTAAATTCTTCTGACTCTTCGATTTCTTTATCAATCGTTGTAACTTCGCATAAAGATAATATCTCTTGGTCCATTTCGCTAAGCGACTCTTGTTTTCCATCCAAGAGTTGTCTCATAACATTGAGCCGTTCGTAATCCTTGTCTTCGCTTTGCAACATTTCGGTGAATTCTTGATCCAGTTTCGATACATATCGTCGGTGTCCTTCACGTATAACTCGCAGTCGTTCCAAATTCGATGTATTCGCTTGCATACTCGATGTACTTGATATCTCGTGTGTTTTTGACTTCGGTTTACCCTTTTTGGGAGGCATTGCGATCGAAAATCTGCCCCACGTTGGGCGCCATTTAGTAAACACAACTGATCATGTTTAATAGTCGAAATCGAAAAAATGCTTACTGACAAAAATATTCCCGCGTCTCGGGTTACTTGATGGTGCAATAAAGATCACGTGACTACAATATTACGCAGACATCAATAAATTAACATAAATTATATAAAAAATGTTCACAACAAACTTTTTCCATTTTTTCAAAGTTTAAAAGAGCTCACTTTAGCGGAAACTTTCAAGCTTTAATCAAATTTCTCAGATAGCTTTTATATTCAACTATGTTTAAAACATTTTATAATGTGGTGCGGAAATGTTTTAACGAATTATGGACAATGAAAAACTGTTCATTTGATTTAAAAGCAGAACTGATCCCTTCTTTTAGACTTGCACATATGGCACACGGTGGAACTAGACAAGGACAGAGGGCAGAACGCGTTGCGCCGACTGTTCTTCTGGGATGCTTTAAACAGAAAGAGAACGTTTATCCTGGAAGATAACTACACCATTCGTACAAGAAACACATATTACAGTTTGCAGCCTCTAACAGTTTATTTAATGGTATGGCAATTCACTTACCCTATAGGTAGATTTCCACTGTCGTGTAATTTTTACGTACGTAAATAAAATAGAGACAATGTTTGAAAGGCCGCGCATGAAGGAAAAAGTTGAGGGAGATTCAACTTTTAAGTTTACGCACGGTCTTCCATTCACTGCCTCTACTTTCTTTATGCATATGAAACTGAACAATGCGACAGCGGAAATCCTCCTTATGAGTCGTTTGCAAATAACTTCAAGGCGGCCTTGTTGGTGTGTTCGCATTCTCGACTCCAGAGCTCTTCTCTTTTGCGCATGACCAAGGGGGAAAACAGCTCTCCTTTGCCCTGCGCGGCCAAAAGAATGAAGGCTGTGGAATCGAGAAATAATGGTATAATCGAACTTAAACAATTATTGAAGATTAATTTTAGTAAGTAATGCTTTACTGTTAATTTCTTTACGTTTACAAAGAAGTTCAAGAGTTTTTAAACTCGAAGTACGTGCTAAATACATAAAAATCCCTTACTTCAGTTGGACATGACACTTGTGAAATTACAGTAACAGTTGTTTAAATTAGTCGTGTACAGTTTGATGAAAACTTTGAAAACACTGACCAATCTGCGCATTAGCGGAGTATTGTGCGCTGCTAAACAAAGCAGAGGACTTTTTTCTCTTCTGCGCATTACCATATTAGTTATCTGCAGGTGACGTTATGATGTCTAGACCAATCAAAACTTTGCGAAAGATAATTTAAATGGTAATAACAAATATTTGGACAGATCTCATTTTCCAAAGGATGAAAATTGCGTTGTTTGGCTACAGCAACATGGCGCCAAACGTTATGCGTTAACGCCCTACAACTTAACTTTTAGAAATGTTCCGTGTAAGTCCCGTGTAAAGACGTAGGGAATACAGAAGTGACCGTCTGGTAAACATCGTGATATACTCCAGCTTTAAAATCTTAACTGTATAAACTCAGTTACTTGCAAAAGCTTAAGTGAAAACAAAAAGCGTGTATAGTTTGAGCATTTTGCCAGAACCATTTTCAAACGTCTTGTCTCGGTGTTTAGATAACCGAGGTCGCTACAAAGGAAATCTGAGGACGTAAGCTTAAGCCTTAAACTGGGTTTTAACTGAATAGAGCTATAATGAATTATATCGCTGTGCAAGGTCGATCGCTGAAGGAAAGTGCAGGAATGGTGAGTTGGGAACCTTGAAGCGCGGATAACGCCAAAGAGATTAGGTTGCTTTGTTTTAAGAGCACATTTCCATCTTCTGTAATACGTTACTACAAATAGGATAACAAACGGTATGTTTACACCGAACGTCTTATTTAGGCCTATTTTGTTATACTTTAGAAACTTTTAACTGTCTGGATACACTATGCACTATGCAGCTAGTCATTCACGTGGTAAAAAAACTGCCATACTGGAGAGCATCAGACTCACTAGCCCAAGAAAAACAAATGAAATTACCATTTCAAACTGATGCGAGCTCTTTGTTTGTCTTGTCCCAGTGCGTTTCACGGTCTCTAGCATGGCGGTTTTGATGTGGATGATCAGCTGCAAAGGGCCCATTTCAATTATACCTCCCTCAGTTAAAAGAAAATGGCCACTCATCAACATGTTACACGCTTTCCTTTCCAACAGTGCTCTTCCCTAGAGTCGGTCGTTTAAAGATCTTTAAATATGAGATCATCTTTGTTTTGTTGCAGGAAAAAGACGAACTTGGCGATGTAAACTCCCCTCTGACCTTTGATCTAAATATCTCCCTTCCTGCACCCCCTTGTGATGGACTGTGTCCTGTTCTTAATGATTACCTGCCAAGCACCTATCGAGCTGAGGTTATTATGTAATTTATTATAGGTGGAGTTTTTGTTGCCATAGCGACGAGATACGTGACATCTTACACAGAGTAAAACGCTTTCTCGCCAAAACTACTATCCTCAGAGACCCAGAGGCAGCTAAATAGGAAAGATATTTATCTAAAGTGGTGAAATCATTACAAAGTGTTAGATGTATGTGAAATAAAACACAACTACGATGATCATGCTTCATTTGACTTCATTTCCGCAGGTCTTATAGGATTTATTTCATATACATCCATCATATTCATCTCTTTCACGGGAACATATGAACACATAATTGACCAGCTCCCAACATCAGTGGCTTCATAGCTCAGTTGGTTAGAGCATCGCCCCGGTATCGCGAGGTCACGGGTTCAAACCCCTTTGAAGTCCTGAATTTTTTTCAGGCATTTTACGCAATTGCATAAATTGCTTTCACAATTGCGAGGATCATTCTTCGTCTGATTTCATTACAAAGTGTTAGGGAGAAAGGCAGAACTCCTCGGTTATTCCTCTTTCCCAATCAGTTCAATATCTTTAGGCCATTCATGAAGCAGGAAACTTAAATGCTTTTAAAACTGGGGCTTGTTTCTAGAAAGTCACGGAAACTTTAAATTTGTAGTACGCCTCCTAGTTCGGCCTTTTTTAAGATTACGCCGGAGACTTGGCCGTTCTGTGTCATATTCCTCTATGGGATTGTTTGGGGTAACTAGCACTTCTATTGGCTATAAGTAGTAATATTATTAAATTCACCCCCCGAAACAGCCCTATAGTTCACTGCAACTGAACACCGACCTAGTCTCGACTTAAGCGTGATCTCAAAATGACCACTGGCAAATGAAATTTTGATCTTGTAATTAAACACAGCAATCATAAACAGCCTTGCGAGCCTTTTTATTGCTCGGTCTTTCGAGAAACGGGCCCCCGCTTCGGTTAGAATTAGTACCCGGGTGTATTTCTTTCTTGTAAACCTTTTGTACAGTATTTCGCTAGTCTGAACATTTCGTCGCCATTTGCTTGCTGCCCGTTTTGGTCCCTGAGGATGCTGAAGTCTAAGATTGCGCAAAATTGCAAAACTATGTCATCGTAGATAACCGTACGGTATAATTTTATCGGCGATAAAAAAGGCTGCACCATATTACATGGGATTTTTCAACTTTCGTTCAGTTTGTCAAGCGAATGTCTGCACGATTCAGTTTGATCCATATTTTCAAAACAAAACTGCGTCGCCTGTGGAAGTTTATTAAGAATCGAAAGTTATGATTTCTGCTCCACTGTTTGCGACTCTTATTTTTTCTTCAATGAAATTAGTGGGATCGTACGCGTAACACGCGAGCAGCGAGACAGAGAGAATCTAGGACGTTTGCCCGAGAAGAAAGGGTGACGCCCCCGATTTTTTGGCTTCACCATTAGCGAGGTGCGCGTAATACCCCACTATATTTTAAGAAACACAGGAGATTTCATGCAGTCTACTCTACTAATATCTCGTAATTGTTTCTTGTTTAGGTCTTTTTTAAGAAAAAATGTAAAAATCATGCTGCTTGTGCTCCAGATTTGGCGCTTAGTGGCAACTTGGTTTTTTCTCCCAGGTAAGTTGGTCAATTTAGCGCTTCTGCTTATTCTTCTCTTTTAAATCCTGAATTTTCATTAGGTCCGTTCTTGGCTTACACTTCAACGAAAGCGAATTTAAGAAGGAAGAAGTGTTCTGCTCTATAATATAATTCAAGACACACAATTGAAGAAATCATGAGCGAAAGCTCAACCGAACGAAAGGAAATTTTCCCTTTCTTCCGTTTCGATGCTTTGTTCCTGTCGGTTACCATCCACTATGAGCAAAAACTACCGAGACGGAAGCGGAAAATCACAGTCTTTGATATCAACATGGCAGTGTTGCGCGTGCCCGTTGGTATCCTTCACCTTCATTTGGGTATCGGTCTAGATGATATATTTGAAAGACGAATAATTCGTATAGGAATGAATTCGCTGATGAATTAGGAGCGGCCACTTTCCAGTACGCTCTACTGTCGTTTTTAAAACTAAGGTACCTGGAGGAGGAAGCCATCAGAATGCTTCTCGAGAAAGCTCGGTAAAATCCAGTCTCCTTTAGATTAAACGAACCACAAATAAACCCCTAGAGGCTGTTGGTGTAATGGTCCAGAATCCGTGTGCGGCTAGTTAGAGGGAAGAAAATAGGTGGCACCTTAAAATGAAAGCCGGGGAACAGTAACACTCGACTGAAAAACACTAACTCTTTGCTTGTAAGCCCCATTATGTTTCTCATTCTCCAGCCTGAGATATTTGCGTTTTGGGTTTTTCCTGATTTTGGGCCCGCAAATTCAGTGTAGACCCAGAGTTCTTTTTGCTTACTGTACTATTTTCTGCAGGCATGTTAAAGAACTAAGAATTGGAGTTGTCAAGAATTTTACTCTGCAAATCATTGTAGAGAATAAAGCTGAAGACTCTGCTTACGCAACCAAGTTAATACTGAAATACCCAGATAAACTGGACTACGTTGGATCTGAACAGGTACTGTTTCTCCTAAAAATGACGATATCAGTAACATTATTTCATTTAATGCGTATAGCTTCAAGAAAGCTCCCCCAATTCGCTATCGACTGAGAACATTAAATTAGCGCTAAAGAGCTTATTCGAGCACCACTGTATTATATGGACAATGTGCGACCAATGAAAGAATGATCTTCATTGTAACTATAATCATGAATGTAGTTTTAATTGTTACCATAGTTAGAATCGGCCTCGTAATCGTAATACTTATAGTAATCATAATCATAATCTGTAATCATAAGTCGTCACCGTAAGCGCGAACATAATAATCATAATCATATTCGTAATCATATCATAATCATTATCACAATTAAATTATAATCGTAATCGTGGACAAACTCATTTTTTAAAGGCCACAATGGTCGTAAGTAATAATAAGGAAAAGAAGAAAACCGCTCTTCTTTAACACAATATGTTAAACAATAGATAAAGAATACATGCGGAGGTAAATATCCCTCCTCAGGACACGGTGTTACCCTAATCTGGCTGGTTAGGGACGGACCATTAGAAAAGTTATGTGGGGGGTGGGGCGTGGGGAATTTTCGAGCCGCAGGATTTTTTTTTGGTATCAAATTCCTTGTATGAATTTTTTTTAGGCCATAGCATGAATATTTTTAGGATTAATTGGCGATTAATTTTCCCTTGCTCGAATATTTTTTTTGTACTTCGCCCGCCTCCCCCCCCATAAGTTTTCTAATGGTCCGTCCCTTAAGTAAGTTGTTTGTACCTTAAGTAAAATTGTTTTTTGTTTGTATTTTAGGATGTAGACTGTGACAAGACCATCCCTGTTAATGGCACTGCAACAATTAATTGTGATGTAGGAAATCCCATGCAGGGAAAGACAAATGTATGTCCACTATTTTATTCGTGAATCATCCTTTAGTGGGCGAGGATCAGGTTTAACTCAACAAAAAGATTAGACTTGCTACAAGTCGTCAAGCGGCCAAGTGAGCGACGACGCGCCATATTAAATCGGACGAAGGACTTTTTTGATGATGTATCCCAACTGTTAGCGCTACTTGCATAAATCTCGATTACAGGAGCATTGTTCCTTTGATTTCTTTTCAAAATTGTTTCATGAAAAAACTTCAGTGGGTGAATATATTTACATGTAACAGAACGTCAACAATAGGAATTGTTTATTTAAAAATCCGTTTCGAATACTATCTTGCTGAAGAGTTACACAAGTCTAATGTGTCAACATTAGATGAGGCGGCACCTTTGAAGCTTTATCGTTTTCCTTTATAAAGTTAAGATCGTCAGTCAGCTTTGAAAGAGTATTAAACAATTCAGTCCCTTGCCCAGTACTACTCCTGCTTGTCACTGGTTCTCAGTTTGTCGCGTGATCTACACGTTTCCGATCACGTGAAGCACGCGAGTCTGCTACGTCACCAAAATGAATTGACCAAGGTAGACGTAAGAAGAAGCTGCACAGGTGTACTAGTGAAACGCCTATCGACAGAGCTGGTAAAATGTTTTCTTTAATCTTGTTTTCTCTTTTTAGAAATCATTCATAATCAAGTTTTCGCCGGGTTCCGTAAGAGAAGCCTTCATTCTTGAGGTTGAAGCGTTAAGGTGCCTATTTCATTTATCATTTCATTTTCACTTCAATCTTTCTCTCGAGAGGAAGTGCTTATTCTTTTTCGTTTTTAAGCTAAGCTCTGAGTAACAAACGTAGAGTAAGGAGCGCAAGAAATTGTTTACGTTTTTCTTATCGCTGCTGAAACTATTATTGGTTTACTATTTTGTTGTAGTGTAGGTATTCTTCAGGATCCTTTTAACCTTGGACTAACGCCTTTTAATTAAGGAACCGTCCGCTAAAAATGGCACATGTTCAAAAGCACATGAAGCTCATTTCGAAAAAAAATAATACCCTCATACTCTTTTATGCGCTGGCTCACCTTCGCTGGAAACATTTTTTTCTTGCGCAATGGAATTGAGGTTACATTCAGGTAGCTTGCACCAGAAGGAAGCTTTTTCTGCGGTTAAGGAATCCTTTATACTTACTTTTTTCAAGTAAATGTAAGGCAGGCCTCTGAACCCAATGAAACAGGAATCAAACTATAATTTAAGTAACCTTAGCACTGCTTCGTTCGTATGCAAATTTTCGATGATGCATGACCCGTGCATATTGCGCAAAGAGCAAAAGTGAACTTTACATGAATCACCACCCAAAAACGGCACGTAGAAGAACATAATGGTGTTATTAAACAACCCATTCATGAGGTGCACGCTTCATTGTTTTACTGATTATTCTTCAGCCAAGATGAGGATGTTAACGACTATGATAACAAGATACGATTTCCGGTCACCGTAAAGTTTGAAGCGGATGTTGAAATCACAGGGTATGTTCAATGGACAAAATTTTGCTGGCGCTATTCATGTAAATTTAAGTAGACAGGCAGAAAATTGTTGTTGCTCAAAATATCTATATGTCGTTACTGTTCATCAGTAGGATGCCTAACATGTGTGCAATCAGTGCAATTCCGCAATTGGTTTCGGCTCCATTAAATCCTATACCAAATTGTAGAGCATTTAGGAGGAGGGTTCGTACCCCGCTTTACGGACACCCTCTTATCTCATTTTTACCGACAGTTTTCTTTGTCTCTGGAGAAATCCGTTATGTTGTCTCTAAAATCAACCAGCTTACTTAGGACAACGGAGAGGTTTTTCTTGTCCAATCAATAGGAACGTAGCTTAACGTCGCTAATTAGTTAAAAATAATGGCTATTTTGTAAGTCAGACATGTTAGTTTGTTGATGCCAATGCTTAATTTGAAGTGATTTATTATTTTGCCATTAAAATGTGTATTTGTGATGTAATAGCCCACGTTCGATATATCAAATTTCTAACATGACTCTTGAGGCTTTAGGGACAAAATTGCAAATTTTTTTGACAACGCCACTGTCTCGCAATTCCCAGAGGAGACTTGAGCGCAAAGAAAACCAAACCAAATATAGAAATATGACCATAAAGCGTCGGACTCAAACGGAGTCATTTTACAAATTTAATATATCGATCGTGGGCTATTAACGGTACTCGCTTAATAGAAAACGGACTCTGCCTATGGTACCCTTCGTGTCTGTAGTAACATAACAGGGTTCGATTGTATTTCTGATTCACAATTTTTATTTTGTAGCTCATCAAAGCAGGATCAAGTTGTGTACTCAGGACCTGTGACGGAAAAGGAAGACGTTAAGAAAGACTTGGACTCTATCGGACCTAAAGTGATCCAAACATTTACTGTAAGTTGAAAATGACTCGCTCACTTACCTCTAGGATATCGTGGCCAAAGAAAATAAGTATAGTGGATCTATCAGTGGTATTTTAGTCCTATTTGCTTTGTGCTTTCCTATCACCTCCGGTCAGCTATCGAATAATGAAACCCTAATCAAACAGTAGAGATGTGGCCCCGTGAGTCTGATTTCACGATATGTTCAATTCCCTACTGAGTAATATCTGAGATGCGGCTCAAGTGTCGTTTAATAGTCTGCCAGTTATGGCATGCTGATAGGTTCTAACAGTGACCGCCAATGACAACCTCGATCATACCTAATTTGTTTTTTAGGGTGTCATGCTGGTTTTTATTTAACAATTAATAAATGAGGCTGAGTATCTTATGAAGAATTATGGAGATCTCGTATAACACCCTCCGAGATCTCCATAATTCTTCATATGATACGAAAGCCGAATTCAATGATTGTTTTATTATTCATTCAAAATAATTCCTAGTTTAAAAACATGGCTAAAACATGCTTACCTCCATCGATCCATCGACGTTAAGTTCATCTTCGATAGTGCACGTTTAGGTTTGTCCAGCTCCGCAAGTATTCTCCAAATAGCATGTCGCCCTTCAAGTTGTCTTCTTACTGTTCTTGCCATGTTTTTAGCTATTGTTTCGCCTAGTTCTTACTCTTGAAACGAGTGAAATGTCCGCCATTTTTCAAGTTCACAACCCAAACAACTCAACCTCTTTCCCAGGTCTTCTCGGTTAACGGTGCCTTAACCTGCGAAAACGCTGCATTTTTGACGTCATTTCCTCGTTAAACACAAAATTCTTCCAAATTTGGTCATCAGTAACTGGTTATGGTGAATCAAACGTGTGCTTTTAGCCAATCAGAATCGAGAAAATATTTTGAATGAATAATAAACAGATATTTCTGGGTGCAGGTGTGATTTGCCTCCTCCCAGTCATGTCCAATACTGCCGCACTGTTACGGACCGTTAAGAGCAGTTAACGGACCGTACGTTCTGCACAAACCGTCACTATTACTCACGGTCCGTATACTGAGCAGATGCGGAGCGTGCGTCTCATTATTACATGAGGGCACAATGCGTTACGGTTCGTTCGATCCGTACGGTCCGAAGACATACGGAGCGTGCATCTCATTATTACATCAGGGCACAATGCGTTACGGTTCGTTCGATCCGTACGGTCCGAAGACATACGGAGCGTGCATGTCATTATGACATAAGGGCACAATGCGTTACGGTTCGTTCGATCCGTACAGTCCGTAGAGATACGGTTCGTTCGATCCGTACGATCCGCACGGCAAGAGAGGCGCACTCCAACTGTAATATTCCTCGTTCTATAAACCATAAACCAACACAAGCGCAAAAACCAAGAAAGGCGCACTCGAAGTGTAATATTCCTCGTTCTATAAACTATAAACCAACACAAGCACAAAAACCAAGAAAGGCGCACTCCAAATGTAATATTCCTCGTTCTATAAACCATAAACCAACACAAGCGCAAAAACCAAGAAAGGCACACTCCATGAGATGCGATTTACCGACCGTAAAACACTCTTTACAGACCGTATACCCCTTTTGTCGATCCGTTCGATCCGTACGGATCGACAAACCGTATATAACCACTTTTGCCATGAAAATATCCTAAGTCCCACTAATGAGATGCGATTTACCGACCGTAAAACACTCTTTACAGACCGTATACCCCTGTTGTCGATCCGTTCGATCCGTACGGATCGACACATGGCTTATACGGACCGTTACGGTGCGGGTGTATTGGACAACCCTCGTGATTTGCACGGTTAGCTCTTGGTACACTTTTATTGGTCTCACCTTGCAATCTCTAAAAAGATTGCTGATTGGTTCCATACTAAAATTTTCGTCAACAGTTGCGTAATAAGGGCCCTAGTGCTGTTGATAGTTCATTGGTGACTGTGAACTTTCCATACTTGTATTCATTGTCCAAGCCTGAAAGCTACCTCTTCTATCTGATACAAATTGAGGTGAGTAAACCACGCAGTGTAAAGTTTCAGTAGTAAGTAAGTAAGTACGGTAAGCAGAATGGTAGGGTCTGACTACTCTTCTTTCCTGCGCTGGAATGTATTTAACGTTGATGACGTCATAGGCCCATGGGCGCCAACAACGTTCACTGAACCGTTACCTTACCATGTACCTTTTATTTCTCTCCGCATCCAATGCTTTTGCTTTAAAGGATCATGAATAGTGTATATTAATCAGTGCGAAGGTAAAAGTTGTACCTCTTCTAACTCAAAATACAATAAAATTTTGTGAAGACTGTTGTTTAATTGTGCGACCTCCTCCTCCTCCTCCTCAATTCTGTTAGTCGACGGTGTCGACGTTGATATATTCCTGTGTATTGTAATGAGATTGCCGCACTGAAACCAGGAGTAACCAGTCCCTACTTTACTACTTTGTTGGAAATTCATGGGATCATTTTAGCTCTTAGGAAATTTTTGTTTGTATGATTCATGTTTAGTTTCAGTTCTGTCAGCATAAAAAGTATTGCATTTTTGAACGGAATTTGCTTACTCCCCCTCTTTTTCTTACGCGGATTTTCTTCTATGTACTAATAAATACTGAATTTCAACTTCCTTGCTGTAACCCTCTCTCAGTACTGTCTGTCATAACTGAATATCAAGGCGTTAATAACCCTTTAACACCTTTTTCTTTTCATAAGCTCATGTTCAGCCCAACCCCAGTGTGTTCTAAGCTTGATGATGTGTGCCAATAATGGCTGTTGTAATATTCATTCTGTTATTGATCTTCTTTCTGTTTAGTCTTACACAAAAATCTCTGTGTCGACTGCGTGTTTTTTAACGATAGGTATATAAATATTAAACTGATATGTTGAGTTTTTCACTAGTGTTGACCGAAATAGGACTTCTCAATAATAGATTAGAAAGTAAAACTTACAGTAAACGACTTTGGCTCATTAGAAGGACTGTTTTAAATTTTAGCACCCTGTCTAAATTACATTACCAGTAGTTCATTTATGTAGTTTCTTTACTGACGTCTTTCTCTCTTAAGCTTAATGGCGCCTCAGGAAGCTGTAACGCCAATATCAATCCTCTGGATATCAAGGTGAGAAGTCTCACTGCCAGTGTTAAACCCTTTTTATGGGACAGGTATCCCAAGGTAGAAACTTACGCGTCCTTACCTAGGCTCAGTCTCCAGCCGTGGATGTCTCGATCTGGTTGGGGGAATCGCGGGCGCATCGAGACACCAATGGCTGGAGACTAAGTCCTTACAGTGAGTGTGAGGGTATGCAACAGTCGAAGTAAAGAACGAAGGAGTTTTTTCTCTGGTGGAAAAACCGGCATGGTTGTTTATCTTACACTGTTTCATAAAACGCAGGCTTCAGACATTGGACATGAAACCTCGACAGATTTCTTGTGTAAATGGACAATAACTAAAATAATCAATTGTTTACGGTGCGGCGCTTGCTTGTTGTTTGTCAGTAATGCATCTGCCGCAGTATGACTCCTTTTGCGAAACGACCACTCATGACCTACGTTTGGTCAAGGGTACGCAAGACTGAGGAGTTTTCTACTCTTAAGATATTTGAACAGGTTACTTAGCCGCTAGAAATCTCTTGTTAACTGTACATTTGTGTGTGCTTTTCCTTTTGGTTCTGAGAGTGAAAGACAGCCTCTTGAAGTTATTCTTGCGATGGATACTTCTCCTTGCCGCCATGTTCTTTGATGTCCTCTGTAGCTTAGTCAAACCTGTAGTAAACAGTCAGTGTCAGTTGGGTTGGTCATTTGGTCATTCCCATAAGTTTACCGCTTATAAGGAGTACGAGTTGACTATAAAATCGAGTTAATTAAGGATGAGTAGGTGGAAAGGTATCGTCCAGGTGACTGTAGTCCTTAATAGGACCGCTGTTGACAGTGACTGATGTTTCGAGAACCTGTGCCCTAGTAATCTACAGAGTCTAAGAGGAAAATTGACTATTATGGTTTGGTTATTTACAGGGCTGCAAACAGGCAAGTTGCAAGGCCTTTCAGTGCAGTCTGGGAACGTTAAAGATGGGTGATAAAGCGGAAATCACAATGACATTTCGACTTTGGAAAAATACACTGCTTAAGGTTTGATCAACATATAATTATTGGTTGCACAATAGGTTTCACTTCCCTTTTCCCACTCCTTCCATTTTAAGGGTAAGCCCTGAGGCCATTTTTTGGGGGGCGTCCTATACGCCTTAGACGGAAGCTAACGCAAAAAGTTCGTATTACGTCGTAAGCGTTTACAAGATATAACGCACCTGTGTGAGCAGTATTATGTAATCATCTCTCGCGTTTGACGTTTCTGCGATATCGATGGAATTTGTTACCTTTTTTCACAAAATAATTTTATTTTTCATCAGGAACTTGATCCTCTTAAAGCAGTTGATTTGGAAACAACTGCAAAAGTGAAAGTACCAGACGAAATTACACAGGCGGATGAAAACAACGACATGGCGACGGTGAGTAGGCGGAAAGCATTTTACAGTAGAGCACTATTTAGTATTATTTTGGATTTCGGTTGTTCGCCATTTGTTTGGTTGCTATCTCATTCCAAACTTTCAGATAGTAGAAGCAACACTAGATTAGGGAACAATGATAAATTGCGGAGTTTTACAGCATTGTCAAGGTGGGTTCCAAATTTCACGTGACTAAACTGAAGTTGTTGCCAAAACCAGGAGTGGAAAAGGGCGCAGTTGCAGGGAATGAGAGAATATAAATGATCTCTGATACCTTCATTTTCGAAAAATACCCCTCTTATATTGAATACCACCCAGCCTTCTTTTTCAATTTTCTTTTTCTCCAGAGACCATTTTCGAACAATACCAGATTAGTTGAAACGGTGGCCATTAACCGCAGGAAAAAAATGCGTTTTCATGATCATTTGAGTTGGCGTTGGCAGGACGTCAGAGCAGCGTCATTAGGGTGTGACTAGAATAATCTAGATACGTTAACATATGGTGTGTTCATCTTTCTTTGCAGATATTAACGACAGCAAAACCTGCACAGACTGGAGCAAGAAAGAGAAAAATGCCTTGGTGGATCATCTTTTCGTCTGCACTCAGCGGCTGTGTACTGCTGGGCGCTGTTATATTTTTGTTATACAAGGTGAGACTGGAGACGATACATAGATGTTAAGGAACATTCCTCATAGTAATTTTTGGGTTAGGGATGGTGAGGCCCTTAGCTAAGAAATAGCTTATTCATCGAGATATGTTACAATACAGAATAATGCAGTTTTTAAGTATGAAATTCCTTCTGCTCTTTTCGTTATGCGTTTCGCGTACGTGATTTACATTCGTGTTCCTTATGCTCATGCCATAATTAGCTTGCTTTCTAACGCACTCGTTCATAAGAAACAATATAGGGCAATATGAGATTTGTATTTTGGAAAACGCACAGTTCACGCTACGCCACCGGATAAATTTGAAAACTCAACTTTATTCGTATGTTTAGGCCTACCGCCCATTGTAATCGAGTTCCCAATTCAGTCATCTGGTGTAAGTCTTACATCCTTGATTGTGGTTGCGGACTGTCTCTGTAGTCAAGGATTCCTTAGCGCAATCAGCTGCAGTAGTAACGAATACTTTCACGCACTATCCAAAAATCGATGTCATAACTTTGCCCAGTCAATCACCGATTCCACTCCTGAGTCATGAATGCGCCAGAGATTCACTTACGTATACATATTTGACATCACGTGATCACAAATTTCCTTATGTTCTCATATCATTTGCACCAACTTCTGATGTGATTTCTGCCGTTTTCTTCAGGGAGGATTTTTCAAAAAGAAACGAACAGAGAATATCTCGAGTCTATCAGAGGAAAGCCGTCCCATGAACCCTTAGTAACCTCTAAGGCACACTAATTTAAAGAAGAAAACAAATAAAATATTGTTTTCATTATTTAATATGCAAACGCAGTAGTTGTAAGGAAGACAGAAAAAACGCTTTAAACTAGCTGTAGCCTTTCATGTAGCACATCATAGCGCAGAGTACGTAGAACAGCATTTCCTTCTAAGAGCTGAAAGTTTACACTTAGGTTTATCTTATTATAAAGGTAAATTGCTGACGATCTACTACTATCCATAAGCCATATATTTTACACGATCACATTGGTATTGGACGTGTATCTGTATTACGTGTAAGGACAGTTCCGACTGTATAAGATGTATAGTGAAAATCACTGTTGCTGTAGGGTGTTGTCATGGATAACATAATTTATTGCTTCGTTGTATTTTGAACCATATGTGTAAACCCTTTGTCAGACAAAAATTGATAATTTCCTATTTTTACCTCAAGAGAACTTTTAAGCACAGTATGCGCATCCTAAGCAAGCGCATAAATCATCACCATACCGATTTGTCCATGTTATGAAGTTTAAATTGTGATGTAAGCTGCATAAGAACTATTAGACGTAAATAATTAGCAATTATTGAATTCACCCTCTGTATGATGCCAAAGAATTATGCAGATCTTGGAGCTAGGGATCTGAATAATTCTTCACATCATACTGAAATCCGAATCCAATAATTATTTTATTATTCATTCAAACATAGTTAATTAGTTCATAGTTTTTTAAAAAGCTAAAACGCAACCTCGTTTTCAGGGGTTTCATGTTACCGTCCCCTTTTTTGTTGCTCATACTGTAGTATTAACGTCATTATATCAGATATCGCAAACGTCTTCCTATTTGATGAATAATTAACAATTATTCGCCGAAGGCGAAGTTAATATTGTTGAATAATCCCCTATACCAAGTCGACGGGATTATTCAAAAGTTAGATCTTTACAGTATCTTCAAAAATGGCAAATGATAGTTTTAATCTTTTTGTATCGAGTTTTGTAAGTTTTAGCATCAACGGTTTAAAAGAAAACGCCGAAAATTTAATTACTTCCCAATTCTGAGAAGAAAAGTAGAGCTTTATTTGTTTCTGTCAACTCACCGTGAATGAGAAAGTTTTCTGTGTCGCTTCTTGCAAATGCTGTCAACAGCGGCTACGATCAAGGTGAGCGTTGTTTATCTTCAATGTTCTTTGCCTTGTTAACTTGTTGGCACGTACAATTTTCGCAAATATTTGCCTTCCTTTTTTCTCCATAAATTAACTTCTATTTATAGGCAAAATTGGTCTTGCGAGAAAATCTCAAAATCACAAAACAATGACAAAGCGACCTCGTTTTCCTCTGTAGTGGTAAACATAGCTTCGAACCAAGAGCTATTATGGCTCTTGCTTCGAACGTATAAATTTCAGCTACAGTAAATTAAACCACTTCACAATAAATCACGCTGTTTAAACACCATGAAGTCTTTCCTTGCCTTCAAAGTCATCAGCACTTGGATATTCGTGTATTTTCAAAAAGGCTTTACTATGAAACTTTGGCAAAACACCCAGTTCACGACAGCGATTTTGGTCTGCTTTATATTCACTGCCTAGCGCGGTGAATATAACGTCATAGTCCTAGATAGCTAACCAATCAGATTGCTTGAATTACCAAGATCACTGAGTGTGTATATGCTAATAGCTAATATTCGTATAGGTAAGTAGTTTTGAGGACTAGTCTGATTTTGCTTTTCGGCACACTAGTAGCTAATAGTTAATTTAGTGGTTATGAAGCCAGTCAGACGCCTCTGTCATGTTTTTGTGGACTTTAATGTGCATAATGCTCAGTAGAGTTCCTGTCAATTTGATCTTATTACAGCTGTTATTAACCAATAAGAACGTGGCACTAATTTATTCCTTCACAATTTGTTAACAAAAAACAAAGCCGGATTGTACACGGTCAGGAAGCTTACAACATAAACTGCAGCACCCTTGTTTTTATCTTTGCTGTCATTGCCGCTTTTCAAAACCAGTCTCCTATACTACCTATGGCCACAAATATGCAAGTAAGCAAGGATATTCCTGTATTCTGCGTGGCTGTATTATCCAAGTAGGGGCGTAGCCAGGATTTTTGTAGAGGTACGCACAATTCCCCAAATCCACTACTCTTCCTGCAAAGTCCCAAATCTGCTGTGCCTTGATAACCTTTTTGAGATGATTGACTGAATTACGTCAATCGTTTACGTTTAAAAAAAGGATTTACAAGGAGATTCAATCTGGGAAATTTTGGTGCCGAATATCGGTTTGTCGTTTACACGCAGATGCACGAGACTGAAGTGTGAACAGTTTGGTCACGGCTCCAGAGTTTTCGGATGCGAAATCTAATGTGAATACTTTTAAATCTGCAATGTTTAATTTGCCGTCCAATTTCCTGCCCACGGGCAAATCATTCCAGTCAATTGCAACCAAATGACCCTACACCGGGCTGCACATTGCCGTCCATCCCAAGGCTGGACCCAAGAAATGCACAATAAAAATATCTCCAAATAAAACTCTGCAATCTTTATTTATAAGCGTTGCTGCATCACCAAAGATACATGTTCCTTTTAAAGCTGCAATTATACGTCTTAACTATTCAATCCGTGTTTTAATACACTGCATACAATACAGAAACCTTTAGGAGAAAGTCCACATTTTGTACGTTTGAATATACCGTTCTTAGTAAAGGGTACGTTTTATAAGCTTTATACGGTGATTGTAGCGAATGTCAGCCATACACTGATCAATTGTACTTGCAAAAATCGACTTGGTTTCTCTTTACTTCCGTTTACTTTGATACCACAGTATCTTAAAAGGTCAATTGATCAATACAGTAAAATCCACTCACCTTTGGCTTGTTCTCGTTGGCTTTCATGGTTTCCAAATCTTTCCAGACCGTACGTCGCGTGCGTGAAGCGTGGCAGTGGGGAAACATATGTACGGTCTCAGTCTCTTTCGTCCGAGTCGGCAGTCAAATCCATCCCCACGTCGGGTGAAGAAAGATCTCAAATATCCCCTCCCCCAGGAGAACAAGATTGGTCAAATGCCCTACTCCAGGGCCAACAAAGATAATCAAATCCCCACTCCATGCTCTGCCTCCCCTCCCCCCTCCGGCTTTACATTGATAGGTGCATAACAATCCAGTAGTATTTCAGGCTTTTACTTACAAATGAGTGATTTTTATACCGCTGTACGACACGTTCTTTTTGACCGAGAGTAGCAAACTACGTTAGCGTAATCGTGCTCTTAACTTAGTCTAATGCAAAGATGTGCAGGCCAAAGTGAAAACATGGCTTAGCTTTATACCACCCACCTCGTTATTTGCGTGCTATTTATTCCCGCCGCTTCTGTAAATATATCATTGAAGAGCCGTCCACCGATGAATCACGTCGCTTTTCTGGAAACCGCGTTCGAATGTGGAAAAACCCATTCTTTTAGACAAAAAATATTCAAAAAGGCAAACAGAGTTAAATGAATTGAGGCAAAACAATTATCTTTTATTTATTTCCTTTTTTGCTATTAATCATTTATTTATTTTATTTTATACTATTTAATTTTTTTGCCTTCGACTTTTTCAAGTACGCACGTGCGTACCATGCGTACAGGTAGCTACGCCCCTGCCAAGGTATTGTTTATTTTTTATTGCTCACATGACTACTCGTTGAATTAGATGACTGACAAACGCAACGTAAGTCGTTTTCGTAACCTGTTGAGTTAACTATGCTTTCGGTTCCTCCCCGGAGTCTGCAGGACGAAAAGTGAAGACTGTTTCGACTTCCGAAAGGGGAGTTGGAAGCTCAAACTTTCGGCTTTCCACATAATTTGGATCTACTGATCGATATGAGTAACATGGGAAGTCATTTTTTGCTGTTCGATTAAGAAAAAGCGTTGATTTGTTTACGTTTTTATTTTTTTTACTTTTTATCTCAATCGTTAGGAATCGTGACGACTAACGCTAGAGGAAAACTATATGAATTAAGGTAGATTGGTTGCGCGCAACCGGCGAGGTCAGAACTGGGGAATAAAAGCAAGTCTATCTCGAGTTGGAGGAAGAGAACTAGACCGTTGATACGAAAGCCAAGGAGGGACCTCGGACGTCCTGCTGTTCGCTTCTGATTTGCGACTTCCGAAACGGGGGTTGGAAGTTCAAACTTTCGGCTTTCCGCATAATTTAGTATGAGTTACATGGGAAGTCATTTTTTGCCAAGAGAAACCATTAGCTCATGTTGGATTAAGAAAAAGCGTTGATTTGTTTACGTTTATATATTTTTTTTACTTTTTAACTCGATCTCTAGGAATCGTGACGACTAACGCTAGAGGAAAACTATATGAATTAAGGTAGACTGGTTGCGTTCAATTCGCGGTCAGAACCGGAGAATAAAAGCAAGTCTCCCTCGAGTTGGAGAAAGACAACTACACCTTTGACACCACTGGAAAGAGCGCTATAAAATTAGTACAATCTAGTATGAATGGTAGAAGATACTTCCGATGAAAACCGAACGATAACTCGATAAGAAAGAAAACCGCATCGGTGTGTTCCCCACTTCTCCGTCACTTCCAACACAGTCGAGTCCTGCCCCTGTGCCCAGTAAAGGACGAAACAGACTATATACTACGCGAAGGAGCGGTGGAAATCAAACCTTTAACGTAAAAATTGCTCAAGGAAAAGCAGAAAAATTATACTCGGCCATAAAGGGTGTACTCATTTTTGCGTTGTTCTAGGTGATTAACTGTAAACAAGGCTAAAAATTATTATTTTTTGCAGTTTCAAGAAGACCGAGTGCAGTTGTTTGCCGAAATTAAAATATGGGGACTTAGCGCCCGATCGTCTCTGGAAGACGATGCGTAATCATAACCTAATTTTCATAGAAATGTATTGTTTAGTTGACTGTTCAACAAAAACAGAATTAAATTTAGCGAGGAAGAAGAAAATAAAAGTGTTCTCCCATCAGAAAATGAATAGAGACACACGATATATTAATAGGCGATTTATGTTATAGCGGTCTTAAGGCTTAAGCCAAACCACAAAGTGTGCCTACATCCGGTGGTCGATACAATGTTCACTTTATGTAGGATATGGGAGAGGTGAATAACTAGAATTTTCGAGCAAATTTCATCAATAAACTGGAAATCGTGACATTTTAATTAAGTAATCATGATCGTAGCATTAACAGACAAACAAGTTGGTTCGAAATGAAGGAATTACTTAACCTGGGAGGAAATCACAGTACAGATATTCTACATAGCAGGCGTCATTGAAGGGAGTAGAAAGGAAAAATAACTAGGGATGCAAGCACGCGAAAACTGCTGTGAAGCGCATTCTTTTAAAACGTTAATAAAAAAAACATGGATTTTTCTTGGACTCTGGATTTAAGTATAAGTTCGTAAATATCTTTTTCTGACAGCATCCCACGTAGGTTGTTTCTTACCACTGTAACCCAGACATTTCCCTGTGAGAAAAAAGTATGGCAGTTAATTTAAAATTAGTACATGTAGTAGACGGGCAACAATCATCATTTACGTGACCTAGACTAGGCTGAGTGCTGAAGTTCACCTCCAATAATATTTTGGTTTGGGTGGCAAAACTTTTATTTCCGTCAGTATTATGACGTCACTTATCGATAACCAAACAGCAGATAACGATCGTTCAGACTCAGTTGATTTGTGAAAGCAGAAAACAGTCGCCACGTAAATTGTAATCATCGTTTATCATGGAGAGTAAGATAATATGGACCCTTCTATATTATATTTTCATTTTCAAAGTTAGAAAAGTTTCTGGATTTAACTTGGATTCCAGCTCGCCCATTATATACGAGGGACCGCTTCAGAGCAAGATGTTTGGTTATTCATTGGCGACTCATTCGTACAGTGGGAAACAATGGTAGGAATTATAATTATTATAGTTAAATTGCCTTATATTCTCTAACATTGTGACCGCACTTTATTTTTGTTTATTTTTCCGCGCCATCTTCTGGCACGCTGCTTCCTTTTAATTGGCTTTCCTTAAATCATTGGTGTGAATCTTCATCTCAGTACTACTTGCTAGTACGAATCGAATATAAAATACTTTTGACATTGAAATGATGAAAATGAAATTCTTATGCAGTTGAAAGTCAATTGATTTTTTTATCCAGCCAACCAACCAAAGTAAAATAGAAAGTGAAGTACACGTAGCGTAAAATAATTTCCACATCAGCGTCGTTCTGATTTCCTCCAGACTGATTCACGCCACAATGATCCAAAATGAATAGTATGAATTATAAAGTTGAATGAATGACAAACCTAACCAGTTTAAAAAAGAACCTGAAAAGATATGAATTCAGACTTGACTGGGAATCGAACCCTGCCCTTCGACATTCTTTCAGGTTCTTTTTCAGTTGTTTAGGTTGTTTATTCTTTGAAATTCAACCGCACGGATCACATTCACTTTCATATCTTCATCCGCAGTTCACAAATATAATTTATTTCATACATTCTTAAGTCAGATTGAAAGTTTCTCGCCCTATTTTAAGCAGGCGATATCGCTGATAACAGATTAATTTTAAGAGTTGAGCCATGCTTAGTTGTTAGTTTTTGTGGGGTAAATATTCCCCACTCTGGTGTACTTCAACAACATTTTTTAAGTCACGTTGTTTTTTTCGATTTCCTTAAACACTTCAAAGTATAATTTTCTTGAAGTACGACTGCTGGAAGGCAAGGTTCACGTTCGTGATCAATAATCCGTTAATCTCCGGAACGGAGTGAATAAGGTCGCTAATCCTAAGTCCTACTTTTTAATGCTCTTAAAGGTGAAAATAGATGTAGCATTTACGGCGGATAGTTTCACTTGCATCTAACAGCTGTAATGTTGAAGGGTCCACAAATTCCGGAAGTCTTTAGAGAAAAACTCGCACAATGTCGAGGCGTGATTACAGGGTGTCTCCTGACGACTGGGAAAAACACAGATAGAATTAAAAGAACGTGAAATGTTTGAAAGTCAACCCACGTATCGGAAACATCTTATGTGGGTCTACACATCTTTTCCGATTTTTCCAGGTTGTCTTTTTTAATCNAGCATTTACGGCGGATAGTTTCACTTGCATCTAACAGCTGTAATGTTGAAGGGTCCACAAATTCCGGAAGTCTTTAGAGAAAAACTCGCACAATGTCGAGGCGTGATTACAGGGTGTCTCCTGACGACTGGGAAAAACACAGATAGAATTAAAAGAACGTGAAATGTTTGAAAGTCAACCCACGTATCGGAAACATCTTATGTGGGTCTACACATCTTTTCCGATTTTTCCAGGTTGTCTTTTTTAATCTCAAACTGATGAAAGAGATAGTATTTTACCCATAAACAGGAGGTTTTGGGTTCCTACTATAAATTTATCCCGTCGACAACTGACAACATATCACTAGCTTATCACCTTTCCACCCAGACAGACGGATGTTTAGAAACAACGACCGACCCAACGACAATTTCCGCCAAATACATTGAAAACACTTTTTAGGCTATCCAGAGTAAAAGTATACTTTTAAATCTCTAGAAGTGCATTCTTAAGCGGCGCTATAAAATTTGTACCTGTTCGGTCATCCTAGGGGAACTTGAGTCTTTTCCAAATATTACAAGGGCTTCAATATTATTTTCCCTAAAATCTCAGATACAATTTAATGTATTATGAATGTGAGAATTTTTCTGATTCCTCTCTCCAGCACATTCTTGAATCCGAAAATTTTTAGATTTCCTTTTTATACGAAAAATATCCTAACCTGGGCAGTAAAATGTGAAAAATTAAACTTCAGAAAATCGTAGGGAATTTATTAGATAAGCTTCGAAAATTGTACATGAATGGAATGGTCATCTAGAAATTTTTAGCCCTCCTCAAGTACTAGAAAATTTTCGGAACAGATATTTTACAGAAAACAGTCGTTGGGTGTCCCTGGTGAAGTATTCTCTTAACACAGTTGCTTTATTTATAGCATAGCAAAATCATGTATTGAAACCTATTATCAGTGTTTGCTGCACTGTTTTGTGTTCAAAGGAGTTTAAATGTGTTATAACGTAATATAGCCTGCGTGGCAGACACTCTTTACCGCCTGTATAGAGCGTCTGTGAATTTGTTCGCAAACGGACTATATAATTCGCCACTTTAGAAACGAGAAGGAAGTGGGCCGAGTTTGCTTTCGCAAAGACTTCTGGGACTGTCTCTAAAGACAGAAAAAAGATGTTGGCCAATAGCTTACCGCCACGTCACCAGTAACGAACCAGGAACAATTGCGGGACGCGTCTAGGTAATCTTGTACCCAGATCTCCCACGGCCAAGGGAAAGGGAGATCTCACTTTTCAGTGTAAAACAGAGTGAGATCTGGGTACGAGATTAGCGTCTAGGTTCCAGTTCCATTCTCGTCCCTAAAGTGGCGAATACAATGCGTGTGCCGGCTGCAAAGCAAGCTAAACGTAGTATTAAACTTTTCCATCTGGGAATCGCGAAAGGTGAGGGTCACGCGCGCAGCGGGGGATGCGAAGTATTTAAGTACGTGGGTGGTTCATTTGCGCGCGACTGTCGAGTCTTGCGATTTCTAGGTGGAGCTAGGTAATAACGCACAGTTCTTGCTATATGTAGTTTTTTGTGTGTTTTCTTTTTTTCGCAGGCTTTTGGTCGGTGCTCCTTCGAGTAATGTAACGTCTTTGTCTAGTTCTGAGACGTTTGTTAATTATGGAGCAATTTTCAAGTGTGAATACAAACCTGGTTCTAAGGAATGTACAGAAATTCTGTTGGACAATCAACGTAAGTCGGCATTCTGAAAAATAGGGTGTATCCTGCAACGGAATTCTATTAATAATTAGATCTATTTGTTAATGAAACACAGACAAACAACCCCTCCCACCCCCCAAAAAACAAAACAAAAAAAACAAACAAAAACAAAAACAAAAAAGACACAGTAAAGTAGGTAATGAATGATCATATTGCTTGGCTGGTAGTATCAAGTGTTGCCAAGAGACTGAGGATAATCTCTCAGATCTCTTGGAGTCTTCATTAGCAGTGAAATCACGGGAGAAAGATTTTCGATCTCGCTGTTGCGCCGTTCATTTTCGCGGCGAATTCTTCGGGCGCTCCAACAAAACTGCTAGAATCCTTCACCACGCCACAATGTGCAACACGTCTGGAGTAAGATCTGAAATGCGAGTCTTGTGCAACACTAGGCATTGAAAGTGATTAATAGGCAACTCGTGTAGCGTGAGGGAAAAGGTTCGGCCCGTTCCTGTGAGCCAAGATTAGTTCTAGAATTGTTTCTTTTAACAATCAAGGTTTATCAAAGTCGCGGGGTAGGTATTTGATCTTACACCAGCCTTTTCTTGTTACAGCTTTAAAAACGGAAGAGTTAACGTTGTCAAATAGAACTATCGCAGTCGAAACAGAAGTGAAAACCAACCAATGGCTTGGAGCAACTTTGTACAGCACTGGAGAGAATGGGAGAGTAGTGGTAAGTTATTTTTTGCATCACCGTCTGGTGGATAGTTTTTCTTGCCAGTCTCAAGATTTCACTTGAGCGGAATTTGCCTCGGATCGCAATGTCCAAGCGGAGACGAGCGCCTCCCTCCCGGAACGAAAAATCGACAAAGAGTTTCAATATTCGTTCCCCGGTTTTTCCTCGCCCATGCTTTTTCTTACGTTCGATCGTCTAAATTTTGGGTAGCCTGTCTGCAAGCGTAAAAAGGGGCAGGGTAAGGAGGTAAAAGGGAAGGGGATTATTCAAAGGAAGCTGCTTGATCGAGAGGGCGTCTATTATGTTCCTGTCTGATGGACTGAAACTTTGCTAAGTTTTCTTTTTCTGCAAGCATGCACCTACGAAGATTTAGATAACTGGAGCAGCCTAAATATTCGCCACAATGATACCATGCCCCATTTGGTCAAAAGTTGGATATCGCTATTAAGCGGATAAATCACTTTCCATTGGATATGTGTTTCCCTTGGTTAACGAACTTATCACTACATAGGAGAAATAGAGGTCACATATTTTCACACGGAATGTTATAGCAATGATAAACTCTACTACAATTTCCTCTAAAATTTCCAGGATAAAAGCAATTGATCTGGAGTAAAAGACAATGTTAATTGTCCATTGTCCATAATTGGCCATTGCGAGGTTGCGCCTGAGTTTTGTCGCATTGCATTATGGGACTTGTTTCGGGAAGAACTTTGACCCAGTTCCCCGTGCTAAACTCGTTATAGCTAATGAAGGAAGAGATAGCGTCCTATAAGAGAGTGAACGAATATAAGTCTGTAAACGCATACAGATTTGTACTTTTACAGCTTTCATCCACACGTGAACAATATTATTCCGTTTGCGAAGTTATCCAAACACACTTGGCAGTGACTGGGGACCGTTTACAATAATGATATTACCATCATTTACATTTGGTTGGCGAATAATGAGAAGGAACAAGTGTGGGCATAGCCAATAACAAACATCTTACAATTGGCTGGTATTGTGTTGTTACAAGATCCATGGTCAAAACACTAAACACTAATAATTACAGATTAACTTTTGTACTCTTTGACTTTTTCAACAGACATGCGCGCCGAGATATAAAATCGCACGACCAACAGATGACGAAAGTGTTAAAAATAATCGATACCTTGGATTAAATGGAAGATGTTTCCAATTAAGGCAAGATCTGGAGGGGGTTCAAGGACCAGAGGTCACTCCTTGTGGAGGTAAGCATTTTTTTTGTATAATGAGAAAAAATCTTAGAAGCATAAACTCGTTCATGCATTGTTATTGTCAAAGGGAAGATGGTTTTCTACCATCTCTAAGCGTTAATGCTCTCTTGAGGTCTATAAGGTTGTCAGAGACGGAATGTACAAGTTAGCTTCACCTTTTACTGACAGGGTACGCTGGGTGCCCGAGAATTTTCATGTGTGATTTTCGGTTTCGCCGATGATGTGCCAGCCTGCAGCCGACACCAAAGCATGGCGCGAATCATAATAATAAACAACCACAACAGTAACAATAATATGAAATAATAATGATTGTGATAGCAAAATAATCTTCCTTTACCTGAGGGTTAACGCCCGGGGATTAACGGCCTCCTCGATAATACTGGTTGTTTAAAAATTATACAAACAATTCGTATACAAAATTAAAATTCACTTATTTTACTGATAAAACTGAACGGTAATGACTTTTATCTTAGAGAGAGTATCTGGAGACTTTGGAAACTGTCTGAGTGGGATTAGTGCAGAGTACAGCGCAGACGGATATGATTTACTCTTAGGAACTGTAGGGATTCGACACAGACAAGGTAATAATTCAGAGAAATGATTTACAAGGTTACAAGTTCTATTTTCTTATTCACTTACAGGCATGGAACTCTCTCAGTGCGAGCTCCATCATAAGGTCCAAAAACGTAAAAGAATGTACACAAATAGGTAGTGGATACAATTTTAGGACAAAAATTGTAAAAGACATGAATATGAGAATCAGTAACACATTATTCGATCTAGCCAGCCTAGTCTGACACACTCTTAATGGTCTGGGTCGAGAGGGAATCATTTAACAAGTTCTTTCTTGAAGTGGCCCTCTAAATATTCGATGGTCCGGAGATAGGATTATGGGGAGAGACTCAGAGTTCTCGGACTCTGCAGTAAAAACTGTTCTGAAATGCAACTGCAGGGTTAACCTGAGATCAGGCTCTATTTTCGTTTCGCTTTGAAAATAACAGAACCGCTAAAATTGGGCCTGATCTCAGGTTACTGCAGGGTTGGCCTTGACAGCTTTCAGTAGAGCGCTTTTCGAGGGGCTTGTGTGCCCAGGTCTGGTGCGACGATTCACTTTTGAATAAGTCAGGTATTGTAAGGTAAGGTGAAAAAAATCTTACTGATTAGGCTTCATATTTTCCTTAGGTGGTGTTGCAGCGTATTCTTTGGACCGGAAGAAGACAGTATTTACCCCGAAAATTTCATGGCGAGTAGAGTCCTATATGGGTAAGAACAAAATACTATATCGAGATAATCTAACCACAGCAACGACAATTTTAGAGAATAACTGAAAGGTTATCTAGCTAGGAAGTATGATAGTAGACTATATTAATATATATATATATATATGTACGTAATACAGTAAGATGTGCTCTTTATTTCGATCAGGTTATGCCGTTACAAGCGGACACTTTTTAAGCCCAAGAACTACAGGTATGGTTTGGAATGACGAAGGATTTGAACTGGGGTATATAGACACAGACCTTGCTCCCGGTTTTTTTACCCTCCCGCGGCGCTTATCACTCATTTACGTCGTAAAGCTTTTGTTATTCAATTGCAAAATTTGATACAATATTTTGCCGTTCTCAGCTCTCTTCCATAAATTCGGGTTGATTTGGTCCTATATATCTGTCTCAGCATCAGCGCCAATGGCTGCCCTCTGGCCTTCAAAGGAAAGAAGCACTGATTGTCACATTGTCTGTTTTCTACTATTTTTTTCTTGGATAGAATATGTCGGTGGTGCTCCCAGAGACAACAGTTTATACGGAAAAGTAAGTAAAAGATAAATAGTTTTTTTTTCTTCCTCGAGACGGTTGAGATGGGAATAAAAATTGTAGATTAATTTAGGGATTGACCGGCTATGATTTGTATGGGTTGCGGTTATTCTTTCATAACTTTTATTGATTACATTTCTTTTTTTACCACAGGTTCTTCTGTACTCAAGGCAAAACGAAAGTATAAAAGTAACAACTGAAATCGTCCGGCCTCAAGGAATCACAGTAAGTAAGACTGAAAGCAAATATCTTTTCTAAATTACAAAGAACCTGAGCCTGGTAAGTTGTTCAAATGTCGGATAGCGCTATCCTCAGGATAATTCACTATTCAGTGGATAAGTATTAGGGAAACCAATTGTGTCATCCACTGGATGGAGATTCATCCACTAGTTAGCGTTATTTACCTTTTAGCCTGCGGGGGCAGGCGGTTTTTTTTCGTTCGTGTTTCGTAGAGTAAAAGATCAGGTGCGCGAACAGCTGAACCGAAGTCAAACGAGACGGGAGAATATGGAGTATCGTCTTTCCCTCGCCCCCTCTCCAATAGTTTTCTAATTTGACCTCGGATCAGCTTTTACAAAACGCAAAAGAAAAACGCACTAAAAGCCGAAAATAAAGGCTATCCACTTTTTGACCGACAGGGGCCAGCTGAAGCTATCGCGCGAGGGAGTTTGATCTGAATTAGTCTTTGGAGTTCGACGAGATGTCCTGTTTAGTTTACGCAAGGCTTTTCTTACCTGCGCACTCTATGTCTTTAAGAAGCAGATTGTTTCTCTTTTTTTAATACACTATGTAAACTGTTCTCTCCCTTAGATTGGAAGCTATTTTGGAAGCGTTCTTTGTAGTGTTGATACCAACAATGATATGTAAGTTTTGAGATTAATAAGTTAAGCGTCCATTTTTTGATCAGCCAGTTAACTATAAAGTTTTCCCTTCGGCTAACTGCAGGACGATACAAATAGCGAGTTTTTATACTAAAAACTTGTATGATAAGATGACGTGATTTTGTCACCAATCAGTAGTTGTAGAAAATAAAGTAGAACCAAATAAAAATCAGACTATTTTCGATAACCAACGGAAAACCATAGGCGAGGGTCATATTTTGAAATTTCTTCCTCTTGAAGATAAGGACAATGCGTCAGTTTTTAAAGAACTTGCATTTTTATACTTATAATATGTAAATAACATATATGTTGTTCTAGCATCAAGTATTTCACTTTATTTTTGCGAAAAAAGCCAGTTCTAAACTTCAATTACCGTTTTAACAGGTATTCAGATTTATTGGTAGGAGCACCACGAGCCCAATATAGGGACGAAGGACGAGTATTTGTTTATGTTAACAACAGAAAGGTACGCTACAATCGCTTTTCAAAGCGTTTCGATGTAAAATTACCACGAATTTGTTGTTATTTGTCGCTAGCCAGTCAGCCAACCAGTCATTCAGTCAGCCAGTCAGTGAGTCCCACAGTCAGCCAGTCCATGCTCAGCCAGCCAGTCGGTCAGTTAGTAAGTCAGCTAGGTCCGATTTCTAAAATTCCACCGAGCTTTTTTCTGACACTTCCACTACCCAGCTAGGAGAAGGACTTTTCATTAATGAGTAACCGTATGTAGAATTATTTTGCAGAGATAACCTGAGCGCTACTGACCTCAGATGAAGTTGCATACAGGTCAACTAAATTTGCTTTTGTTTTTAGTTCACTAATATATATCGCGATCGCCATTTTAGGGAGCTCTCAATCTTCAAGACTCTCAAGGCTTAAAAGGAGACAATATACCAAATGCACAGTTTGGAACGACGATTGCAAGAGTCGGAGACCTTAACAAAGATGGTTACCAAGGTAACATTCATCTTAATTCTATGATTGTATGGAGCGCGCTGATCATAAGAATTTTGGTGGTTACGAGATATGTAATCGACGAAGACCACCTTGACACGTTGTGGAAGGGCTTTAAAAGACATCACCTATCTGATGGGCATGATGGGCGCCAATTTTTAGCCCGCAAGTTTGAGATTTCAAGGCTTTAATCTTGTCTGCGCATGCAGCTTACATTGTGAAAGAAACTGAACAGGGTTATTCAAGTCTTTTGCTTATTTTCTTACTAGTGATAGAGGTGAGGCTATTTAACAAAGACATCATTTTTTTATGGTAGGGAAGGGGGTACAACAAGACACCATTAGTATTCCAGCCTATGGAGTGTTGGAACATTGTTGTGTACACTGTTGGGTGCATGGTGACCTTGAAAGAAGTACATGCATTCTATTGGGTCATACGACATGTCAAGAAAGGATAAAGGGGACAGAGAAGGCATCCCCCATACACACCCTATTCCATAGGTAATTCGTCTCGAGTTATTTTTAAGACTACAGATCCCAAGGGGGATTAGACAACAGCCAATCACATACCGCGAATGTGTTCCGCGTGGATGACCCACGCTCAGAGCCAAGCGTCCTTCACGAATTGACGCAGAACAAAATGGCGGAAGACGCGGAGAGCGATGTTGCTATTCGTTTTGTCGACGAAAACGACTACAGAGAGATTTCTGCTAAAGCTGTGTCAGCGAAATAGAAATTAAAAAAGAATCGTCCTTCCTCTCTTGTATAGAGCTAACAGTACAGCAGGGAAATCCTTAACACACTGAATATTCTCTCAGGATCATTTATAATTTACAGTTTGAAGAAGGCAATTTCTGGTTTGATATTTATTCTTTTATTAGTCTTTTATTATTCAACAAAAATAACACTTGGTGTCCTACTTACTTTATTGTACAAACGACCGGTTTCAATAGACCGGCGAAATTTCTCATTTTATTAAAGCACTGAGGTTACTATAATTTCGAGTTGAACTTATTTCACGGGTTGTCAAAGAGTCTGGCGATTCCCTTTTCCCAGGTGAGGGCCGACTCATTTCGCGTCAATATTCAGGAATGCTCTCGATCTCTTTACGCGTTCATTGCCTTTCGCCCCACATGTTTTGCACGGTGTTTAGTCATGCGAAACCTCCACGAAATATCCACGCAGCGCGCGAGGTAACTTTTTCCCAATTCTAAAAATAACTGGAGACGAATTACCTATGGAATAGGGTGTGTATGGGGAATGCCTTCTCTGTCCCCTTTATCCTCTCTTGGACATGTATAATACCTAGTTTATGGTATCATGATTTAAAATCCACCAGGGCTGTTTTCTTTTCTTGACGATTACATATATAAATTTTGTACCAGATATTGCTGTTGGAGCTCCCTTTGAAGGCGAAGATGGTAGTGGTGCTGTCTATATTTATCGTGGTTCCTATAATGGAATCAATCCTAACTATAAACAGGTATGAGATGATAGCGCATGTTACAATATATCAGTTCTTTTCTTTTAAAACGCATAAAAATTACGCTAGAATGGCCTCTAAACCTGACAACCTGTACGTAATTTAGATTTTCGGGCTGAATCTCCACAAACAATGCCTCACAATGATAACGATAATTTTTTATATCTTAATATACTTTCATTGCTTAAGGTTTAGTTGGCTAATATTTACAACCCCATAAGCGGCAACGTCTTAATCACCATCGCGTTGAAATAAAAGTTATTGTTAGTACTTGTACTTGTACTTAAAGGATATATATTTAAAGTAACTACACCGCGAGACAGATAACGCAATTTGTTACAGCACGCTGCCATATATAATTGAAGCTTAATAACCAAAGATTTTAACGTTTGCAATTGGCTGAAAATGTCACGCTTCTGATTGAAACGAATATAATCGTTATGCGTTTCTCCGCGCTTAGCACTCGCCAGGAGCGGTTGCGTGGTGTTTTGATTGATTCTTGGTAGTTATTATTGGTCATTTTAATTACTTTGATTTTTCTTATCATACCGTCGACACTCCATTAAAAACCTTTGGTAATCTCCTGTTCTTCAAAAGTCACAAAGTGTAAGCAGGTCCTAAAAGGGGCCTGATAAAGTATTTTCGCTCAGCATCGCCTGGTGTTAGCGACGGAGAACAATGAGAAGAAGCAACGTAAGACGTACAAAAATGGACTGCCCACACTTGCTGGCACTTAAGTGATGACGTACAGTACAAAACTTTTTTTTTGATGATACATCAAACTTAATATCTCACAAAAGCAATGAAAGATCTTTGTTAAGCGTAACAGAGAATTATCCGTTGTTTTTTGTTAAAAAAGCCTACGTGGCTTGGTCTAGATTGATAAAGAATAAATGAATTTTACTTTAGAATGTTCCACATTGAACACTTAAGAAATTTTACAGGTGATACTTTGATCTAAGTTATTTCTTTGTTTTCTCGCGTGCAGAAAATACAAGGCTCGTCAGTGGAGCCTGGTCTAAGGCAGTTTGGTTCTGCTATAACGGGAACTGTTGACATGGATGAAAATGGTTACCCGGGTAAGTTATAGCATGTACTCTTAGGTTCACTATAGTTTATCAGTTCTTAAGGCCGACGCACACGAGGGGTTTTGCTCCCGGAGCATGCTCCAGGATCATTTTGCACGTGTCAGTACACACGAGGGAGCGTTATTTACCCGGGAGCTTGCTCCCAAGTATTTAACCAGTTAAATATCGTGGAACATTTTGCGGGGTGGAAATTCTGCTCGCGAGGATGTAGTATACCCATGAAATCGTTGGTACACACAGAGGAGCTTTGCTCCGGATCGTGCCCCATGGAATATGCTCCGGGAGCAAACCCCTCGTGTATATCGGCCTTTATGGTTATTGTGAAGTATTACCCTATCTAAATAATGTCTCCACTTCATTCCACTCTGCGCTGTAAATATGTTGAACACGATCGTTTGGGTGAGGGTAAATTCGAGTGGAGCAGTTGGCAACATCATTTTCGATAGGCTCGTCCAGGAAACTATTTCAAGACGTCACTAACCATAATAAAAACTTCTGTTTAGGACCACGATCATGCCGGAGATCATATTCTACCTACTGTTAAAAAGATGAGCAGTTGGCAACATCATTTTCGATAGGCTCGTCCAGGAAACTATTTCAAGACGTCACTAACCATAATAAAAACTTCTGTTTAGGACCACGATCATGCCGGAGATCATATTCTACCTACTGTTAAAAAGACATTGAGTCCAAAATATAACATAGTCTGTTGAATCAACGTGATGAATTCTCTTCCGTACCTTTTGGAAGCTGTCCTAATTGTTTATCGGCAATTCCTCTTGCACCTCAGAGACCTTACGTCCAAACCTTCAAGGAACACTCGATTCATTACTAATAATATCTGCTAATCTTTGATGCGGTACAAAATTGCAGTCAAAATGAAATAACGGCTTTACTCTATTGGTTTCGCAAACAGATGTTGCAGTCGGTGCCTACAGATCAAATAAAGCCGTGCTCTTTAGGTGGGTAAAATTGGTCAAAGCTTCTGGATGTTAACCGGTCACACTAATGAACCTTACGGTTTTCTGCCGCACATAGAATAGCTGATTACTCCTAGTTTGCCCCTAGTTATAGTTCTTGAAGTGTTTTCTTCTTTCCCGTTTTTCAAGTGTTGCTTTACGTTGTTTTTTTCACCGCGATTGTTACAAATTGGTATTTCTTTTAAGTTTTCATTGGTTCAACATGCCGCCCCGTACATCCGGGCTTTTAGGCATAGTCGCGCGACATTCAGAGTCCCGTGATTACGGTGGTGGAGGTATCCTAGCTGGAAACCGCCCACAACGCGTATATTCGAAGGGGGATTACTACTTAAAGCTAGATAAAAGATCGAGATAGTAAGCGTACCTGTGACTTTAATAAATAACAGATTAATGGAAGTAATAAGACTTTCTCAGTTTATACTCGCGGTTAACCGGGTCGTCTAACTGTTGACGGTTTTCATCATATTTTCCGTGCCACGTTGCAGTATAAAAATCTCACCACTAAGTCCCTTGTCCGGCTTTTAGAACTTCAGTTATTGACTCAATCTGTTCATATTTACTGTAAAGGACCCGTTCAATCGTAAATTTGGAGGGAAGAATCCATCTTAGCAGAAAACAGATTGCTATTGAAAGCAACGACGGATTGTGCCGCTTACCTGACGGAAATGACCACAAGTGGTAAGTCCTAATCATTTAACACAACCGACGTGATTTTTAGCAACTTACGTTCCTTCTCTGTTTTTCAGCTTGAACCTATCAGTTTGCTTTACACTCAAAAACAAAGCGATACAATATGACAGAGGTAAGACAATTCTGTATTCTTTTGATTCTTCAGTCTGTATAATTAGGCTGTATATTAATTCATACGTGTCAGATTGCATTTGTATCTTGTAACGTTATAAAAACTTTGCACAAAGTTAAACTCACGCTGCCAGTGGTCAGTCTATCCTTCCCATGACTCCCCGCGTTTCTTTTTACCAGAGCATAGTGGCATGTGGATATGAGGTAGAAAGTTTGTTTATAAATTAGAACAGAAAAACCGTCTATTTGTAAGAAAAAATGTTCTGACACGAACAAAATTTCCTCAAAATTTTGAGACTGGTTGAAGTTCCTGTCAGTTAAACAGACGCTTTACTTTATGGACGTTCAGTGCTTAGTGCTAAAACGTTCCTATTGTAATCTGTTGTATCTGTAGACTTACAGCTTTCGTACACTGTCGAGTTGGATAAAAAGAAAGCATGTCTCGAGAGCGAGTCCAATGCTTTTCGCCGGATGTTTTTTATGGACGACTTAACAAAGGAAAGGATATTCGTCATAAGTGGAGTTCATAATTTAACAAAGAAAAGAGACAGCTACTGCTCAAGACCAAGGACTGTTTATCTGAAGGTATTTAAAAGTAGTTAGAGAAAGTTAAGACGACTTTTAGTGGGAAGGCATTTACTCTAGTATTTTTAATTTTTGCCCCCGCTCCCACCCCCTCTCTACTTGTGCGTTTTAGTTCCTTGATGACTCGGAAGTCTGTCAAAGGGTTTACTCAACGATATCATTATGTTGCCGGTACTAATTATTTGCGCAGTCGGGAAGATAGACGCAAGGAAGAACACGGTGCTGGAGCGGCTGTTAGATATCAGCTATCTGCTAGTTTTGAACGGACTCAAGAGCCTCTTTTGACGGACTCCAACGCCCTCTTAGCTGCCCGCGCAGCGCATATAAATCGCACAGAAATCTAACATTTCAACGGCTAAGGAAACAAGAAAATAAAAATTAACCATTTTTAATTTCCCTTTTAGAAAAAGGATAATCTCGCAGATGTTGCTTCCTCGCTGACCTTTGATTTGAGATTTGGATTAGTCAAATCTTGTGGAAATGATCTGTGTCCTGTTTTAAATGATTCAGTTCAAGTACATCATACAGAGGAGGTAGGACTCCTTCACGAAACAACTTATCCGTTGAAAGAATAACATTAAAGCTAATAAAATTGGCCTTCAAAAATTCAATGTGAATCAGTTAGCCACTGAACGAATGAAATCATGCAAAAGTCAGTCCGTTCATTCTGCTGCATATACTAAGGATCATTGCAACCGTAAGCCAGGAAACTTTTTCTTATAAGTCAACTGTCTTCTCCCAATTATGAAGGTAGCAATCACTGAGCAATGTCCGACTTAGCCTGCGTAGCATGGCGGTTTTGGTTGCTAAGTAAAAGAAGGCGGGCGTGGGCAGAAAAACCGCGCGGAGATTGGTCGTTCTTGCGCGAATTTCGCGGCTTCGCCGCTCGTGCGCCCGGCTCGACAAAACCGCCATGCTACGCAGGCTATGTCCGACTACTTGTCATGATTCTAGTCGTCCGTTCTTGAAGTCCTATATATATTCCTATATTTATTGAAGTCAATAAAGTTATTGAAGACGAATTTTTCAAGGCACAATAAATTCTTTGCCAACTTAACTAAGGACGCATTTCTTATTAAAACATTATTGCACTAAACCGAACTATAACGTAAGTTATAGAAATACGAGAAGATACCAACTTATAGTTCAGAATGAACCCGGATTTTTTATACTGTGACTTGTTCTTTCCAAATAAAAGTTTTGTTTACCAAACGATTAGTTGTACTTTTCCTTTCCAACAGTATAAGGCTATTAAAATTGCGTTCTTTTCAGGCCTAAATTTTAAGCCTAGTTTAACAACTTTATCGACCCCTTTTGTTTTCTATCTCAGTGATGGACAGAAATTCCTTGCTGTATATAACAAGTACATGTTTTTTTAACGTTGAATTTTTCGGCAGGTCTTCTTTATGAAAAAATGCAAGAACCAGCATGTTTGTGTGCCTGATCTGGCTGTGAATGGAAAAGTGATTTTAGTTGGGTAGGTAGGTCAAAACGAAATAGCTTGGGAAAAAATAACAGCCTTTTTAAAGAAAAAGGTCTCTGAACTACGTAATTATGCCGGTGTAAAGCCTCTTAATCTTTTTCTCCTCAGCCAAATGCATGGTAAAACAAAGATAGTTAATTGTAATCTGCTTCCAAAGCAGTTTTAATAAAATTGTTTAAATTTTGTGGTATGAATGTTGTAGTATCAGGAAATTTGTCCACGCTAAGTATTGAAATCAAGAGGGGAGAGGCATGCTCTTCAAAAGAGGATAGCTGCCTCTTTCATTTTGTTATTCATAGATGACCAAAGGGAGTGGAATCCATGGTTAATAGGACAGTATACAAACTCAGAAACATTCAACTGACACCAAAAAAATCATCGCTGGACCGACTAATATATTCTTCTCATCTCCACTGTGTTATCAAATCATTACAGTGTACTCCTGGTAACCTTATGTAAAAAGAGAGTTGCAAACAGCTAGCTGCATCGTGACCGTTTGAAAAGTTGTGACCCAAGTTTTGGCGAACCCTGTGAACACACAGCTAATTAGGAGAAAATGGTAAACAAAGTAAACACTGGTATATCTAACACACTTATTCTAAATGCTTTTTTTTCAATGTTGTAACAGATACGACGGAAATCATACTTTTGACCAGAATCTGCGCATCGGTCTGGTGAGAGAACTCATTTTGCAGGTTACGGTAACCAACAAGGCGAACGACCATGCGTACTATCCCAAACTTCTGGTCAAATATCCGAGATCGTTAGGCTATCTACGGACTGGCGATGTAAGTAGGCTCAAAGATAACTGATGTTTATATCATCGTGAAGTGCGAGAACGCTCAAAAGTTTCGAAATTCATTTCTATTGTATTCATTAATTTCATGCGCGAGAACTCCCTATTTTCTCGGCAGTATTTTTTTTGCAAGACATGATGATTTACTCTCATAGCAATCATTTCAATATGTCGTTCAGTCCTAGGCCAAACGTCGAACTTTTCATGAGACGAACCAAGTTAAGCTGATGAAAAGTTCGACGTCTGGCTCAGTTAAGTTCTTCTGAATGAGTTTGGATCGTCCAACACGTTCTCTCCGTTTGCTTCAGAAGAAGACCACCTCCGGGAATGTCGATCTTCACAAGCGACGAACTAAAGTAATAAATTAAACATTTGTATGATAATGAATATTTAGCCTTCTTCGGGAGAACAGTCATTAAAACTGCTTTTTGGTCTGATTCACGCGTCCTAAGGTCAACGTCTGACCGAACACACGATTTTTACTAGATTTAGGTCGACCCAAATTAGAGTTTGGTTCGTCTCACGAAAACTTCGACGTTTGGCCCAGGCCTCACCTTACCTTTTCTTTTCATCCAACAGTGCAAAGATGACCTTCATTCAGGGAACAATACTGAGTCCCAGTCCTCTATCACCTGTGATGTAGGAACAGGAATCGCGCTTCCGGGACTCAGCAAAGTAAGTAGTCTATATCTTTTTCTTCAAAATCCCAGCCTATGTTCAAAATTTAAAAAAAGGGGAACGTTTTCTCAAAAAAATCAAAAAAGAAATCAAAACAGAGGTGGAATGGGATGTAAGCTTTTAAATCTCTTCAAATAAGAGTGTTTTGCGAGTTTCGCGCTGATCTGCTAATGCTTCGCAATTTTAATTATCTTTAGTTAGTTGCCATGGAAGCCTTTATTGGGTGTTCAATGTGACTGGTAAACCAGGATTAGAGCAAACCAGGTTTGCTACATCTCGACCCAGTACGATGGAGTGTTTGTCCTCTTTATTTTAAACGTTGTTGCGCTAAGCTACTTCCTCTACATTACTCGCACGATTTTGCTTATCATTTTGGTAACGTTACTTGATTTGATTCGCTTTTCAGCATCAATTTGATCTCAAGTTTTCAGCGGAATCCGTGGAAAAGGATTTAACCATTATTGTCAAGACCGAAAGGTAAGAAATACTTGGTGTGATTATTTTAGATTATGGTTTCATTGAAAATGTGCGAACGAACTAAGAAAAGAAAATCAGCTCTTGCTAAGATGACTTTTTAGGTGAAACAAATGATCCTGTTTGCTGAAGTGATTAGCTTAATTAGATCTAAATGCAAAGAAAATTCATATGTTCATCATTTTAACGTGCATACGCCAGCGAGACTTTTGGGTAGGTGTGTTTAAAAGACCAACTTGATTTAAAGATTTAAAGTTAGCTCTTCTAAATTGCCATATAAATGTAATGAATCACTATTCTTGGTCCTTCAGTCAAGACTTCGACGCAAACGAAAGGGACAACAGCAAAGAATTCTTTGTTGCTGTGAAGTATGAAGCAGATTTGGAGGTTAGAGGGTACGTATGTGACTGAATTCTCAGCTTAAAACCAAAGTGACTAAAAAATGTTCGTAATAATCAGTAAGGAGCGACCTATACCATTCGATAGGAATTTAATAAAATAATTTAATCAAGATTATCTTCCTGAAAAAAAATCTCTGGCCACAATGAGCTCTAGTTAATACCTGGCTGGATTACGTTCTCTTCCCTAGTACATATATCTGCGTTCTTAATTCTTCAGAGCAGTATACTCTGTGAATCACCCTCAAAATTCTGTACATCCACAGTTATTCAAAGCCAGATCAGGTCATTTATTCTGGAACCGTGGTAGAGAATAAGAAAGTTGAGGAACTTCACGAAGAGGAGATTGGACCCGAGGTTATTCAAACTTTTACGGTAGGCAATCATACATGCAGGCTTAGATAAATCCTTTTCATCGACAAAACCTCATTGCTTAATTGTCAAAGAAAGGAAAAAAAAAACACCTACATTTATCCACCTAGCTGTTCCAGCTTACCGCGGCTACCTAAAGCTAGAGATCGGTATTTTTTTGTCTTCAGTTGAGGGACTTTGGTCAAGAATTTTTATGATATTAACGCAAGACCTGTTACGCCTCAATAAGTGAGTTTTGGGAGCGGAGTGGATTTTTAAAGGGGTGGGGGTGGGCTGTTTGAAAGAGAAACTTTTCATTCAACATGAAAAAATATATTGATTTGTTTACAAAGCTTGTGCTAAACTATCAGCCTAGAAGAAAAACAAACAAAGAACAAAACAAAACAAAAAGAGTAGTTCTGGTCATTAAAGACGGCTTTTCGGTATATGACCCATTGAAATGTTTAAACTCTCAGACAGTTCACAGTGTGTCACCTATTTTTCCATGTTATTTTTTAGGGCGATCTCTGAGTTTGAGAGGCCGCTATCTGAATCTCCTCAGTATGTTGAGCGAAAACTGGGTATACTGGGTAGGCCGGCGGACGGGGATGGGAGGTGATTTTATCCCCATTCCCTGTAACCACGGGCAATTTGCAGTTACACGAAATTATAGGAGAATGTAAACAGTCTGCTTCCTTTAATCTTGGTAACTATGATGACATAAGCATGCTTAATCACGGCCTGCCAGATGTCGCCATGCAATATAACACTGACACCGGGTGCTTAACTTGTCACAGGTCAGGAATTTTGGACCCAGCGTTGTAGACGAATCAAAAGTGACGATTACTGTTCCTAAACTGTTGAGGAAAAGCGATCCCGAGAGCTACCTTATTTATCTTTTACAAGTTGAGGTAAGAAATTTCTTAAAAATTGTTGGAGGAAAAATATCGGAGGAGAGGATGTTCGGCGTGGCTGTCACGTGGGGGGGAGGGGGGAGGCTGTTGGTTAGCTTCAGAGTTAAGTAAAAAGTGAAGGGTTAAAATGTTATGGGATTGACAGTTTTGCTTCCAAGCATCCTTAGAATTCGTAATGAAAGTCACCATTCTTTTAGGTTATTGGACCTGGAAGCTGTGATGTTCTGGTGAATCCTCGTAATATTAAGGTAAGCTGCGAAATATCTCCAATTTCCTTTGATATTGATATAATTTTTTCTAATACGGCTTTTTCCTCTTGAAGTTATAGAAAATTGTGTTGTTATAACTGATAATAAGTGTTACTTAGTGGTATATATTTCTAAGTTGCGTTTTTATAGATCGAATTAGAAGAAATCAAGAAATTCTAACAATATCTGTGTCATTCATTTTTTATTTCACAGTCAGCGAAAGGCAATCATTCGATAAGTATTGGTAATGTCAACAGAGACAGACGTGATGTAATCTCACTGGTGAGTTAGAAAGCTCATACTACGCGTGTCACGTTACGTTGCCTTTGAACCTGTGGAGGTCCTTCCACGCCATTATGGCCATCGGCTGATTTTGTGCCGAATTATTTGAAGAAATAATTCCCTTCTACAAATATATTCCTAATATCAAGAATTATATTGTCAGAGTTATAAAAATTAGCTAACCTGAAGCTTATTATTTCCAAGCGCGTTCATAATTCTCTTTATTTTATGTAGGATGATTTATGCACTGTAATCTCTATCTTTTAACAGAACTGCAGTCAAGCCGTATGCCAATCTTTCCAGTGTAGCCTGGGTCGAATGAGACAAGGTGACAAAGTGGAAATTAAACTGACGTCACGATTGTGGAAGAACACTTTTCTAAAGGTAGGTGTGTTTGATATGAAAAATATTGCAGATCTAGAAGGGTGTTGTCTAATGAAGCCGAAGGCTTTAAAAACGCAGTTGACATCTTTCAGAGGCATTCTGAGAATTTCTGTCGTTACTATTTTTCTGCCAGAAATTTGGTTTACTTTTCCTTTTTTTAAAGCGTCTTCCAATCAGCGTCTCGTGCCCTCTAGCTGCCACTGCATGACTAAAGGCACCGCCTTTTTGTGACGTCATTCGTCCAATACTTTAATTTAGACAGTTGGAATCATCCTTTCAATAATAAAAAATATATTGGACAAATGACGTAAAACTTCTATATTTGGTCATCAAAAGTAACTCCTGGTAACCTGCTGATTTAAGCCAATCAGAAATGTAGAAGCATTTGAATGAGTTATAGCAAAACTAATGTTGCAGCTTTTTTTGCTTTTTTTTTGGTCAATTAACAGCTAGATGAACCTTTGGTTGTTGAGTTAGAGACACTTGCACAAGTTCATCCTCCTACTAAAGTTATGCAAAGAAATGAGGAAAACGATATTGCTACGGTAAGATGTTTCGGTTCCTTTGTGAAAGAGCAACCACATGCATTTTACAAATTGAACTTGTATTGCTACTTTAATTACCACATATTGCATTTGTCAGATGGTTTACATTTCATGCATCATATCAACTTTTCATCCATTATTTCTTTTTCATCCATTTATACTGCAAAGCTTGCAATTGTAAACCGTGAAGGAAAGCACACCCTTTCTTCCTTTCGTTTTTATATTTTTCTTTCAAGTTAGCTTAATCTATTTTTTTTCCGCAGATTGTTTTGACAGCCAAGCCTGAGCGGAGAGGTAACAGAGGCAAATCAATCCCTTGGTGGGTGTATTTGTTATCGGCCCTCGGTGGAATCCTCTTACTTACTGGGGTCATTTTTCTTCTGTACAAGGTTTGTAAATTAATACATTGGCCAGTTCTCAGGGGCTGACATAGACTTGCTACAAATCGACCTCTTAGCGAGCGGAGCGAGCCTTTTTTGGCCGCAAAACGGCCGACAGAGTTTTACTTTAGTTCGCGTTCGCGTTTTGTAATTATCCAATTGAGTTATGCAGAAACTATGCCCCAAATATATGAAAAAACTTGTTCCGTGTAAAAAAAAGGCGGGTCGCTCGCCTACTCAAGCTACCCAGGGTGAGTCAACTTTTCCTACATTTCCAAAAAGACTTGGCTAACCGTCGTTTTTTGACAAACAAAAAGTTGGCTTGGGTACATAGACAAAGTATACTTGTTTGACGTAAGTTAAATTACTTTTACACGAGGCGCTCCTCGATGTTCCACCAGTAAGCATCAACAAAGAGATTAAACAAGGGTTCAGAAGACCATCCTTCCAGGAGAGCCTTGCTTTCGCTTGATCGATTTTTTTAAGAAGGCTCTGCTCACAGCCGGGATGTCAGTAGCCGTGCTCGTATAGCAAAGTAATTGACGGTGAAACGAAATAAAAAAATAAAAAAATATGCTTTCGGCAAATATATCACCACAGTTTATAAATAACAGACTATCTGGTCCATCCATTGATACGTCGTCTAGGCCGTTAAGAGTTTCAGTTTTTTTCTTTTTTTTTAAGCTCAACTTTGAAGTCATACTCTGATGTCAGAATCCTTGCTGTACAAAATGACTTTAAACAATCGATTTTTCTCTGTTTCATTATTTCCAAGTATTTTTGAACGATTGCCATGCGGGGCGTTTATTAAAGAAGGGCATCCTATTCAGGCTACAAACTTAAAATCTAGTGGGGCGTTCATTAGACAAGATGCGTTTATTTGAGAGAGGGTGTCTATTAGACCATTTACGGCAAGTGAGCTACAGACCTTTTTGAAAGGTATTAATGTAGGTGGAGTATGTGAAATGAAATCAATTTCTTGTTGGTTGATATTACTTATCATAACTGTATTTTGAAATTAAGTCTTTTTTGTTGTAGCTTGGATTCTTTAAAAGGCGAAAGGATTCATTACAAATCACCGACGATGAAATTGCTCCCATGAACAAAGCATAAGCCGAGAGGATCAGGAAACAGCCAAGTCTTCTTCGCCAAGAGAAAACAACTTGAATATTTTTAAATAACTTAGATTACCTACACATGCATTGCCCGTTCCGTTGCTGGTAACATAAATATCGATGATTTTCGATCCCAAACAAGTGTTCTTTTCAGAGGTCCTTATGGTCATGCGCTACGGCAAAAACAAAGCTCTTCCCTTTAGTGTATTGAAATTCCACGTGAGATTCCGTGGTCGGCGTTTTATTGGATTGCGATGTGAGACTTTTCTTGAGCCCGCGCTATTAGCAATTTAGAGGTTGCGAAGGAAACTGGGTCAAAAGTTCGTCCTTCAGAGCAGTCACATGTTCAACACAACAACGACCCAGTCTAACTCCGGCGCAACCTCAAAATGGTTTGTGACAAAAGTGTGGTCTCCACCGCTGCAGTAGACAGCAGTGATTGCTTAGAAACAACTCTTCAACGATCGTAACCATCGTTGTGATGACTATCGCTGAGATGGATGCTTTTCTATCTCGATATGATCGATGCGATATCGGGACTTTTTTCATCGCTCTTATCTCTACCAGGCTTGAAGGAGATTACCTCCGCAGCTAAAACAAAAAGCCAACCCAAGATTCTGACACTGAGAATAGACAGATATAGCAAAGACTACGTGACTTCAGATGATAACGCGACAGCACGTGGCAAAGAACTAAAAGCCCCTTCGCTTCTACCATTCCCTTTTAAGACCTGCGCGCGCAGTCGTCACTGTCGGTCACGTGGTCTTTGCTAAATCTACACTTACACTATATCATTGGGAATTTTTTGTACCAGTGACAGGATTCATACAGTGTTCTTAAAAAGTGATGTAGGTCCTAAAGTTTGATAAAGGAATAAGCTATTGTCTAGTAACAAACGTAGGTGGTACTCTTTCAGTTTCGTTTTGTTAGAACTGAAGGTTGCTTTTTATTTACCTACGTATTTATATTTATTAACGCTCGTCATATAGTGTGATGGAAATGAAGTTAAAGTTGTTAGATAGTAATTTATGCTTGATTTCAGACTTGTAAATAAAGACAGGATGAGAAAAAATTACTTTTTCTTTACGGTAAAAAAAGAAAGCAGTGAGTTAAAATGTCAGGGAAATCGTGCGTTCTTTTAGTACGAATGGATAAACTGTCGAGGAATATAATGACTTTAATAAGTTTAAAGTTTTGAAGAAAACATTTTTTACATAGTTTGAGACATATACTTATTAAAGAAAGATACTGCAAATACACTGAATATCTTCTACAAGGGCAAGTTTCAATTTTCTTGTTACTAATTTCTATGGTGGAATTGACGAACGAATTTGAGGCAAGCATTTCCAATAGCTTTCAACACTAAATTACGCCTGCAAAATAAAACAGGAAAAGGCACTCGCCACATCAAGGCTAATCCGTTACTGAAGTCCGTTATAAATGCTTCACAAAGTGGATAGAATTCTACATGTTTCCGCTACATTTCTTTGGCACAAGTGAAAGGAATCCCAACGTAAAACCGTGGGAAAGGCCGTCTAAGGAGAGGATGCAAGTGCTCTTTTTGTTATTTTGGAGGCCACATCAAACTCAATTCACTGTGCTTACTTTGAGGAACCCACTGCTTAAAAGCAGCCAGTAAAAACTTTGGATCCTTCTTCCACGCTACCTCCAGCGCTTTCTTACTATCAGCACATTCGCTAACAAGTTCACTTAGCAACACTTCAGTCCTGGGCTGCAACTTAGCCCAAGTCTTGATCATTGTAGCAGGCGCACTAAGAAGAAAAGGCACAAACTCTGCAAATTTAGGGATAACTTTTCCTTCAAGTAGAAACCTGGCGAACCACTTGTACCTGTCAATTCCTACGGGATAGTCAAGCTCCTGGGATGGGATCTGCCACGACCTGGAACCAAACGTGCACGTCATGTGACACTTAGCAACGCCTGCCTCGCAATCGTAACGAGGCGCAGGATCTTCTAACGGCTTGGAGAAAGTGCATAGGTTTGGAACAAAAACCGGAATCCAATCTGGCTCTACGGCTATGACTCCTGAAATACATGGAGAAGAGCAGTTTAAACTTGTTCAGCTTATTCTAGACACTTACCCGCACTGCGAAACTATGAAAACAAAATGGAAGTGGCTGAGCATGTCACTCAATCTACCGACAATAGTTAGACACCAAGTTGCTCTGAATGGCGGCCTTAGGAGATAATCGAGACGATTGTTTGACGAGGGGGTTAAGGCCGGAAGACAGTTTGACTTGGTCAAGGCCATTAACAAAAACAACAACAACAATAAAAACAACAGAAGACGGTGTAAACGAGCGAAGCTCTACACTTAACCACGAATGGGGAGGAGAACCTATAACTAAATCAGAAGGTTCATTTCTTCATAAACAGCAGTCACGAATGCCGTTGAAACTGGCTTTTGAGTAACCCGATTGGTATTCAGAATATTGCTAAGCTTTGCCCGGCGGCAAATGATTTTCCACCAATCCAAACATATCTAATTTGCGGGTGCTAAAAATACGACTTGATAACAAATTACAAGAGAACAAATCGCATTTTTTATCACCAGATAATCTTTCTTGTACGCGTTTTTTTAAATGATCACCAATTAAAAATATTTAGACCTTCTGAGAAGAGAAAGACGACACGTTGAGCTTATCCCGCCAAAGGCACAACAGGTTTTCTCACGTTATGCCCCTTAGGATACTGTGGACCGTCTGGCGGCAAAATGTTGAGAAGAAAAAATATGATCGTTGTGAGGGTCGAAAGGAGCGTCAGTCATCAAAGGTACCCTTACCTTTCATAAACAGTTTTGAAGTCTCTACTATCTCTTGGTAAACCACGTACTCTGGTAATACATCAAATAGGGCTGATGAAGGGTGAATAAACACAGGCTCATCCAGGGACATACAAGTGTAAGCATTCTTCAGCTGAGGATCGTTTCCAACGGGGTTCTTCCGTGCCACTTGGTCACCAAGCCCCGAGAGGCAGATCTGGCGGATAGCTCTGCACTGGAGAGGAGATGGCGGGCTCATCCGAGGATTTAGCACAACTTTTGCGTCAGGGTTCACAAGATTTACAGAGTTCGTAAGCTGGGTTCGGAGCTTTCTAATTTCGATCATTCCCTTTTGGCGAAGCCCGTTCTCATCACAGAATTTCATGGTACAACCTGCATACTCACTAGCGCCCACAGCTCGCAAAACTACCATGGCGTCTCCAAGCTTTTGTGCATCCCCATGTCCCGCCCAAGCGCGTCTAAGCCGCGAAATCTTTCGTCGTTCTTCTTTGCTTATTTGACCAGCGGTATCATCAGCAAAGACTTCCTTCACTGTGAGGGCTGAAACAATAGCAATGACGTACTCCATGCAGTTGTCTTGGTTTCCGAGGCAGAGCATTTTTGCGTATCTTGGGGAAACAGGAAACTTGGCCATGGCGCGACCTAGCGACGTGATGACTGCATTGATATTTCCTCTCACAGTTTTCTTCTCTTCTAACGCTCCTAGATTCCACAGCAGTTTCTCGGCACTTTGTAGTGCTTTCGTGTCAGGGGAAGTGGGAAAAGGAAAGTTTACAACCTTCTCGATATTCATGTCTTTCATCTGTAAAACCAAATCGTCCACTGGGCGACGGGAGATTTCTGGCGCCGAGAATTCTTCAAACTCGTTCGTAAACACCGCTGATGAGTACAAACGATAGCAGTGCCCAGGCTCTACTCGACCAGCTCTGCCCGCTCTCTGATTGGCTGATGCTTTAGACGTCCACGTAATCTTAAAGGTAGATACACCTGTGACCTTATCATAATAGCGTCTTTTCACCATGCCAGTGTCTACAACGTATTTGATGTTGGGAATTGTCAACGATGTTTCTGCTACGTTGGTTGCTACGACGCATAGCCGTGCTTCTTCCGGCGGCGTTTGGAACACTTTTGCCTGTTGCTGACTGGAGAGAAGAGAATAAAGAGGCAGAACAAACATTGGGAGATTCTTGTCGATCAAGGAAGTAAAGGCGCTGTCATCAAGGTCAAAGTCTTCATCCTCAAGACCTTCACCAAGGTCTTCATCTTCTGCTTCTCTGTCCTCAAAAGCAGGGTTCACTGGATAATTATCAAGATCCAAGTCGTCATCATCAGATTGCTCGTCCTTGCCCATCTTCTTTTGTGATTTAGTCTTCTTTGGATCATAGGGAAATGTCTTTCTCAATTTTCTACACAACCCATGTACTTCAGCTTGACCCGTCAAGAAAACTAATATACCTCCTTGCGGCAGAGTGCGGTGAATTTTACACACTTTACGAAACGCTTCATTTAAGTAATCATCAGGAGTCCTCTTGTTGAAATGCACAGTGACGGGAAATTGCCTGGACTCGACGCTTACCACAGGGGGTGGGGAGGGGAAAAGACGTGTATTTCCTGTGAAATCTTCGACGCGAAGAGTGGCGGACATTATGACAAGTTTTAGTTGTTTTCCTTGTTTATTTCGTATCGGTACTATTCTGGAGAGTAGGCCTAAGAGAATATCAGTGAAAACGCTTCGTTCGTGGGCCTCATCAATCACAATGACGGAATATTTGGACAAGAAAAAGTCATTTTCGATTTCCTTCAGCAGCACACCATCTGTCATGAACTTAATAATTGTGTTTGTCGTCACGTTGCCTTCGTAACGAATCTGATAGGAAACCAAATCAGTGCTCATGTTTAGCTCTAAAGCCACACGGCGTGACATGGACACGGCAGCCACACGCCGAGGCTCTGTCACGCCAATCAGCCCTCGAGTGGTGTAACCGCCTTCATATAAGAACTGAGGAACTTGAGTAGTTTTTCCACTGCCCGTTTCACCGCAAAGAATCACAACATCATTATCGTGAATTGCTTCCATAACAGCCTGTTCTTCTGCGAGAATCGGAAGCTGTAATCTAGCGGCTTGGATTTTTGGGTCTCGTTTTACTTCTTTAAAGACTGCTTTCTCAGAAATGCCCTTAACCGGCTGCAGTTTCTTGACATCCTTACTCTCTTCTTTAGTGAATTTCTTTGCTTTTCCCTCATCGATTTTTTTTGCTGACTGGTTGCTAGCGTCGTCTTCACACTCATCTGTTTCTTTTGATTCAACTGCTTCTTCATCTTGAGGTGGACTCTTAACAACAACATCCACATCTTGTAAATCTTGAATGCCACCTTCCTCATCAACGCTGTCAGAAGAGTCTTCGGACACCGATTCTTCAACCTCCTTCGCAGTCTTAACAGGAGGAGGTTTATTCGCCTTCTTGTCTAGCCGAAGCTTCTTCCCTTTCTTGCGTCCGCACCGAATACTCGAAATAATTCCTTTCTTATCTCCATCTGTTTCGGAGAAAGTCCTTTTTCTAGTTGGATTCAGCTGCCCCAGAGCAGTCGTAGAACTCATCTGAGAAAGTTCTTTATCGCTCACTGCACAATCTGCCAGCGCCTTCAGCAAGACTGCCCTTTTTGCTTTCTTCTTCTTCGTTTCGACAATCTTTTCAAGTTTTTTCCTCTGTTTCTTGGTGAGCTTTTTTCGCTTTTCATTTGGATCTTTTTTCTCTATTTTCACTTTTTCCTTCTTACTAGGTGCAAGAAGAATATTAGTGTCTTCTTGCGACGTTTTGTACACATCATCTTTGGTAGAGTTTTCCAGGATAGTACTGTTAACCAATGATGTTGTTGTCTTCTTTCCTTCATTCGATTCCTCTGGCTGCAATCTCGCTCTCCAGTTATGTCTTTTCCTCATTCGGCCCATTTTGTTAGTTCTTTAGATCACAGAAGTAACGCATCTAGGCCGTCATATCGTGCTGAAAAGCGTTTGAAACGAATGAGACTCGACATCCACGTGGATACAACAAATCCGCCATGTTGAAATTCTCTTTTTATGAGTAACGTCGCTGACCCATTGCGCTGGGCTCAAGTGGGCTTTGCTTGGGAACTAGCCGTACCAGTCCCAAACCGAGCACTCGCTGCACGTTTTCCAAGATGGAGGCCGACTTGTATGATGAATTTGGAAACTACATTGGCCCAGAACTCGACAGCGACGAGGAAAGTGAAGACGAGGATGAAATTGGAGAAGAGGAAGTCGCAGAATATGTAAGTAGAGTAGGTTTTTGGACATAACTGGGGTGGATGTGAGTTTTTTCTTTGTGAGTTCCGTGCATGCTTTAATGTCATCTTCACGTCTTTGTAACGTCATTGAAAGCCTTCTCAGGGTAACTTTATCCTTTGAAGGCACTGTAAATTTGCCATTAAAGTTCCTTCGCTTCAATATTCATGCTACAAAGTTGCATGTTCTGTTATTGCAATCATTCATCCAACCAGGACGTTACATGTCTACAGAAATCGATCATCGGAAAGCTAATCGATAAGTCGATAGTACTCGATACTTGTCAATAATTGTCGATTGACAAGTTATATTTGTCGATAAAAGTCGATAATCGGAATGATCTGAGGACAGGTAATCGATTTCGATCGACTCTTATCGATTTCTATCGTCAACAAAACAATTCTAACTTGCAGCAACTCGATTGTCTTTGAGCATTGAAAGTGTAAGCAATTGTACGGTATTTAACGAAAATGACAATAAACAGCGATAAAATTGCATTGAATCAAATCTGAAAAAAGCAGATGTTATTACTTTTATTGCCTTCCTTTGCAATGAGCTGCCTTGTAATTGCAGGTTTGCAGCTTTCACGTTCATACTTTTGCCCCGCGTTTTTTCCTGCTCCGTGATTCTTTTGGTCAGCACAGACACTGTACTGGCTTTTTTGATAGTTTTCGATAAAAATCAAATTTTAACCAAAAAAGTCGATAGGGATAGATAATTACACGAAATTTTGTGATTGACTTTTATTGATTTCCGATATTTGTCAATGAATAAATATTGGTATTGATTATTATCAACAGCGATTGGAAAAATAACTTATAGTCCTAATAGCTGTACATTAAAGGGTTAGGTCGTGTCGTTCGTTTTCCCATGTCGTTTTCAGAGAGAGAACTTTTATGATAACTTACAACGTATGGGGAGACGGTTCGTTATAATTATTTAATGAAACAGTGGAGATGTTCCATTACTGATCAGAACAGTTTTGATTTAATGAACACACTGATGTATTCACACTATAGAGCAAAGTTTGTTATTCAATACTATTGCTTTGGTAGTTCCAGAATTTATATCACAATATGACATCAACAAATTTATCAACTCCTGTACCTATTAGTAGCTTTTGACCCAATAAAACTACAAAAACATGCACTCTAGTCCTAATTTTGTATCCTGGACATAATATACTACAATTTTACAATTCAATCCCACCCAACCCAGCAAGTTGCAAGCATTTTGGTCGCCATGGTGACTAAAACTTTGGAGCTGGCGACTTGATTTGTTTGGTGGCCAAATGGTGACCAAGCGAAAACTTTAACTTGGAGGGTTGCCACCTCTTCAGTGATTCTGTTTGACTGCATAACATAGAACCAAAGTTGTAAGTTGGGACATTCTTGGAAGCAACCATGGTAACAGGGTGTAAAGAAAGTCAGTTTTATAGCTTGCCTTTTGGGCAAGCTGTGGCTAGCATATACTAGCCCAAAAGTCATTTCAACTAGCCTGAAAAATACTTTGATGAGGAGGATTGATTTCAGTTCTTTTGTAATTTGAATTCTCAAAAAAAACTTCACTTACCCATTGGGCAAGAGATAAGATCAGAATGCACTAGCAAGATAGCAAAATCCACTAGCCCAAGGCTATCACACACAACTTTCTTGGCATGCTCAGGGTGTTCATTAAGAATTAGAGAGCGGAGAATTCTCTGTTTTCAATGCAGAATTCCATGGCTAACATTCCATATTCTATGACTATTTTTTATTCAGATGTGTAGCCTCTTTCAAAATCATCTCCTGTAACATTACACCTTTCTCCTGCTACTAGAATTCATAAAGAAAACCCTGCATGCTGGGTTAGGTTACCTGAGGACAGCTACATGGTATAATTACTGAGTGTAATGGAATATTTATGAGCAAAATCATGGGAAGATTTACCATAATAAAAGAAGAGCGCTTTCAGAGCAATAATTATATTACTCTTACTAAGTTCCAAAAGCATTCAAATTTCCTGCTTCTGATTAGTAGAAAATATTTTTCTGACCAATGAGAAGCAGTGAATTCAAATGATGTAGGACTGGTTTGGTAAGAATAACCATTCTAGTTTTAAGAGTAACGAGCATTAATTTTCCTCTAACAGTATCAATACATAAACAAGAGAATAGTTTACAAGATTTTCTAAACCGACCACCAAAACGAAAAGGTTTTGTCTTTTATCAAAATTAATTCTCTCAACAAATTGTTCTTTAAGGATATGCATGAAGATCATTATAAACTTCCACTGTAAGGATTTGCCCACAAATAGGATTAAAACTGCCTGTGGGTTAATGTTAGGACATGACATGGTGCAAAATTGGGTTATTCCAGAAAAAATCCACACCCCCACGACGGAAGGCATGCTGGAAAATCTCACGGGAGGAGGGGTTAATGGCTCTGGAAATCCTGATGGGAGGGGGGCTCTGAACCTAAAAATACATCCTCGGGGGTAACTTTTGATTTCATTGATGTTTCAAGTGCTTCGTTCGATAAGTTTTCAAATAATTGCTTTGCCTTTTCAAATTTTATTATTCTTTCAAACTACAGACCCCTTACCACATTTATTTTAAGTTTCCATCCATAGGCTCGCTCTCGTTACTTTTGTAGAAGCAACATGCGATGACTCGAAGACATCAAGAAAAATCGCATAATTCATTAAAAAAGTGCTCAGTTCAAGTAAAGCAAACAATGATTTTACCTTCAATTATACATTTTTCCAAGGTTAATGCTAATCCAGGGTGATTTACCACTAAACAGGCCTTACAAGTACATTTTGTAAGCGTGGTTTTTTGTTTGTGATTGTTTGGCGGCCATTTTGAAAGGCAAGCGTACAGCACGTCATGTAATATCACCCTAAGTGTCCTTTTTCTTCTTTTCGCAGTCATTTTTTATCGACAAAGAAGAGAACTATTTATTCGAGAACATAGTTTATAGTTTTGAGCTTTATTGTAGTATATATTGATGTATATTTTGCCTGTTCTAGAATAAAAGAGAAGTTCACTCACATACCGTATTTATTCGAATAAGCGCCCAACCTCGAATTAGCGCCCACCTCGAATAAGCGCCCATTCTAAAGGCAGAAAAAGTTAATACAGTGTAAGCACCTCGCCTCGAATAAGCGCCCACCTCACCACACCTTCCTCCCACTCCCACTCAAACTCAAATTAACGACCACCCCTAAAATTGAATAAGTACTAATAAGAGACTTCCTTAAAGATGGAGTTTTCTTCAAAGTATTTTACAGGAACCTTGCTTTGTTACATCTTCGCATTCTGTTATTACCATTTATTGTTTTGTTGGAAAATACATATACTACACTTGCTGAAAATGTTGAAAATTTAATAACCGCCCAGCCTCGAATAAGCGCCCACCTCGAATGAGCGCCCACTCTCAAGGTCCAAAAATTTAATAAGCGCCCAGGGCGGTTAATCGAATAAATACAGTATGAGCTTATTTGCAGAAAGTGTAAGCCTGTTTAAGAAGATGTGAAAATGGATCTTAATGTTCACAACAAAAACAGAATTCACAGAAAATTGAGACTTATTTAATAAAAAGATCATCTAAGTGCCTAAAAGGATTCTTCAACATTGAGTGTAAAGTAAAATCACGGTGTCTAACAATCTTATGGAAATCCAGATGGGTGGGGGGGGGTCTTTGAACTTGGAAATCCTGAGGGGAGGGAGGCTCAAGCAGTTTTGGAAATCCAGGTAGATGGGGGGATCAAAAAACCGTGCCTTCCATCGTGGGGTGTGGATTTTTTCTGGAATAACCCATTGTATGTGGCAAAAGTTACAATTAGGTATCATGTACACTTATCCTGGTAAAACAAGTCACAGATAAATTAATGTTAATGAAAGTCACTGAGAAGATTATTTCTTCCAAACCCTAGTGAGTGAAAAAAAAAAGGAAAAGAAAACAAATGTAATTTCATTTGTTTCAATGATGATTATTGTTATGCTTGGTACTATATTGCTAGGCTGAAGAAGATGAAGATGAGCAGATGGATCAGGATGAAGAACCTCAAATGCAAGTTGTTCTACATGAGGTACTTTGTACACTGTATGGTAGCAGCCTTTAATTTCCAAGATCTTGGCATGATATATACTAATATTAAAACAGTATTCATTATACATGTACAAGATAATAGTGTTTAGAATTCCATGCTACACCATGCTTGAGACACCATTACTCATTGGGCCAAAAGATAATCTCAATTTTGACTCTCTCCCTCTTATTGTGTTCATCAGAATGCATCCTAATCTGGTGTTCCTGTGGTACAAAGGTAGAAATTTTGGAGCTATCACAGGCGACTACCAATTAGCTGCCCCTGTTAATTTTATGAGGGGCATCTTGGTCTCAGGAAACTGGACTCCTTTGGACTTATTTGATATCATGCTCGTAGACTAAGACAAACGCAGATCCATAATCAATGATTATTACTAGTCAAAATTAATAGTAAGGAAGGAAGGACTTCATTCAACACTTCAATGGCAGCTTTGAGAAGGGGGTTGGAGGAGAAATTTAATTTGTGAGGTATAAATTAAAGGCAGGATAGAAAGCTGTCAAGAAAAAGGAATAAAAACTCTTTCTTAAGAAATAATTAGTGAGCCTGAATAAACTACCAACTGAAACAAAATTAATACTGTGTCAGCTGGGCTAAGTTTTAACTAAGCTCTAGGAGTTCAACTGAGAAAATAATTACACTGTATGGTAACTCTACAGTATTTTGTTACAGTAAATAATACATCACATGTACATCCTAAGTCATTATATTAACAGCTGATTGTGGCTAGACAACTGAGTGTAGCGTGTTTTTTAAAGGAGTATGCTGTAATTAATTGATTTTCTTTTCATGGTTTGCAGGATAAAAAGTATTATCCCACCGCAGAGGAGGTTTATGGCCCAGAAGTGGAGGTTAAAATTATTCTTTCACCTGCCATTTAAGATTATCTCACCCCTTAAACAGATGCACAAGTACATGACTGTATCATTGGCCAGAAATTCTGAGAATAAACTGTGCATACAGAGTGTGCAGTCATGTTATTTTAAGAAGTGCTTGTCTATATTAAGCATTGCATAGCATGTTAGTATACTACTATGGAAAAAAAATAATCCTTGTGAACAGGGATGATGATTCCCTTCATTGGACCTTTGTACACTAATGGCATCACTTTTTTCTGAGTTTTCTTACATGGTACTTATTATTGTTTTCTGATTTGTTTTTAGACTATTGTACAGGAGGAAGACACACAACCTTTAACAGGTTTATTATTGTAATCTACTTTATTCTCTCATTTTTGTTGTTAGCCTTACAATCCGTTGCAGTGTACACTCTATGCACAGTTTACATTTTCATAAACGTTTTTGAGTCTGGTAATACATGTATGCACAACATTAAAGGGGTGAAGTTTTATGTAGTATTTTCACTATAAAAAAATTATTGCCTCACTTAGAAAAGAGGAAAAAATAATGTGCATGGCCATTGGATTTTAGACAATGATTAACAATTAATTATTTCTGATTAGTGTTGGATTTATAGTAATTTAGCAAACATTTTTGTATTTGTTCTGCTTGTTGTCGTTAATCTGTTGAACCTTCGTATTTCGCTTTATTTTGCTTGTTTGTTTATTTATTTATGTTACTGTTTCGCCTCCTTTTTATTAGTCTGCTACACAGCCGTTTTTAGTGTCATCACGCAACGCTTCTCCCCACTTACGGCTGCTGAAAACTGAACCACATTCCTTTCCCGCGATTATTCCATTTTCTGGAAGGTGTTCGCGCCACGTGTGCGGTATGGTGACTCCTCCAATCATAGCTTTGCTTTTATCGTTGCCCCATGTGTGAATGACAGAACAATCAAAATTGTCACGTGAAAACAAGCAATCAACTAGAGTAGTGTTGTCGTAGTCGAGTCCTTTCAGAATTTTTGAGATAAGAAGCAACAGCAAGTAAGTCGAGCAAATATGATGCACAACATGGATATGTTTATAAAGTTGCCGGGTATAGTTTCGGGAAATCGCTTAGGGAACGCGTCCAAATATCGGCATCGGGTCACACCGATGCCGATCAATTGGGCACCGATTTTTTTCCGATTCCGTTGAAGGTCGGACCCGATTTTATCGGCACCGAATGAAACGGAATCGGCAACGGGTCTCAGGTCTTTATCGGGCCAATTAACAAAGGTCATCAAAAATATCTGGCAGCTCAAATAACCCATCACAAAAGCAAAAGCAAAAGCAAAAGCGTGAATGTTGTTTTTTATAACCTTATCTTTCTTATAAATGTGTCTTGTTTGAACCGAAATTTAACGTCACAGTTTCGAACATTTGTTTGTATTTCCTATGACAGAGTATGACCAGAAAATATTAAATTTGTGTATCAAAATGGGCACGAGAAGAAACAGCAGGTCATTCAACAACGCTGAAGAGCATCTTTTGAGTGAAAGACGGCGCAATGTACATTGCAAGTGTACGATCTCAAAATGATAATTTTAAAATAGCTTGAGCCTGTGCTAACCGGAACCCAAAACGTATGATTATAGGAATCTTTGGAGGAATAAACAGTTTAGGACTGTAAACGAAAAAAATAGAAGTCAGAACATCCACGACCAAAATGCAAATGTTGTTACCATGTTGTGTACTTTAACTGCTAAATTGCCACAGGAGAGAAGAGGACATCGTCTGAGAATCAGGCTGCAACTTGTTTATTGGTTGCATATGAACTCAAAAAAGTGACTGATGGAGGCATTCAACTGGTTTTCTCTTTCTCGATTCTCTTTCCGCTATTAAATTGAGTCGAACTTACCAGATGTATGCACAGTTTGCTTTAGTTGAACACTCCGGGAAAAAAGGTTCTGATTTTTGTCAAAAAGTCAGCCACCTAGAGTCAAGTGCAAATTTTTCTAAGTGCTGAGAGTGGAAAGCAATTTCACGTGGCACCATGCTCAAGCTCACAGAACATACAGCAAAGTCGCTAAGCCATTCTCTCTTTGGTAGCTCCTGTATGAAACTTCGTTCCGTGACTTACGAGTGTGGGAATCTTTCAGTTCTTGTTGCTAATTCCCTGGAGACAATCTAAGGCCGCAATCTAATTGGTCAGTATTTTTTGCCTCAGATCGCATTACACCTTGTGTTTAGGATCGTTGAATGAAAGACGCAAATTTTCGTAAAAGTTTATCCGGTGGCTTTATATTATCCATGGTTTTGCTCTCGCTCTGCTCGCTAGGAAACCCGTTGAGGTCTACTTGTAACAAGTCTATGAATCCAGTTGCGTTTCGGAAAAGTGAGTTCCGGTTGTGTTTTTGGATTGCATTGTTAGAAAGTATCGAGTAAAGAACACACTACTCAGTAAGGTGTTTTGTTTGCTATATATCAACGAAGAACAGTGGTATTTTGCCTTGTAATATTTAACTCCTTTTAATTTTCATAGAATAAATGTTATGGAGCAGCATGGTGTTTGCGATCGACTGAAGAAAATATGTCTGCAAAACGCCGAAAATCACGTGTATAGGCACGCATCAAATCAACAAACTCGAAACACAACATGCAGGAACATACAATATTGCTATTTGTTATGGAGTAGGAAAAAGGTACAGTCGATTGAAATTATTTTGGAGTGAAACGACTCTTTCATTATTTGGTTCGTGACACGCTTCATTTTACATATCAGATAATATAATATGACGATGACACATATGAACATCGGAATGTCAACCGGCTCCGATTGAATCGGCAAAGTTTTTATCGTAATCGGAAACGGCAACTGGTGCCTATAGATCGGTACCGATTCCGATCAATCGGAAAATTAATCGGGTCTGTTTCCCATGATCGGGTTCCCTACCGATATTTGGACGCGTTCCCTTATCGATAATTTATAAGATTGCCTTTGTTTGAATCAGTACCCCTGGGAGTTTAGTCTACATTCCCATGTACAACAACACAATGAGCACATCCGGCACATGAAATTCATCATACATATTCATGTTAAAAAGAATCAACCGATCCTGGTAAGAATCTTGTAGGCCTATCAAACCTTTTTTTTTTACTTGGAATTTTGTTAACCGCTTAAAACAAGCTTTTCTGCAAACAACCTTTTCGTTGCTTGCAGACACAGACCTCATCAAAAATCAGTGACGATTGATTGATTTGTCGAAAACTGAGAAGCGTGTTCGCTCCTAGCGCCCTGCGGCTCACGTATTGTCAAGTTTCTTATACATGATTGGTTTGTTCGTTAGACCACAAACACAAAGGGAAAGGAATGTGGTTCGGTTTTCAGCAGCCGTTAGTGGGGAGAAGCGTTGCGTGACGACACTAAAAACGGCTGTGTAGCAAACTACCTTTTTATTTGCTGCCCTGTTATTGTAAAGTTTATTGTAATGTTATGTTAAATGATGTTTAATAAATAAATTATTAAAAAAAAATGAGGCTGAGTATGTTATGAAGAATTATGGAGATCGAGGAGGGTGTTATCTGTCGAGGCCTTAGGCCGAGGTGGATAACACCTTCCAAGATCTCCATAATTCTTCATATGATATGAAAGCCGAGTTCAATAATATTGTTTTATTATTCATTCAAAATAATTCCTAGTTTAAAAACATGGCTAAAACATGCTTATCTCCATCGATCCATCGATGTTAAGTTCATCTTTGATAGTACACGTTTAGGTTTGTCCAGCTCTGCAAATATTCTCCAAATAGCAGATGTCACCCTTCGAGTTGTCTTCTTGCTGTTCTCGCCTCGTTTTTAGCTATTTTTCCGCCTAGTTCTTACTCTTGAAACGAGTGAAATGTCCGCCATTTTTTGTTTTCACAATCTAAACAACTCAAACTCGTCCCCAGGTCTTCTTGGTTAATGGTGCCTTAACCTGCACAAATGCTGCATTTTTGACGTCATTTCCTCGTTAGACACAAAATTCTTCCAAATTTGGTCATCAGAAACTGGTTATGGTGAATTATGCGTGTGCCTTTAGCCAATCAGAATCGGGAAAATAATTATTTTATATGAACATATATTTTGTGTGTTTTCTTGCTGTTGTACAATGTAAATGACACTCCCATGTGTACCTTATTTACAGAGCCTATCATCAAACCAGTGTCAAAAAAGAAGTTTTTTCATGCAGAACAAGATCTTCCTACGACAAACTATGATGTTGAGTATGTGAAACCATCACAAATTACAGAACTCGCTGTTTAAATAAAAATCATTTATAATTAATAAAAATATATATATATATTTTTTATTTATGGCAGTTATTTTGTTATGCAAAATTTAATTTTAATTTAACCCATTCGCTCCTGGAGATTTTGCCGAAAAACGTGTTTTGAAGCTAGTCGAGTGGTTTTCTGGTCACTGTCGTGCTATAAAGAGGTAAAACTTACCACAAACTGGTTTACAGGTCGAACACTTCGCGGCCTTCTGATCCAGATGCAAAATATCAGCTTGAGAAGTTCAGGCATGCGCAGAAAGCAAAATTTCGAGATAGTTTTTGGGTTTAAAAGTGACACAGCAGTCTTGACTTTTACTTTTCGCTTTCTCTCCTTCCTTCTTTTGTCGCTTTTCTTGCCTCATTTTTTTTTTCTCTTGCTTGGCATTTAGTAGGTTTCATTTTGGTGGGAAGAGTTTTTAGGAAAGCTTTTAGGATCTTAGGATTAATGGAAAGGAAAGGTAGGTGAGTAATGGAACAAGATTTTCATGGAGATTTTCAGGTCAATGTCACGTGGTTTTTTGCTTGTTTCTCCGGTGTCCTTGACTGAATTGTGCTCATTCTGGTATGGTTTGAAAGATCTCTTCACTCTGCACAAGTTAGCGAAGAAAGTTGTCCTTGACCATTAAAACTGATGACGTCACAATGGGTAGAAAGGACCTGGATCCGCACGGGCGGTTATGGGCGGTTCAGGGGCGAATGGGTTAAAAATATTCTTTGTATCCAACATCACTATTAAGAACAAAAAAGAGTTGAGATTTTGACATATATGTGTTTTGGGTAGGATGCTGCAAGCATTGCCATACCTTGATTTTTATGCAAATGTACTAATAGAGTAGCTTCATTATTTTGTAATAAACACAAGTCAGTGAAAATAATATTACTGTGTAATATATTTACTGGTATGTGATTTTAAGTCTTAAATTGTACTGCATGTACAGTGTACCATTTAAATGTTATTTTTGTCATCTGTACACAGGTATTTGGCAGATTTGATGGATAACTCTGAGCTCATTAGAAATGTGGCTTTGGCAGGACATTTACACACTGGAAAGGTGCAGAAAAAACTAAATCTTTCACCAGTTCACTGAAAAAAAATAATGTAGACACTTGATTGAACAGCTACATGTACTTTTTTGGAAGCATCCTACATCTGTACACTTTTTTTCTGAGGTACCTGTTGATGACTACTTTTGATGACCTTTTCCTCAGAAATCATGGGATTTTGCATTCTTTTCTGGTTTTCTTAATATGGATACTCTGTAATGTGTGCCTCCTTTGCATGACCTATGCAAAATTATTTTTCATGCGTTGAACTTAATAACGGGTAATATAATCACAGCAAAGCAGCAGAAAAAGCAGAAAATCAACCCTGAATTGTTTTGCAAGTGTACTATTGAGACATGAAATATAAGGTTTTTTCCTATTGGTTTGTTGTCTGCAGTCTGTTTTTGTGGATTGTCTCATTGAACAAACTCACCAGGACATTCAGGCAAAGGAAAGCACTGATGTAAGTTATTACAAACAATTAAACAATGTTAGTTGAAACAGTCTGCTTAGATTGTTAAATTATGTTATTACTGGTAGTTGATGTACCGGGAATTATGCTGCAAGCAGTTTCTGTCTGAAATTTGATATAGTAAACAAATCAAATAAACCAGGTTTGCAACAACACAATAAGAAACAATTATTGGATGAAGTTTTGTGATATCCTGAAAAATCAAGATCGAGGTAAGTGTTATCTGTTGAAAAGAAGGCCAAAGCTCATAACACTTACCGTGACCTTGAAAATTTGGGATATCACTAAAACTGAATCTAATAATATTGGTTAATAATACATTGTTTTGAAGAAAATAATGACAAACACACCTTCGCAAGGGACCTGAATTGATGTTGTTATTAGAAATCATGCATTGTGCGCACAACCTACAGATTAGTCAGTTATCTGCTATCAGATAACTAACTCACTGAGTATCTCCTAACCACATGATAAATGTAACAGATGTGTTTAGCAAGTTGTTGTTTGTTATTTCCCGAGTGTCTACCCTGTTATTGATACTCTAAATACACAGTATTTTGCCTTTCTATGTTGTTGCAGCTTCGCTATACAGACACACTGTTTACTGAACAAGAGGTTAGGGAATAATAATTTATGTTTTCTTATTGAACAAGTTACTAGAGTTGAACCTTCACTAATGGCCACCTGTCTACAACAGCCTTTTTTTCGTCCCAATGTACAAAAAAATTCATACATTGACTCTTGTTTAAAACCTCTCTACAATGGCCACCTCTTTACAATGGCCACTTTCTTCTGTCCCCCAGGTGGCCATTGTAGAGAGGTTCAACTGTATATCACCATGGGACTTGTAAAGCATTCTTTAAAATATGGAGCTACATGTCATCAGTGAATCTTTTGTTTTCTGTCTCATGTGACTCGATCCTCAACTCGATTCTCAATAACATGTTCACGATTCTTGATTTGTGCAGGAATGGAGAATCGAGTTGAGAATCAAGACCCACAACAGACTGTAAACTTACATTTGAATCGTACTGTATGGTACATGTACAAAGATTTGGTTGATTTTTAGCCAAAACTTTTACACCTGCATAATTATTTTGAGGTTTGTCATGCTACATGTAAGCCTTGGATAGTGTTTAGGCAACACAAGTTGTTATTTCTGTGCATTGCTGTGGAATATTCACCACTGGATAATTCATATTTTCATGTGAACGACCTGAGTCTTTTAATTTGGTTCATACCCATTGATACCTAATGGGCCAGACTGGAGTAAAACTGTGGTCGTTGGGTCAGCAATCAAGATTTTATGATAACAAAATTATACCCAATTACTGTACTGTATGACCTACAATATACATGTATAATGTGTAAAGTGCTACCTGCACTTGTAACTCAATGATAATTTCTTTACTTTTTCTTTTCTAGCGAGGTCTGAGCATAAAGAGTATTCCAGTTTCTCTTGTTTTACCTGACACCAAAGGAAAGTCATTTCTGGTTAATGTATTTGATACTCCAGGTAGGTACTTGTTTGAATACCTTCAGTTAATCATGGTTTGAGACATGTCACACGGTGCAAAGTTTAAATGGTGTGATTCTTTCTTCACAGGCCATGTGAACTTCTCTGATGAAGTGACAGCAGCTTTGAGAATGTGTGATGGTGTGATGATTTTTATTGATGCATCCGAAGGCGTGAGTGCTCCATAATCATTCTCCTTTTTCTTCATCCCTTATTACAGCCCTGATTAGCAACTGTCTGTACAGTGTACATGTAAATCCATGTGTACTTGTATGATGGCTGAGCATGTACATTGTTTATAGTAGCCTTTTGTAATACATGTAGGCTGTAATAACAAGAGAAAATTGGCTTCATCTACACTGTAGTGCCATTTTAGTTCATACTTTGTGATTATCCACAAAAGTAACTTGACTAAAGCAGTCATTATATTCAGGAAAAACCTTCATCATTCCTTCAGTCCTGTTTGCTTCCTTGATACACCAAGAATTGAAATAATTTATAATAATATACAGTCACTGTAGCTTAAACACTACATTGTGAGAAAGTAATGTTACAACTGTACATGTACAAAAGATGATTCCCAATAACAATTGCTGGTTTTCACATGATGTTATTAAAATTCAATACTTTGTGATAAAACCAAGCCACCTTAATATCACCATATATGTACATGGTCAATGGAACTGTCACAAGGTGTAATAATTAATTATAGTCAGACACTTAGATTGTGCATTATGAGTTGTAAGTCCTGGGATGTTACAGTGTGACCTGGAAATCCATTCATACTTGAAATATCTCAGGAATGTTTATTGTGTTAATAACCAATCACAGCAAAGATCAGGACACGTGAACTGGCTGCAAAACCACAAACTAGTTAACGTTCTTGCTTGCAGTTTAGTTTTCTCACACCTGATTGGCTTTTCTCTTGCAATACAATAACATTCTTGAGATATTTCAAGTGTTCTCTTCCATGTTGCACTGTACAAGGGTTACTGTGGACCTTCTAGAATACTGTACAGGGATGTCACTAAGATTTCAAGTTGCCGGGTATTTGTTGTTAGTAGCGGGGAAGTCGCAAGCAGTCTTGGTTTTTGAAGTGCAACTTCTACCGTTTTCCAAAAGGCATTACCGCCCCAAAAAAGCAATCTTCATCAAGAGTACAGCTATCATTAGCGGTTTTATGATGATCTCGTCTTTATTAAAGAAATCTACAACATTCTGAGACACTAAAATAATAAGTTTTTAGTCTACGTTAAGGCTCATTGGAGGGTTTTTTAGTGGCCGCCAAATGGGAATATCATGTAAGCACCAGGTCTGAAAAAAATGACATGTACTAGGCACCCGTCACGTTATCCGCGCAGTCCTATCTTCGCACAGACAAGGCCCATGCTGGCCATTGAAGTGTTAAATCACAACGATACTTTACAAAATTAATGTTAAAAATCTGGAAAGGACAGTCGATTCTTATATGGTGCAAATGATGGTCTTTCATCGTGAACAACGAGTGCAGATTCCTTTGCCACTTCTTCGACATATTTAACACAAAGCCGACACAACGGTTGAAACTCTTGACTTTTAGCATTGACAAAGGTGACGGCAGCGAAAACGTCACTTTTAAAATGAATTGGTGTTTTTTCAACTTTGTCGCATTTATTTCAGTTCGCTGAAAATAGCTTATGTAGGCCGATTTCCCTGGAGTTGATTTCTTTCGGACCACACTCAAGTTAAGAAAGGGAAAGAAAAGTTTGTCGTTGCTTGTTTACGTCCTCCATAAAACGTGAAACTAGGCATTTTCACTTTGTAGTCGTGCAGTAGCGGCAAAGAAATGTACAAAAAAGTGTGATGCACGTGCAAACTAGTTGTTTTGCTCAATAAACTTATTGCTTTTTTGACGTTCTTGTGGCCGTAGCCGTCGTCGTTGCTAAAACTCCCTACTGACATTTCGCAAACGGAGAGTTTTCGCGTGTGTGTAGTAGTCAGATGTCTTTTTCCGACATTTCTTAGTTTTTGCACGCGAGTATTTCAAAATTACTTAAACCTGCTGCAGATGAAACTTGCATTTAGTTTGATGGATAGTCTTTGTGTGTTTCAAAGGTGTGCTCTTTTGGTTTGATTTAACGACGAAAGTAGCCGGGGACCATGCTCTGAGTAGCGGGGGGAAATCCCCAGCCCCCGGCCCCGAACCCCCGGCCCCCGGCCCTTAGTGACAACCCTGATACTGTAACTTGAAACAGACTCTGCAGTCTGGGTTTCTGTCAGCGTTCAGCATATCATATTCATTTTGTCTTTCTCATGGTAGCAATCCATCTATCTTCATGCTTCTGCATATACATGTGCATACAACACTGCCATTTTGATCCAGTGCAGTAATAGTATTTTGTTGGGTCAAATCAAGGTCAATGGTCTTAGAACTGCACGTTACTCTGTAGGTGTGATAACAGACTTTGCTTTTATAACGTTCTTTTGCCAGGTGATGTTAAATACAGAGAGGCTTCTTAAGCATGCTGTCCAAGAAAGACTTGCTGTTACAATTTGTATCAACAAGGTTGGAATGGCAAATTTCTGCTGATCATCTTTTTGATAATGAAAATGATATTATTTATTTATCTATTTGATATAATTATTTATCTATCTATAAAATTAATGTAATTTTGAGATGTGGTTTTGGTGGCCAATTTACATGACTGTATCTTCTATTATCAGATTGACAGATTGATTTTGGAATTGAAACTGCCACCTGCAGATGCTTACTATAAACTAAAACACATTGTTGATGAAGTTAATGGACTTCTGAGGTAAAATATTCACTTGTTGAATGTCATGCCTTCAAACTCTTGTTGCAGTTGACAACTTGTACTTGACGTTTGAGTTCTGAGACTTGAGTTGAAGAATCATAAACGCTGTCATTTTCAATTTTCTTATCTCAGTAAGTGTGGGAAACTGTCCAAAAATCCAAAAGTTCTTTTCACTGGTTTTGCTGGGAAAATTCATAATAAATAATTTCTAGCTTAAGCCTTCCATTGAAAGGCTGTCACCATGAGTTTGGGGATATGACAGTACTTTAAATATAACGTCACTTTTAGAAGAGCCCTCAAATGCAAAGCTTCAGAATTGTACTTTACATGTATGTGCACTTGTTGATTGTTATTGTGTGTTTGCCTGTTTAAACCTTGAAACTTCTGGACTTCTTTGTAAAGGTAATAGCATGATTAGTAGTGATATTTGGCATAAATACCATGAGTTATATTTTAAAATTGTTATACGTAATTTCACGCGCCGTTAGGCGAGTGAAATTTGAGGCAATTTTGAAATATCACGAGTGGTATTCATGCCAAATGTCACGTACAAATCATGCTATTATTTGTTTATACTACTACCCGCAAAAGATTTGTAATTTTCACATGTAGTTATTTCAAATTAACCTGAAATACCACTCCTCTAAGCCAATCAAATTGCAGAAATTTCTCATGTAGTAGTGTAATGGTGGGAAACGTGTTAAAGCCACTGATGAATTCTTGAGGGAAAATATCTTTTTCACTCATGAATATAATTATTGAGGTCAACTCTGTTATGACCATGTCCCTCTGAGCTTCGAGCATGTGACCCCCCCCCCCCCCCCCCCCCACCACTCGCTTCCACCACGGAGGAGGGACAGATTTCTTCTCAAAAAAACACAAATTATAAAAGAAAATATTTGTCAAATATACTAACCTTAATGAGAAAAAAAAAAAAAAAAAATATAAAGAGAGAGTCTTTTAATTTTTAGAGAAAAAATTTTTTCTTCTCATAAATATAATTTTTGTGGGCCACCCCTTTCTAACCCCCTCCCTCTCGGCTTCGGGGCCGGGGCCCCCCCCCCCCCCCCCTAAGTACATGTAGCATGGCTACAGGAGGAGCAAATGTTCCTGGCAAAAACATGTACTATCTAACAGAGACATTTTGGACAGTTATCTACACTTGAGTGACAAAAAAGCAAAGAAATTGTTAAGGAGGACATTCTTATTACTAGTTTTGTGTCAATGGCATCAATTTTAAGAACAATTATTTTTTTATTTCAGTGTGTATTCTGATGGTGGTGATGATTATGTCATGTCACCATACCTGGGCAATGTCTGCTTTGCCAGCTCACAGTACAGATTCTGTTTTACTCTCTATTCATTTGCTGCTCTGTATGTCGATACATTTGGTGAGTCTCCCGTCTAAAAGTAATTTTTCAGTTATTTAGAAAAGGTAATCCTGTACCTCGATTAATTTGTAAAGAGGATAATTTGAACAAAAATGGAGGTACATGGATGATAGCATTGTCTTCTGTGCAATTACCTCGGTTCTGAATTTCAGTTTTTTTGGACCAGATCTGTGGTCCATTACGTTTGTTTTGTAAAACTGCGCCCATACGTTAACGCATACGCTGGAAACGCACATTACCGCTAAAAAGTATTAGAAATGATGTGAGCGTGATTCAATCTTATTAAACGATCTGAAAAGAGTGTAAACTGTCTCCGTTTACTTTTTCCCACGCGGACGAATCTTGTAAAATTTTGATACCACAACGCGCGCTCGATGACGTAATCTTTTGCAGAAGCACCTTTGTTTAATTTACATAAATTATTATTTACAAATCCTCAGTTTTGGTGTGCGCAAGTGACAACTTGCGTACTGTCGTAGGACTAAATCCGTAAAATATTGACTCCTGATGGTACAAAAAATTGTAGGCGTTTTCAAACGTGGAGGTATGCGTGTAGACTCCAAATTAAGGTGACTTCCACTTTGGTTCACTGCCCAAAGAATAGTTAAAACATTGCAAGTTTTGCGAAAGATTTCAGTCAGCAATCACTGGCAAAAATTGCAGTTACAATCGAGGGTATTATTGTTTTACTTTTTGCCAATAAAACTGCCTGCGTAGCAACCGTTTCCGCACAAGTTCGTCGAGAAAGTTGGAACCTGAAGAACAAAAATGGCTCCAACTTTCGCGCAAGAACTCGATCAGACACGCTTGCTATGTACGTTACCAATAAAAGCGTGGATAAATGCTTAACGTATGTCGTAAAATATATGTTTTTGTGTTTTGTAAGAGAAGTGCTGTGTATTTGTTCTAATTTTCTTAAAATTGATATTTTTGTTCACCTGTAGGTGGAGGCATTGATCCAAAAGACTTTGCAAAACGTTTATGGGGTGACATGTACTTCAACGCTAAATCGTAAGTGTGTTTAAAGTGTACATCATAGTTGGTTTAACGTGCACGGAAAAATATGTTGCTGGGTTACTTGTGGACTACATCGTGTTTAGCAAAAGAGGTCATCGGCTGCTAGGCTCACTGTATTGTAACATGTGCTTAAATAAGTTATCTTTTGCTTGGATAGGGGTACATTGCAGGCAGCTGATTTTGTAATTGTGATGTACGTGTAATTAATGTCATCTTATTTTTTTCCGTTAGGCGCAAATTCACTCGTAAGGCTCCATTAAGCACTTCTCATAGAAGCTTTGTAGAGTTCATTCTGGAACCACTTTACAAAATATTTGCACAGGTACATATAATAACCATGAGTTGAGTTTGTTGAGAATGATGCTGTGATAAGTTGCATATAATAGTGTGTAGGTACACAGAATTCCAGCAACAGATTCTACCAGGAATGAGAAGTTTAGGAAAAAATGTGTGAAAACACAATTTTTCAAAATCAATAGCGGTGATCGCTCAATTAATAATTATGCTAGTTAAAGTTAATGATAATATGAACGAGAATACAATTAAACCGACCATATACCTTGGTTGTATGTTCATAAAACACAGCTGTACAATGTAATTGTCCTTTACTTTCAGGTAGTTGGTGATGCGGATACAAGCCTTCCGAAACTTTTAGATGAACTGGGTTAGTGAAATGTATATTTTCGAGACTCTAGAATCATGGGTTTTGAGTATACGTAACGGTTTTTAAAGTATGTGTGGTCTTACCAAAAAATTTTTGTTTGATGCGCCCTTTACATTCAAAAAGTGTGCCATCTTTTTTGAGTTATTATAATCTAAAATATTTACAATCGCTATGTTGTTTAATGTTTTAACGTCTGTCAACTTTTGTCTTTCTAGGTATTCACTTGTCTAAGTCTGAAATGCAGATGAACATCAGACCTCTTCTTAGTCTCGTCTGTAAAAGATTCTTTGGAGATTTCACAGGTAGTAAAATGGCTATCAATCTCACCTGGTTTTTACAATCTCTGTGCCAAAGTGGCTTAGCTAACCAAATAACTAAATTTGTAGCAAAGGAAGCAGCTGCCAAGATCACGAAATTTGTAACGTGGCAAAAGTTAGGCCCCGTCCACACTTATCCGCGTATTTTTGAAACCGCATATTTGATTGTGTGGACAGGGCTTTAAACCAATTTGGAGAGCAGTTCCGGCGAACGGATTCACTGGTTTCGTAAGGACGGAAGGCCGATTCGTGTACAAAAGTATTCAGTTGCAAGAATATCCGGATTCGTGTGGATGGGGTCTTAGGGCCTGTTTACATGGAGGTGGGCGACCCCAGGTAGGTGTGGTAACCCGATTAGGTGGAGTAACCCACCTGTCCATATAATCTCTTAAATGGTCATCCCACCTATCATGTAAACGTGATCAAATTAAAATGAGAGATTTTACGGATAGACGGGTTACCCCACCTAAGCGGGTTACCTCACCTACCTGGGGTCCCCCACCTCCTTGTAAACAGGCCTTTAGGCTTGGGGTAGATATCTGTACAGCGTTTTGCAATGGAATGTGTGATAGTTTAATTATATTTTCACTCGACACATTTTTGTCCACTTTATACTGTTACAAGGACTAATAGGCTGTATTTGTATTTTCAGGATTCGTTGATGTTTGTGTTCAGCACATACCATCTCCTAAAGCAGCGGCAAAGTCAAAGGTGAAAGCAATTCAAATAAATGTTTTAAACTCAGGAACAACCTTACGGAAGTGACCAATATTCCTTACAATTTGTACGATAACTTTGCCAGTCTCTGTGCGTGATAATTATAATCCTTGAAGTCTTAAAGTATTCATCCGTATCAGTAGTGTGGGACCCTTAATCCTGTTTTGCAACTGTTTGTTTTAGTCATTTGCTCGGCCCCACTGTACTAGCCTTTGTCCTGTTAATTCTGACGAGAGTAAAAAAAAACCTTTAACTCTTTAACTTTTGTTAACACTTAATTAGTTTACATAGTTTCCATTAGACTGGCCTGCAAATAGCGAAAAGCTAATCGCGGCAAACCGGACTGTACACAAGAGACGACATTTTGTTTCATTATAAATAGACGTAGTTTTGTAAAATAAATATACATTTTTATATACAGCTATAACATATGTACGCATTGCACTTCATATTTTTTGATAACTTGGAAAGAGGAAAGAAGAGGAAAACAATTAACTGAAAACAAAAGAAAAATAGTTTTGTAAAGAGGAAAGCTACAAACTTAACTAAGCTGAATTTTTCATTTTATTATAAATTAATGTCTCTGCTCCTTTATGATACATGTTGAACGCGAAGTAACTTAATTTTAGTAAAAGCCAACAAGTGGTCTATTATCAATGCTGCGTTCTGATTTGGTTGAACTACTACTAGGCTATATGTTATAGCTCACTAGTAGAGAAAAGCGCCAGCTTTGAAAACCAAAACAATGGCGGCTGAATCGCGTTTTACTAGCTAAAGTTGTTTTCTCTCGATATTTTTGACCAACTAGTTGGATTTTACTAAAACAATTATTCCTCTCGTCCTCATGGCCTCTGAGTCAATAGCCCATGAGGCCGAACGGGCTTGAGGGATAATTGTTAAATAAAACAAATAATGACAAGATGGCGTTAATGAGGGAGCACGGCCTTGCGCTAGGTTAGCAGTGCGATCTCCGGCGATTGCGTAACCAAAGAAGCTCAGTTATCTCCCCAGCACTACGAGCTGAATGCAATACAGCAAGTGCTGGATCGGACAAGAGTATCGGTTTGCAGGCGATATGAAACGGCAATGCGGCCAACAAGCTAGGGGGAAGTCGCTGCGCAGACTTAACCGCACCGCCGAGGAGTGTCCCTAGTTTATTTGATGGCATAGCACAAAACAAAGCCCAAACCTCGTCTCCAAAGGGAGGGAGGGAGGGAAAAATTTTACAAGAATAATATACTGAGCGCTAACCTTGCTGAGCAACAGAACCTAAGTGAACTCTGAACACTTGTTCTAGGCTCTTATAGCTAGACGAACGTCTGCTGGCATAGCCAGTATGTAGAAAAGGCTGTACTACAAGGCAGCTCAACGTTGCTTGTGCAAACTCTTAGCCGTGAATAGTGCTTTGAAAATACTGGCCAATGGTGTGGCTTGTACTAGCCTGCTTAAGACAACAAGGCCATAAAGTTCTACGCTAGAATACAATGCATTTTAGAGCTTGCTGACCTTGACAACTTGACTACTCAATTGCTCTATTGAAAAAGAACCGCCATGAAAGGGTTACTGATAAGTAACGTCACGTTCCATTAACTACATTTTACTGGCGTGACGGTAAAATTGCTTTTATTGTGTATTTACCTCAACCTAGAAGTTTTCAGTTTCTTAAATTTTGATTAGTTTTCCTTTTGTAGATTTTTAAAAGAGGTTTTGAGTAAGCTTTAAGAGTACATGTGGTGGGTATCTAGTTACGCCAACACTGAAAACTCGTTTCCTTGTAACAGGGATAACACTCGTCACAGTCACAACACTTGTCATCATTATCATTACTATTTCTATTATTACTATTATTATCAATAGACAATCAAGCATACATAATTATCACATATCACAAGAGTCAAAGAACGGTCAGAAAAAAACAATGATATTCAAAAACATTCTCCCTGCTCGTTAGGAATAAGAGGACACAATTAGAGAAAATTTGTCTCTGGAAGTAATGGCGTCTGTGTTATCCTCTCCTAGATAGAACATGTCTATACAGGACCGCTGGATACGGAAGCTGTAGATGCAATGATGGACTGCGATCCTGAGGTAAGGCACATGTCTCCTTGAAAATACAGCGTTGATTCGGAAACTCAAGAATTGACTATCGTTCTATTTTTTTTCGGAGTGGAAACTCGTGTCAGTAAACCAATTTTTAAAATATTTACGCACTGAAATCTTCTATCTCTGTTAGGGTCCGCTGATGCTACACACGTCTAAACAATACCCTTCACAAGATGCCACAGCTTTCCACGTTTTTGGACGCGTCATGAGTGGAACAAGTAAGAAGTTGGTTTTCCTGTGCGCCTACATTCTGCCCATACCCCTTTTTTTTTTGGCCTTTTATTTATAACTTTTAATATTAACGCTGTTGTTTTCCTTATTTTCTGTAGTTTATGCTGGTCAACAAGCGAGAATACTTGGCGAGAATTACACCATAGAAGATGAAGAAGACTCGAGAGTCGGGACGGTGAGCAATAATGGAAGTTAAATACAGTGGATTCTCGATATAACGAACCTCTCTATATAATGAAATCCTCGGTATAACGAACGATTTTCTTTACCGATCATCATCATTTTATGTACCTTTTCTTGGAGCTACATTGCTTTGGAGCAATATCGCCTGTTTCAAACGGTCAGGAAACCGGGTAAAAATATAGCTTCAAGGGGACATCACGCGATGGGCCTCATTCTCAAAGGGACATAAGAATTTGGCTCAGAGGATACGTTGGAGAATTTCTTTCCTAGGGAAAGAAACTTCCGACGATTTCCAACATAAATCCAAAGCATTCCAAGAATATTCGTCTAATTTTCGTTTAACCCTCTATTCCACGAAAACGCTCGATTGGTTGCCTCATCTAAGGTTGCAACCTCCTTGTCAAGTCTCAGTCAACACCAAAATAAGACTGAATGGACGAATAGGAAATAAGTAATTTAAATCATTGCTGTATTAGAGGCAGACGATTTTAACTATCACATAACTTAGTGGCTTTAATTTGTCCTTTGTTTGATGGTGGAGGTGAGGGTTAAACTGATCGTCGAGTGCGCAAAGCTCCTATGACTCAGATTATTCTAGTTTTTTGCCTTATTGTTTTTTAGTTTTTTGATTCCTTTTTTCTTCCTAGGTGGGCAGACTGTGGATTGCTGAAGCAAGGTAAGTCTACTTTCTTTCGTTATTTCTAAACCTTTCTGCTCATATGAAGTACAGTAGTTTTTCCTTTTTTAGATTTTCTAAGCTTACTTACTAGGGCCAGTAATTCTAAAAGGTTTTGTATAATAAGAGAATTGCAGTCGTGAATTCTACTTGATTGTCTACGTGTTCTTAACAGATACAACATTGAATTAAACCGAGTTCCAGCTGGAAACTGGGTACTAATTGAAGGAATTGATGAACCCATTGTAAAGACTTCAACTATCACTCAAGTACAAGGCAATGATGAGGTGAGCCTGTGGATCGAGTTAAACAGTCGGGGTAAAAATAGTTTTGAAAATACTGTCCCCAGTTCCTGCTAAATACATTTGTTGGCTTCACACTAGAAGCGAAGTTAGTTTCAAGTAAGCACTTGATTTAAGTGCTCTTAAGTCGCTCTGTAAAAACATGGCTTCACACTGTCAATCTCTCCGTTCATTAGAATTTTGGAAGCGCTACGCGTGCACATCGTGCACCTAGCTTCCATTTCTTACTTGTCAAGTGTGTTCTCAAGTGTGGTGTAGACCATATTTAGCGGCGAACTTCGGCTTCCTTGAACAACGAACGTTTCCGTGGTCACCAAGCAAAGTAGAAGTATGTAAATTTTACCTCTTCACACGCAAAGTAGGTTCCAAAAACACTTACACTATACCTGAAGATCTAGTGTGAAGCCAACAATTGACGCTAAAATAAAGTGCCTTTTTTTGCCCTTGAGGCCAAAAAAGTATTCTTCAGGGAGTTCTTTTAAAAACTCGTATTTTAGTGTAGCGAACTGTTGTCAAATTAGTAAATGGAGATTCAGTTAGTTAGATTTCGAAACAAATACACGTCTAGTCACTGAAAGCGCAGGGCACTACGTATTAGCTAGTCATAATTGGTTTTGATTCCGTCCTGATTGGCTGAGTATGTTCAGCACGAGATGTTTTTAGCCAATCATGACGCGTAATAAGGCAAACGTTACTAACAGAGTCATGATATATATTTTTTGAGTTGCAATTTTAAACCAATCATTTCCCCCCTTCTTTTCATTTTCCAGGTGTACATCTTCAGGCCTTTAAAGTTCAACACGTGTTCAGCTATTAAGATTGCTGTTGAACCTCATAATCCATCTGAGCTGCCTAAAATGTTGGACGGACTGAGAAAAGTGAATAAGAGTTATCCACTTCTTACCACCAAGGTTAGTTTCTACACAATTTCCTTGGACTCCCTGTGAAATACGCGAGTCTAAATATGCAGAGTATTGTTCAGCTTTTGGCCCCAAATCTGCAGTAACATTCTTATACGCCTGCGTCTTGTGTAGTTTATCAAGGCCATTTGAAGTTCATTGTGTTTCTTTGTTCCCTAGTTTTTCACTTGTTCTCAACTTATTGTTATGATTATTTTTTTTTTTTAGGTCGAAGAGTCGGGTGAGCACGTGATCTTGGGTACAGGAGAACTATACTTAGACTGTGTACTACATGATTTAAGGAAGATGTACTCTGAAATCGGTTAGTCTTGTAATATTCTACACTTCAGAATACTTTCCATTGCAACTTTTTGGGTAATTAGAAATCATATTCAACACTTAGGGGGGCAGACTCTGTTTGTTGGAGAAATTGCTCTTTGTGGAACCAAAATAGCCTACTGTACCTCAAAAATTATCTTCTGTAATATTAATAGCCCGCGTTGTATTAAAAAGGGGTTTTGCCCAACGAGCGGTATGTGAAATGTGTAATAAAAAGATAATAAGCGTTCAGTGCAGCTTCAGTTGTAATATCACCTCATTCATGTCTGAAATGTTTTGCTTCATTATTCTTTTGGCAGATATCAAGGTCGCTGATCCTGTTGTAGCATTTTGTGAAACAGTTGTTGAAACATCATCGCTAAAATGTTTTGCCGAGACACCAAATAAGAAGTAAGAGCAGCGTGCCTATTAATCGTTTTTTACCTTGAGCGGGTCCCGAACATGCCTATGTTTGACGTAATATGTTTGCTCTTTCTAGGAATAAGATCACTATGATTGCTGAACCTTTGGAGAAAGGCTTAGCTGAGGACATCGAGAATGAAAAAGTTTTAATTACTTGGAACAAGTAAGTTTCGCAAGGATAACGTCTGAGAAACGGGCGCAGAAATTCCATACTGATGAAGCGTCACCTCCGAGATCTGAGTAGTACTTCTTATTGGTCGTGCCGCGTAGGAAATTTGCTTCCGCCTATCAGAAGCACTACCCAGATTGGGGTCGTGACGCATCGCCAGTATGGAATTTCTACGTTCGTTTCTCAGACGTCATTTCGCGAGGAAACCAGTGTTGGCGTCCCGAAATGTAGGCTGTTTTCTCAGGCTAGTTGTGCGGCTTCGTGTCAGAAATAATACCAACAACTTATTTGTTCCTTTTAAGACGAAGTTTTGCGGAAGAAAAACCTTAGTGGGTAAAAGAGAGCTTTTTGTCACAGACAAGTTACCAAGTCAGGTGGAAAAAAACATTGTGCTCAGGATAAGAGTGCTAACCATTAAAATCGCAAGATCCTCTTGCTTTTGCCTGCTTAAATTTTTTCGATCCCCCTAACAGCTTCTCTAGATGATGATTTCTGTAAACGAATAATCTCGCTAATCTTGTGCTTTCCTTCGCCTTGAAGCAAATTTCCGCAGTACTCTGTGCGATCCAGGGCATTCAATGCCGGAATATCTTTGTTTTCACACAGAGTAGTTATTAGTCGTGATATGAATCAGGCTCGATTGTTTTTAATGTGGGTTTGTTTGGTCATTAAACAGGAAGAAACTGGGCGAATTTTTTCAAACAAAATATGACTGGGATTTGCTTGCTGCTCGTTCAATCTGGGCGTTTGGACCTGATAACTCCGGGCCTAATATTCTAGTAGATGATACTCTGCCTTCTGAGGTGGACAAGAGTTTGTTGAACACAGTAAAAGATTCCATCATTCAAGGCTTTCAGTGGGCAACAAGGGAAGGACCATTGTGTGATGAACGTGAGTACTGAAGTATTTTTATTCTTTTCGTTTCATGTAAAAACCTTTGTACTGCTCATTTGTAAGCAGAGGGAAAATATATAAATCCTGAATCTCAGCAGTTATACAACTGTTTTCCAATCGGGGGTATGCATGATTATGTGTAGTGTGTGTGATGGTGTTAGGTATGCGTAATAATTAATCTGAAGTGTGCGTGATAATCTGAAATATGCGTGATAACCTGAAAGGTACGTGATAACCTGAAGCGTACGCGTCTCTTCGGGTTGAGGGCACGCTTAGTTTAATATTTTATCTCCAACCCATTTTCCGATACAATTTAAACCAGGTAATCTTCCCCATGATATAGTGTGAACATTTTTTTACAGCTATACGAAACGTAAAGTTCAAGATCCTGGACGCAGTGATCGCTGGTGAACCAATCCACAGGGGAGGAGGTCAAATCATTCCAACGGCCAGACGAGTTGCTTACTCCGCCTTTCTTATGGTAAGCTACTTTCAGTTGGTCTCAAAACTTTTACAACATTTGATACAGTGCTTTGCCAAATTATTGAAAATGGTAATTATTCTTTTTGTTGTTTCCAGGCCACGCCACGTTTGATGGAACCGTATTTCTTTGTTGAGGTCCAGGCTCCCGCAGATTGTGTCTCGTCTGTATACACTGTTCTTGCACGGCGAAGGTAAGTTCATGTATTGTCTGTGAATAAATGGATCAACATTTTTGTAAATCTTATCCGTGGTGCCTTGGCCTTGCCCATTAGTCGAGCTGTGAAAGCCGAGCGCAGAGCGTAAAAAAAAAAAACAGAGTGAGCCGCGCAAGCCGAATGTGAAGGGGGAGACTGAAGAGAAATGTGATTTCCTGTAACCGCCAAACACATTTGATATAAGTAGAACAATTGTCCTGGGAAGAGTATTACCCTCCCAGCCGGCGAGTCAACTTGAGCGAGCGTTTGTATGAGAGAAAAAAATAACGACCCCTTTGCCCGAGCCAATAGCGTTCGCTCTCTGATTGCCTTGTTTGAGTTGACCCGCCTGGAAGAGGCAAAGTGTTTATATGGGGCTTTTATTCTTTATATTTTGGTTTGAATGTTTGAATAAGGGCCCGTAAACGTAAGGCCCCAGGACCCAAACTCTAACATTTGGAGCATCCTTCATCAGGGGGTATAACGACGGACTTTTGCTCGACGTGTCGGTATTTCAAATCCCTTACACCTTTTGCAATGGCCAATTCACCTTTTAACAAAGTTGATGGAAACGATTGTTTTCCTTTTTAACTCGGATACGTATAATTTGTAAACATTTAAGGTTTATTTGTATTTCTTAGAGGGCATGTTACCCAGGATGCACCTGTTCCCGGCTCACCGCTGTACACAGTGAAAGCTTTTATACCCGCCATTGACTCGTTTGGATTTGAGACTGATCTGAGGACTCATACTCAAGGACAAGCTTTCTGTCTCTCAGTATTTCATCATTGGCAGGTAAACAATAATACCATGTCTATTAGACAGCATTGGTAGAAACGATTCATTTTTCCTTTCTGCGCTGCCTGAGTGCAAATTGTTCGTTTCAGAATCTCGAAAAGCGAATGGGTAACGCGAGTGGGGGGAGCGAAGCCCGAGTCTTTTGCGGCTCGACCGCCACCTTTGTCTAGCTTGCGATTTAAAAAAAGAGACTGTACTCTTAAACTACTAACGGTTGTATTCAATACGCGATATTTTTCTGGCGGTTTGGAATTGCTCTATATTCAAGTCAGAAATTACTTTTTGTAAAAGTTTGTTGACAGCTAAGGTAGCCTCCGCGCTCGTGTGGCGCTTCAAGCGAAATGCGCGTTCGCCTCGCTTGGCTCATTGAGAGACTGCAGCTAAGGAGACTTTATCTTCATTTGAAGATTTCTGAAATAAGTAAAGACATAAAGCTAAGTGCTACCGCCACTTGCTCGTTAGTGGGGTTTCTGAAACGTTTTCCGAAGGCAGCTGTCGATGGTCAAAGGGGAAGCTGTGACCAGAAAAGGGGCCGAATTTTACCCAGGGGGGAAGGGAATGCTCCTCAGTAAAACTTAAAGTCTGGAAGCTCTGAAATGCAATTTCTAGATTCTAGGTATCTGTCTTTTCTTTTATCCTTATTGCGCTGTTTATGATACTCTTTGTTGACCACAGCCAACCAACGTTTAAGTTTTAAATAAAATCTTAACAGACGCCGGTCTAACCGGCTTTTATTGAAACCTCGGTGAAAATCAAGCTTCACTGTTGTATTGTTTCTTCGTCTCAAGAACTCTTTTAAATGGCCTTTTTTGTTGTAATTATTTGCCATTTTTCTTCTGTTAATTGATAGATCGTTCCTGGTGATCCCCTGGATAAGAGCATCACCATTCGTCCACTTGAACCCCAGCCAGCCACACATCTGGCCAGAGAATTTATGATCAAAACAAGGAGAAGAAAGGTTAGTATTGGTCGTCGTCTAGCAGTTCAGACTTTGAATGGTGTAAGTCCTTACCAGATCATTGCCTGTCGCTAAGCTACAAGAGAGATGCGAACCTAGGCTATTTATTGATGATGTTCCAAACAATTCACGCGGAAATGCAAGGACTGGCTCTATAACCTAATGGATTAAATTTAGATTCGATCACTAGAAGAGAAAATTTTTGGTGATAATCATATTTGGATCTCCGTTTACTTCGTCTCTGAGACAAGGTGAAGTGTTTTGTTTTTCTTTGTTAGTGTTGTTGTTGTTGCTTGCACGTTAGAATATGCTTTTACCAGCAGTGTGATTTTATCACACTATAATAATTAAAAATCATTAATTTTGAAATCGTTTTTCTTTTAAAGGGACTGAGTGAAGACGTCAGCATCAACAAATTTTTCGACGATCCTATGTTGCTGGAGTTGGCGCGCCAAGACGTCATGTTTAACTACCCCATGTGATCAAATCCGGAGGATGACGTCAGAGCCAGGCTTGTGACTTGTAGATATAGCCGGCTTATCATCTGATATAAACTTTAACTTCATGCATGAAGACAAAAACAAGTCGTTATGCGAAATAAAGCTTTTGGACGGCATTCAGTCTTAACGAAAGGACAAACTCCGCATTTCAATTTTTATGTTTTCGTTTTGCTTTTTATTCACATTTGTCGCATGAGGAAATCATTTTCAACTCAATCCGTGTCCATTAGTTGCTTACGATCATTGAACAACCTGCTGACTGCGCTGTATAGCCTCATACTACACAGTCGTCACCCAGTTGGTGACGTAGTTTGTATCGTAATCACGGCGAACTTGTAAAACACATTCTTGTTCGAGGATTCGTGGGCCAGGCCCAGATACTGGGGGTTTAGATGTACTCTTGTTCGTTTTGTCTGTGCACAGGAACTTCAGTAGAGGTGTAAGTTAGGTCGCGTAACCCCCTGAATTGTTTCACTCTTTGTCCTTGTAAATATGGTCTTTTTGTGGTTGAATTTTGTCGTAAAATGTTTTTACAGGAAAAGATGGGAACTCTTGGGTTCTATTTATTTCAAACAGTAGATCTCCTTTTTGACATGGAGAGTCAAGTTGTGCAATGTTTCACCTGGTTCATAAATGTCTATCCTGCATGACAGGCGGGAAATGGAGAGGAGCAGAGAGAGAAGGACGGGGAGAAAATCTCCTTCTCTCTCCCTTCCCACCCCACCCCTGCCGCACAGGCAATTAACGTCGAAATCTTAGAACTTCGTCACATGCAGGTAGTCTAGAGAGTTTAAGATACAACGACTTCGGACTACATACGTGTCAGGCGAGTTTTTATGTGTTAAATAAACTGCTTTTTTCTTGAATTCTTTGGGCGATTTGGTACCGAACTTTCCACACTAAATTACACACCGCCATTAGCCTCCGTAGGTGGCGGTTTTGTCTGGCGAACGCGCGCGACCGAGCGGCACGAGCGGGTAATCTACGATATTAAATCCCCAAGAAAATCTTAAGCCACATGGTAGTGTCTATTGATAATGATCACTTGAAAGGATCCGCGTCGCCATCTTTCATCGGGTAACAGTTTGGTTTCTCAGCTTCTTTTCCGTGACGCTTTAAGCGCATCCATTCATTTATGGAGAAAAGTCGTCCCAGTCGAGTCAACTTTAGAGTGCTATTGCATGCTCTTCACGTGATCTGATTGTCTAAAACAGCACCCACAAATGCTGTGATTCTCACGCCTTGACTTAGTTGACGAGGGCGAGCCGAATGGTTTATGTGGAGAAAGTTTGGCCCAGCTAGGAGGGTGTCCTGGCTAGGGAGGGTCACCCTTTTAGCCAAGCCAACAGTTAACGGTTCGCCACGTTTTGTAAGGAAATGTACGAAAAGTTGGCTCACCCAGGGTAGCTCGGGTATGGCAAGTTACCCTTCTATTCCGGACAACTTTTCTCCATTACAAACGCGGCCTAAATATTACCCAGTATTAAAATTAATTAAGTGAAACACGAGGAGCTTTAACGCATAATTTGAAAAAACCAAAAAAAAAAAAAAAAATGTTAAACGGTTGGTTGGCTTTTGTCGGTTATTGGTTTCCGGACTTGATTATTTGCTCTCAGCCAAATTTTCTATTTCCACGATGAACACCGTTATGGTGTACACTGTACAGTGGCAAGTAGGTGACAGGCGTATTTCAATAACTTTGACCAGCAAACTACATAAATGGGTATTTTTTCTTTACCCTCAGTAGGGGTGTCTTCTTATCCTAAAGGGACACGTGCTTTGAGCTCTCATTCGCTCTAGTTTAGTAAAAAACTATGTGTTGCTCTAAATCGGTTCCTAAGTTTACATGTAAAAGTGGGTGCTGACGTAATGGCAGGATCAGGCGAGAAATTTTAACATTTTCATTCGTGTGAGGCTACAAACAACGGATTTCGAATCAGAGTTAGAAGCTAATGAGTTATCTTAAGTCCGCCAAAGATTAGATGACTGTCGCGTAATCAGTGTGCTAGTTATGGATCGTGTACTAAACGGCGCAACCTTGGAAATGAAGGCGTGCACATGACTAGGAACAGCGGCCTATTGGTCGATCCCCATTTAACTCTGATGTTTCTTCGCGCCTTTCCACACACCAAGCGACTATCTGTTGAGATCAAACCTTTTTATCCAACCAGGCGAAAAAGCCAACAGTTTGACGCAAATTTGTCGCAGGCTACAAGATACCGAGCAGCTAGGAGTTATATTGTCACCGAATTTATATCGGACTGAACTTCAGACTGTTGATGATTCACCTTTCGTCTTTTCGCCAAGAAAGGTCAATTTAAGGTATATTCGCCGAGTAGTTCTTCACTGATAGGCTGCCAGATGAATGACCATAGCGAACAAATGAATAAGTCCAACTTAGTCTATTGAAGCACAAAAAAGGCTGATCGCCAATAATAACTTCACAGTTTTGTTTTACGCCTCTCAGGTCAAAACACCTCAAATTATACTATTACGGCTGTTAAACCTGATACAATGTTTTTGCCACCCATATAAAGCAAACAAGTCAAGCGAAAAATCAATTGCTTTCCTTGAAACAAAGGTAACATTACTAAGGTTAAGCTACCAAAAATTAGCCAATAACAGGGCGAGTTTGAGATGGGATTGCTCTGCTATGAAGTCACTTATCTTGCCCCCCTGTTCATGGCACCAGTTGATATTACTTCAGTTGTTTTCTGTAGTGCTTTCAAGCATTTGTTGATTATAAGCTATATCGAAGGAAAATGTTCTAAGAGGAAGTGAGTTTGTACTAAGGAAATTTGTAGACGAAGAAACCTATAGCAAATTAAGGTAAGTTTGCTAATGCATTTCTTACTCGTTAATGTTACTGGGAAATTGTAGCAGGCTTTTATGTGAAAGGCGTACCTGTTGAACGTTACACCGAAGACCAAACGCTTCAGTGATCTCTCTTGTTCAAAGTTTGATTTACTTGGTCAAACTTTTTGCGAGTTTACATCTCTCAATTTATATTCACTACAATTAAAATCCGTAAAGTTCAACTCGGAATGCCAAATCGTGCAAACCCTTTTTAAATTAGAAATTGCTTGCTTTGTTATCATAACAAAAAAATGTTTGGGGTGTTATCTTACAAGATTTTTATTCACCTGCTAAAATTTATAAGTTTTTGTTTTTTCTTGCAGGTTTGAGAATTCTATCTTCTACTGTATAGCAAGTCTGAGATCAATATCATTCTGTGATGTATAGTCTGAAATCCATTGTGGCGTTAAGCCTTTTAATATGTTGTTGGAGTTTACTGGTCGACATTCGACCCTCCTTTGCCATGCCAATTGAAGGAGGTAAGCAGATAACCTGTTTGTTTTTCCTTTTATTAAAACATACTCTTTTCGTGTTGGTCTATAAGCAATTAACTATAGCTTTGACCCATTTTTCGCTTTCATCATTATGACATTTTCTGGTTCTTGTTTGTTGGTGCCTGTGGGTGAAACCATAATAGGAGCGCGACCGTTTAAACAAAAGGTCTTCTGTAATACGCTTTTCAAGCGCTGTTTGCCTTTAAGTATTGCTTAAGACTAAATTTGACTTTTTAAAACAACTTTTTACTGTCAGTCACTTGATCTGCGACTGGCAGAAGTGATATAACCCAAGTTGACAGCAGTTGTGAAATTTTGAAATTCTGATGCTTTATGGAACAGTGTCTTGAGAATTTTTTCGCCTTTCTGTTTCGTTGAAACCTCGCTAAAATTTTGTAGGGAAACTCACTAAATGTGAAAAATAGCCTATTGAACACGAAACGAAAGGCACAAACTCTTTATCCAAGTTATGTGCAAAAGTGACTAAAATCAGTTACAGCCAATACGTCATTTAATGAAATGATCGTCCAAGGCAAAACGTTTTGATAGGATATTTAAAGAGAGTCAGACTGAGGAAGTTCTGTTTGGATATTGGGGCTTAAAGTGGTTAAATCATGCTGACAATGCCCCATTAGTATCCTTCTTAATCTTGCGTAGTATTAATTCTTACTGAACTGTTTGATCTTTAGTAAATCTAGTAATACCTCATTTATCGATTCAAAACGAAACTATTGCCTTAATGATAAGTGGCTGTTAAGAGTTCCTAGTCATTACTTTCTTTGCGCACCAGTAGGAGGACAACTCGAAAAATTTTGCGTTCACGTTGTCACGCTTGTTTGTTGTTGTTGCTTGAAATTGCATAACTATGGCAGTATGAAACAACCATTTTATGGGTCACGGTCATAGCACAGTTTGAAGTCGAATCTTAGCTGTACAACGTTTGGAGTTTAGTTTTGCTGCTTTCTCTATGCCGTAAACTGTCTCAAAGATGATATGAGGGAAGTTCAGTCTCAGAAAAGGGCAAGCGCACAGATATAGCACACATGATGTGAAAATAGATCCTCGTCCACCGTTTGATACCTTGAAAATATTCGAGCAGCCGAGAGAATTTTTATGACTGAGTGTTATATGCGGATCTCTTACCTTGATGTTCATGAATCGCAGTATAAACGTCTTACAATTAACACGCCCACGGAAGCTGCCACTAAAATAAACCATGAATCTAAGTTACAAGTAAAAAATGTTGGGTTTGCACTGTTGTGTAATATTTCCTTGTTTAATATGGTCGGTTTCCCTGAAAAATAGTGCGCGCAAAATAGGATCCAGAATAGAGCACTTGTGCGCCCAAGGACTGTTTGAATCTCGGACGTACTGGTGAATGAACGTTATTAATATCGTGATGGCTACTATGAAACTTGTGACAAAGGCAATAATTTCTTTTTATCCAAGTGTAGTAGGACAGGTGAAAGGCGACAACTTTGGCGAAAGGTCAAAACCGTGAGAGAGAACGGATGAATTGGGTTGATGTTAAATGTATTCAGTTGACTATGACAAGGCGGAGAAACCTTGTTTCTACGTAATCTTCTTTCTACGTAATCTTGATTAATTTTGTTCATTAAGAGAACGTTAAAGGCGAAGTTGAATAATTGTTAATGAAAGAACAAGTGGCATTGCAGGAAAAGAAATAGTGCCATCGAAAAAAGAAATGACGTAAATAAAAAGTCAATAATCCGAATCGAGCCAACAAAATTAGCTTTTTCCTCTACTGTTCAGGATCAATAAAACTCTAACAACTTAAAAAAGTGTCTGCTCTGCGCAGACAATTATCAAGATATGTACAAGCTTATAACTCAAAGATTACAGAACTTGACTCAATCAAATCAGGAAAATGATGAGAACTCACGGCGATCATTTGTTCTGAATAAAAGCTTGAGTAACAAGGTGACAGAAAAATCGCCAGCACAAAACATCTCTAATATGAATTTGACGACGGTTTTGTCACCGATTTCAAACTTGACGCAAGTGAATCAAACAGTGGCTGAAAACAATCGACGGTCGTTCGTCCCTTTAATAGCGAAAAGCTATGCTAAAAGTCCTCTTACAGGAAATGTAGCGGTGGGTACTCAGCTTGCAGGTACCACGGTATCGGGAAACCTACAAAAATCAAACTCGTCGATCAGGAATACAACAGAAGGCAATTCACTGAGAGGAAATTCAGTTACCAGAGGCTGGCAGGCCGGTTATCCAGTGGGAAAGAACTTGGTGTTGGCAAACGACTCGACGAGGAATATTTTAGTGGGAAATAAGGCGCCGGTGAAAAATCAGGTTGGTATTTTAGTGGCGGGAAACCGACCAGTGGACAAGTCATACAATGGAAGCCAACCAGGAGCCACTCTATGGGGGGGAAATCCGTCAAGTGGGAGCACGTTGATAGGGAGTTCAATAGTGAGAGACAAACCAGCGGTAAACGTTGTCGCAGGTGATTCACTCGTTTCCAGGTTTTTGACTAACGCAGAGCATACTAGTGCTTCAGTGTTTCCCAATTCATACAACGCTGGTCCGTCGACCGTCCCCGAGGACCGAAGTGGCATTTACACAAATCTTTACAGGTATCCATCGACATACGACAAAAAGGATGTAATTTATCGCCAAGCTTCCACCGTGCATGATCGTTCAACCTTGTACAACCACAATCCTAGTCAAACGACGGGTGCCTATCGAAATTACCAACATCCTGGCAACTATCCCTGGTCTCAATACTCACATTACACAGGCTACCCAGGCTATGTAAGCTACTTAAATTTAAAAGAACAACAGACGCGGCGTAGTTACCTAGCACGAAGACCTGATTACCCAGGCTACCCAGGGTATGTAAGCTACCCAAATTTTAAAAAACAACAGACAAGGCGTGGATACCTAGCACGAAGACCTAGTTACCAAGTGGGTTATCCACGTGCTTTAAGGCAGGGAAAACAAGTTAATTACTCTACAACAAAGCAAGTTCGCACCAAATATACAGCGAAAACTGATGTCCAAAACAACAAAACAAGCAATAAGACTGATCAGTACTCTACAACTGAGGTCTCATCTAATTCAAATACTATACAAGAAAAATTCCCAGACAACCCTAGTGGGATAAATACACCGTCCTTGTTAGATCCCCTCTCCCGTGAAAATATGGATGCTGCAAGCTTCGGTTCAAGTTCAGGTTCTGGTTTCGAGGAGCCAGTTGAAATGGGAAACGAGGCTGACTTTGAAGAACCCCGGGAGCTTATTACCAGTGGAAGTGGTGACGAAAACGGGGATTTGAATACGAATCCAGTGTCTGATGTAGCCTTCATGTTAGCAGGCACGAATCATAAGCTGCGTCCTTTGTCAGTAACAGGCCTTCCGAAGAAATTGACAAGAAAGCAGGCCCTTGATATCTACAAATCAGCCATGTACTTTGCGGGTCTAATGAAAGAAGGTGAGTGTTGAGGTTTTTTTTAAATTTAATCTCCAGGTGATTTGACACGCAGAATCAGAGTCAAGGCCATGTTTCAAGGCCAAAAAGAGAGTGGATGAACTTGGCGATTGAACAGTGAAATTAAATTAGAGACGTAAGCTCCTTCGTGATGCTGCCATCAGATCTTCTTGCAGAGAGAGTGTATTGCGCAAGCGTAGTGTTGGTTAGCATTTGAAAACAAGTAAAAACTATTAAAAAGCCGCCTGTATAGAGGATTATATTACAAGTTTAATTAGTTTGTGTTCTCACTTTGGGAATGTTTGTCTTACAGGAACTGACAACAACGATACAACCAAGCTATTTTGTGACGCTTCAACGCTTACAAAACAAAGTTGAAGAAACCTGAAAACAGAGACAATAAAATACTCTTATACCACGGCGTCACGGTAGAAGACAGGCCAATCACGCAGGAAGGCTCTCAGACTAGACTTTGCTAAATATATAACAGCAACAGATACAATGAATACATCAACAGCTACTAAAACAAAACCACTTTCTGCTACTAATAATTTACTGGAACTACAGCTGCAACAATCTCTACAGCAACAGCAAAGAACACCAGTATCAAGTACTAGTAAAGACAGCAACGAATGAAAAAACAACAACAGTTTAAAAACAGCGACATTGGAAGAGGATCAACTTACCATGTTCTAATTTTTCCTTCCCTCACCTTTTCATCTCACTTCAAGAAAATTCACACCTTCGCTCAGACGGTGCGTGGTTACTGCACAGTCACCGATACCCTCTCTTTGAAAAATATCCATAAAAAAAACGTCTCTGTTTCGACCAGGCACTGTAGTCGACAAGTTCACATCCTCATTGCTTTTGGCCAATCGGAGCCGAAAATGAATAACTATGTACGTGTTAAAGAAAACGTGGATTTATAGGGTGAGACTGAGAGGTTGCTAAGGTGTAACATTGTTTATTCTTTTTGTGTTTTTCAGATAATAATGTAGACAGTAGCTCGGAGCAGTCTGACAATGACGATACAGATAATGATGATAACAGTGAACATCCATTCACAGACGAGGATGATGATGACGTAACTATAACTGACAATGACGTCAAGGAAGCTTTGGCGGCTTCCAGTGGAGAGTTGTACTCGAGTGGTCAAGAAGCAAGTGACGTGGAGGCCTCTGGTAGCCAATTGGAAGCGCCTGTTAAAGTGGTGCCAGGTACAGGGAATGACATGTCGACTGGTAAAAACGAGGCTCCAAAGGAAAATAATGTGGTGGTTCAGAACAATGATAATGGAGCTTCAAGTAGCGAAATTGTGACTCCTGTAAGCAATGAGGTTCAAAAACAAGCCAGCGAACCATCAACAGTAGAAAACAAACCTCAGCAAAACGATATCTCCTCTGTGGACGAGAAAGTAGAAAGTGATACTCAACCTCAGGAAACTTCGAATTCCAATAACTTAAGCCAAGCATCTCCAGCGAAAAGCAGCGCTCCCAAGGAGGAAAGCCAAGCGGTAGATGTTCAAACCAAGGAAGATGATGACACAGATACACCTCCTCCATTGGATACTGGAGCAAGTCAAGTGTCTAGTTATAAACAAACCAGTGATTCTAGGCAGTTGGATCTCAATACTCCGCCATCAGATGAAACTCTGATGAAAGAGACTCAGGCAAATTACGCCGCTGACCAGCAAGCTGAGCAAGTGTTGTCCAAGTTGTTGAAATGTAAGTGAAAAACCCGCTTGGGTATATGAACTATTTTCGAATTTTTGTTCGAGATTATAAAAGGAGGGTTGGTCCATGATCTTCAGAAAAAGAAGGAGGTAAACACTTCTCTCTTTCTGCACCGACGATCAATCTGGGTCTGTAAGAGTTTTTATTATTTATGATACTGGGAATTTCTTGCTCATTGAAGAAGCCACTTATGCAGAGGAGAAATATTTCATATCATCAACTGAGTTGATTAGTTGTCCTCGCTACTGTAAAATGTATCGAGAGGTGACTTATCGAGCTTTTTCTTTCAATACAACGATTTGATCAGACGAAGGCGGGCAAAAACCCGAGCATCACTTCCGATGGGGAAATAATGTTGTGGAACATTATTTTTTCAGCTCGGCAAAGAGGTGTTTATTCTTCGCCAACGCAGAGGGCAGTGATTTGCAAAGATACGACGCAGAAAATATTCTGTCCACCTAATCAGAAAATACGGATTTTAAACGCTGATTATGGTGATACAGGAAATGTCGGCTGTCTAAAGGAGGCCAATCCAATGTCGTCTGGACCGTGCCGCACGCCAGGCGCCTATGAGACAGTAAAGCGAGATTGTGAGGGATTTGATGAGTGTGAACTATCCGCTAGTAATGATGTTTTTGGCGACGCTTGCCCTGATTCGAACAAGTATCTGGATGTAAATTACGACTGTGTCAATAATGCGGGTAAGTTTTGGTGGAATGGTAAACTTTCCTGATTTCAGTTTCTGAAAGTGACCAAAGGCAGTGAAACTGTTAGCGCTGATTTTTGAAAAGTTTATCGTCTTTTTTTTCAAAATTCGTACCACCAACACTTAAATCTTGTTTAGGAAATTAGGTAATAGAAAATAGCCAGAAGTGGTCCGTACTTGAAAAAGAGTTTTAAATTTGTGGCAATTCGTATTGTTCAGCACACCGGACTTAGACGAAATAATTTTTTGTTTTTGTTTCATAATGAAAAGGCAGGACCCACCCTGCCTCACGTATCTAATGTGATCTCAAAACCCTGTTATGATTTAATTCTGAATAACCAATCATACTGGAGAAACACATAAGCTACCCGTAAACTAGACAGCTCGGTAAACTCATAAGTTGTCAAAATAGAACACTGGAGAGTCAAATTTCGGATTAATTGGAGTTTTTCAAACTGTACATAATGAGGAATTCTATGGATATCTTGTTACCATTTGTTTTCTTATTATTTTTAAATGATGTTTATGCAGGTATTTCAGTGACGAACATATAACGAGGCCTTTTTTTTCTTGACCAAAATGTGCAAATCCTAGGTTGATAACCTATCGTATTTTCCTAAATCTTCAGCTCCTTCGCTTCACTGGTACGACCTCTGGAAATACCATTCTAACCCTCTCCACGAGAAAGGTTTTGATTTGCTTTTGTTAAACAGCACTTATTTCCAAAAACCTCGGTTTGTCACTTACGCCTGTAAAGCTAACATTTTGTCTTAAACTTTGTCTTCGACGTTGAAAAAACAGCTCGTAAAAAGTACGATTCGCCTCCTCAGGATTTTCGAACATCGTCGCCCGGTCTTCGACCCATTGTTCAGCCTCCGCAATCTGCCTTTCAAGGTTTTCATAATATGCTTACATCTTACTTTGTTTTTGCTCTTTCTTTGTGATAGAAATGTTGTAACTGATAAGCTGATGATATTGTTTTTCAGTGCCATATGCACCCCCTGTACCGGCATACGGTCAAGGTAGGTAACAAATGGATTTTTCGTCTTTAAAATTTCCAGTTGCTCTCGAAGATTCGTTTTTCCGTAACTGTTCACTTTCATATCATAGCTCAGTCGTCTTCATCCGATACGCCAGCCGCTGGGGGGATAGGGAGCTTTATGTACTAAGAATACTTTATTTATAAAAAAATGCGTTGAATTAGATCTTTGAGTGTAAGAGGACCAAATTTTAAAAACTTATGATTAAGTCAACGCCCTAACTAAAACCCAAGTATGCGAGAACCTCTGAACCTTTTTTGTATGTTAAGTTGTACTGGCCTTATTCTCAGACAGTCCGAGATTTCTAGCTCTAACGCCTTTTAAACTTCTGACAACAGTTGAAACTCCCGTAAGCGACAAACGAAAATACCAAAAGTTGGTAATCGTTCGTTGGAGGTGACCACTTGCGCCAGTCGTACCACAGGACTCTCAACTGGGAACACTTCTGACACACCTAGTTACAATACCAGCTACATTGAATATCAAAAACATATTGTGACAAGGATAGAACAAAACTAATTTTGTTATCGGCTGTTGTTTGGTGTCACATTATTGAATTTTTAGCGGTAGGAGAAGTGACCATGTTTCAAATGGAAGCCTATGGGTTAAAAAAATACAACTTCCTTAACCGGCGCAAGTCGCCGTGGACTCACAGGAGGGTTCAACTGTAACTGAATTAGTATCAGTCACAGAGAGAACAGTGAAGAACATCTCGAGGCTGTCATTTCTTGTGCTTGTTTTACTTTAAGCGAACTTCTTCTGTGCCTCTGTGAAAGCTCGTAAGCCAAAATTAAAAATGTAAATAAAAAGTTCATTGTTTCTAACATCCTTTTTGTATTAACTAACAGCAAGTTACCAGCCTGCACCACAGTACGTCAATCCCGTCCCACCCCCAGTCGCGGCCTATGCACCGGCTCCTTATCAAGGTTTGTGTAGTTATTAAATAATCCATGATTTTGTCATAGATGATAGTCAATACGGAAGTATACATGCATGACAGACGCACCTACTTTTTGCATTCTTTCAGCATTTTCTCTGTGGTGTTTTAGTACTAAATTAAACTACCCAAAACAATAGTATTGGGATGTCTTAGGTTCGAGTGTTTTTTTTATGTATAGTTGGGTATTCTGTGTCACTTCTGATTGTGTCATCTTTCCTTGATGTTGGTGTTTTTGTGTCTGAGTGGCCAAAAACTTGAACCATTTTTAAAGTTTGTATTTGTTTTAACTATTAGACAATGGCAGACCTGCGCAACTTATTCAAAACGTTTTTGGGCAAATAAAAGTACATTTATTTACTTTTCTTTTTCAATTGTTATTTAAAGAAAACTCTCTTTATCATAAGTGCGCCTACACGCTTTTGCCTGTCTTATTTTCATGGGTTTTTCATTGCCTCTTGTCGTTTTCATGTTTCATTTTGTAGAAATTCTCTTGTCCGACAAACCAGGTACTAAAAGTTTCTTTTTCTTAAACGCAAGAAAAAACTACGTGCCTTTTCTCCAAATTCTGTATTGATTTCATAGTATTCTTCGTATTTGCTGTGGTTCACGCAAGAATTATGTCAGAGAAATGTACTGTAAAGTTAGAAGAGAAAACAGATAGGAAAAATATGCATGGTTATTTCTGCCCCTGTCTTGGACTTGAACAGAGGAAAGACTATGAATTCAACAAAATATTACGATATATAAATTTTGTTTTACCAGCCCCACCGGCACCCGCCTACGCACCATCCATGGGACTTCCGGACATTATGCCACCAAACCCTTATGTAGCTCCTGATCCGTGTAATCCTTGCAATACATGCGCGCAATGTTCCTTACAAGTGTGTAGTCCATGTGCTCAGACATGCCAGCCCTTATCCTGTCCGCCGCGCATACCAGCAAAGCTACAGCCGCTGTGGCAACAGTGGAATGAAAGGACTGCAGGTAATTCCTTTTTCCCTTACATGATGTACGTTTTATTCCATTATCCACCAGAGGTAATTGGCCCTTTTCACACTAGAGACGAATTATACGTCTGAGACGGATAATCCATCTTCAAAATCCGTCAAAATTGACGGAAAACAGATGGACAAATTGAGGCGGATTATCCATCCGAAATTAAGACCGTTCCATTTTCGCATTAAGACGTATTGTCTGTCTGAGCCGCGTTTAACCAAGGGATAACCCGTCTCTAGTGTGAATACGGCCATTATCTTCATTTTCACCACCGTCATCATAAACAATGCCAAAGGAAAGTACTGCTCATGAAGTAGCTTTTGAATGGTCACATTTGAGGATTTCATCCTCAGATCAAAAAATTTAAAATCCCCTTACAACATAAAAAACAATAGCACAGGAAAGTACTACACAATAAAATTCAAAGGAAAATACATGGTAGTACTTTTAAAGAATTTTATAAGCTGAGGACACTGAAGAAGTTAATTTCTCAAACTCATTAATAATTCATTAAAAATACAAGCTGGAAATCAATGTTTAATGAGTGTTCGGAAATCAGAGGAAAAACTGCTCACTTTTGCATTCTTAATTTCTCCTTCTGAAATCAGTTTGTTTGAGAAGTAATATCAAACATTCGAAACAGTGTTTCATCACCAAATAAAACACCTCGAAGTTCGTCAAAAATACTCCGCTGCGCGTCTATTTTCAACTCCCTTCTCGTTGTTTCATCTGGTGATAAAATACTGCGTCTCATGCTTGATATATTACTTGAAACAATATCTTACCATATAGATGGAAGATTATATATAACAGTCGCTTCCGTATTTATTCATTTTCTCAGACATGAGTCGCATGGAGATGGCCGCTTTGATAATTTCACCTCTTCCTAAGCTCTCTCCCACCAAAGCTTCCGAATCGACCGAGTCTTCGGGCGCTGCCGAAGGATCTGAATCTGGTGAGCCAACCCTTGACGAGGACGCTCTGTACGAGGCGAGTAAGAGGTCGCAAATTCAACGAATAATGCCACAGAAAAAGTCAAAGAAAACCACTTTAAAAACGCATGGAAAAAACAGCAGTGATCAAGAGTTTCTTAGAAATGGCGACTTAATGTCTTCGTCTGGTGACGCAAGTAGTGGCTCTTCAACGTAAAAGTCTTCGAGTGGGAAAATTCCTCGCGAGTCTTGGGATCACTTCATCTATAATTATATGGTGATCTAAAATCATAATATGTGGTGTGCAAGACATTTTAAATGCTTAATTTTGGAGGAAAGAGACCTGCAAAACCTAGAACAAAGCAACAGCATCTTAAATATAATCATGTGCATCATTAACGGCACACCATAGAGACTGCTATGTGACTCAGAGACATGCAAAACGATAAAAACATGCTTGGGTCAGGGAGGAAGTAAAAATGATAAAGGGACTGCCAAGAACGAATTGTTCATCTCAGATGAAAACTATAGAAACATGGGGCAGGATAACAGTTTTTTTTTCGTTTTTAAGGAGACTTAGGAGTTTTAGAACAAATCTTTTAGCCCTTTTAGACGACCATCTCAGTGCTCTTTGTCTGTGAACATTCATATAGCTGTTCATACAGTAGCTCACAGCTTTGACGCACGCAGGTTCTCTCAGAATCAGCAGGATGTGTCTTTTTCTTTAAAATGTGGTATCCTTTCCTTATGTAATTTCTAACGTTTTATTAGCCATTTACGTATGTATAGGTAGCAGCAGGATTTGTAGCGGTATTTTGGCATAACCAATATAATTGAAAGATGTTTTTTGAAATTTTGCGAGTAGCATTTGTTATTAGAAATCAGTCAGGTACAAAAAATGCTATAAATTGTTTTTACTGTTACCCAAGAAATTTCTGCAATTGTAACATGAAGCATTTCAAATTAACCTGAGATACAACTGCTTTCAGCCAATAAAAGTGAAGAAATTTTTTAGATAATAGCATACAATGCAACGCCGGTATTTTCCAATACCTGGCTAACATCCCTCGAGTACCAATGAGCCTCTCAGTAGTAGCTTAATTGTTAGATTATTAAAAAGTGTTTCCAGTCAGTTAAAACGAAGGGGTCAAAAACTTGTTTTTTAGGAAGCTTTTGCATCCACTGTAATTGGCGAAGTCAGTCAAGTTTCAACTGAAACCTAAAGGAATGGCTCATTTTTTAACCTACTAGGTGGACAATAAGGAAAGTATAGAGATGTTTTTAGTAGTCTAAAAATATTTAGGACTTAATGTTACCTTCTGAGATAGTTCTTACTATGTCCATCAATGTATCAGAGGTCAATCAACTTTGCCAATTTCTATTGTCGATGTAAATAGGAGAGTAAAATGGCATGTTAATTGGAGCGTTATATTTTTAATAATAAACACGTGACACTTTTTAGCCGTCTCAAGAATAACATTGATGTCTACTTAAAGTCTCCTTCGCAGCCACTCGGGCCGGACGCGCAATGCTGACCATGTTTCCGAGCGGCTGGGAAGGAGACTAGTCTTCTTATAATTAATAAATTGCATATGAACCTCTCTTCGTCTTGCTTACATGTACTGTGCTGTTAAGCAAGAGTAGGGGCCTGAGCCTGCATTCATGGCCTCAGGTTCAAAAGATAAGCGCAGTTCGTTTTCTTTTGCACATTGCCAGGCCAAATAGATTATTTGGGTTGTACTCGCATCATGGTTATCTCCTACATATGCTCCTTGTTGACCCCAGGGTGAATTATAACTAGTGATTCATTCAGAATGTTTGTATTGTAGATGAAAAGTTAAGTGTCCTTCATTCAATCTAAAAATGGGTCAATGGGTAACGAAGTTGGGATCGCGAAAATTACATATTTGCCCAAAAGTGACTAAGACGGGGTCTATAAATGGCCACAGAATAGACTGTAATGGGGCAGGGGCTCTGAGAGGCCAGCGGCACATACCCAACAAAAATTAACCCAAGCGGGAGAGTAACATGTTGCGACATTTGTCTGAGACTCAATGTTAGAGTTAGCTCTACTAGTCTTATTCTACTTTCCAGAATGGACTACAAGGGATTCATCATGTTGCTTTGTTTTTAATCAGTTTCTTTTCATCCGCTTGGTGAAACGAGACACTGCGAAGTAAATTTGCAATGAAATTTGAAACGTTTGAATCAAACAAAAGGTCATGTTCAAGTGTTAATCGGCCTTAGGTAGACCTCTGCCCGTTTCAACGGTGTATTCAGTGGATAGTCTTTTATCTGGTAGGACGAGATTTCCATTTTTCAGTCAACCGCGCACACAGACGTTGAAAACACGGCGATGTGCTAATTAGCTCCTTTATCAGTCGCCCTCCTATGACACCAGTAATGCTCTCAACAGTGATGAGCTAAATGTGTGTGGATTGACGAGTGTCTTGTGGAAAGGCCGAGATGGATTTTTTTAACGACGCCTTTTTAATTACCACACACGTGAAAGCTTTGTGCTCTCAAGTATTTTAGGACTTCCCAAAAAGTAGCCCGTTGCATTCAGTTGTAGATAAATCAATACGCGCACCATCAGAAAAAAATGCATCTAATATATAGATTTAGCTAGAGCTAAAAACGAAAGCTCCTGTCACAGTTTTTGGTTCACTCCAAACAGTGAACTTAGAATTATTGCAAAGAAATCCAAAGATCTATACTTAGCTTTATGTGGGGACCATATGACGTTTTAGGCACGAGCTGCTGGTTTCAGAAATAAAATTGAACTTGAGCCTGTGATCAATTTATGCTTATAACTGGTCAGCGTTTCGATTAGTTGAAACCTGAACCCGCGATATTTACATCTTATGTGTACTGATCAGCGGATACCCTTTTCTGACACCTGTAAATTGACCATAACATGGACGTCGATCATCAAGTTGAACACAGGTTGCAGGCTCCCACACAAGCTTTGGTGGTGGTCCCGACGGACGGGCGGGTGGACGGATGCACGGTCACGTGACTAACAAAATATCTCGGATACATAGATTTTAAAATTTTCTTATCAATGGTGCATCGCTATGAATGGTGACAATGCTCTAAGCATGGCGGTCAAGAGGTTAACGCTCATTTAACCTTCATAGAAGATTAGTAATTAGAGCTCTTATTAGATATCAGATGTAAAAGGCGGGATTCGCTGACCACCAATGACTGCTCAGTGAAATGCTAACAAATCTTAACACTGATGTGCCAAAATATTTATCCCACTATTTATAAAACTATCCCAGGAGCCCGGATCACCCTGACTATCCGTGATTAAGTGGTATCTAGCCAGTGAGCCTCATATCTGGAAGTGTACCGTGGCGTTGCATTTTCTCAGAGACCATATTGTCCGTCTTAACACAATTGTCGGATTAATATCCGGGTACTTGTGACGTATCGATGAGGTCCTGTGATGTTTGGACATTTTATCTCCTCTTCTTTCTTTATAGCCTAAGAACTGAACAGCACTTGTCCATCTTATTAAACAAACATGAACGGATAACGCCTACCATGACCTTCACCAATCCAGGGAGAAATTATCGGCTATTTTTCTGTTTGTTCTTAGTTGACTGGATCATGTTTAGGTTTTATCTAGCTTTCTTGCTGGTTCCTCATTTTACAGTTTTAACACAGACAAGCAAAGCCTTGAGATGAGTTTTTTTTATGCCTTTTCTACTCATGCGTAGATATTTGATTAATTTCGTCAATTGCCTTTTGATTTTCCTTCATGCAAACACCAGAAACGCAGGTAGACAGTTATAGCCTTTTAAGATCACTTGACATGGCTTCAACCATTATTCAACAGCTATAAAAGCAAACTCGCTATTGACATCTGAGCTTTTGTTTTCAAGAGTCAGACTGTAAGTTCCTTGGGCGTGACCATGAATGGTAAGATCAGTTAAGAAGTACGTATTCGTGGTACCCTTTACTCTTTCGCGTGTTGTTCCAAAGCTTAAGCACAAAGCGGAAGTACACGGTAGACTCTCCGTAAGTGTACGTCATTCCGTGCGCCAGCCCTTCGAAGGGCTGGCGCTTCTGTATCTCACTACGGTGGCCAATCTATCCTATAAACTTAGTTGATAATAAAATCAAACCTTTGTATTTCACTCGTACACCGACGCAACAACACAGGTCCTTTAAAGAATAACCCATACATTCTCAGTAAGTGCAATCATGCAGATGAAAGACGTGTTTTAGAAACAGAGAATTTTTTGAGCGAAAAATTTCTTTGCTTCGCTGCGACTAGTCACCTTTCAGCCTTGTAGTTTCTCAAAATTCATAAATCTTAAAAAAATGATTGTACCCTTGATAACATAGCACAAGGCTTGCTGAGTAAACTAGTTTTTGTTTTCAGAGTTTTGGAATTAAAAAAAAAAAAGATAATAAAAATAAACAAACAAATGAACGAAAACCAGAAAGTTATATTTATTTTAACTTTGCCATTGTTTCTTACCAGACAACCATGACAGACTCATTGAACTTTTAACGACCATTCAATCACTTTAAGTTCGCCATCACACAAGAAGTGATATAGAAAAGTCGATTTTTCTGTTTCGATTATTACAGGGTCCATTAATAGGGGTTGTAAATCAGAAAGCCATCTCCAGGTATGAATTGGAATCACTGAATTAAGCCTGAGACTAAACTTCGTAACAGTAACAATCTCTCTTTTCCCTCGCCCCCTTCAATTTCCAGTGATAATCAAGACCCAAACTTCTTCCTGAATAGCACAAAAATATGTCTTTCTACTGCAGGCACTCAGCGTGTATTTGTCTAGATGTGTCACACTTAAAACCTAAGTTCTCAAACAAGAAACAAAGCAATTGACAAAGACTTAAGCGTGAAATTAGTTTATTTTGAAAAATAATTACTTTTCGTGCGATTAATAAGAAACCATGACTTTTTAAAGGAAGAAATGTTCGAATTTTAGTATATCTCAGTTTTCTTCTCTGGTGCTCCCTTGTCACTTGTTCACCGCATGACTGGTAAATACTGAAATATTAACAATAACCAATGATCCGATGAAAGGGCGTGGACTTGGGAAAAGCGTACGAGAAGAATTGCCTTAACGCCACTAAAATTCAAACCATAACACTAAGTATTTCTGGCGAAGTCTAAATTGTTTCTTGCAGGTCAAGAAATCAATTCATCTATTTCAGAAATAATGACTGACGCACAAAAACCAAACTACCTCAGATGGTATGAATTATTAATCAGCTATGGTCCCTGACTTAAGTGAATGAAAGATTACAAAGGTCGGTGAATAATTTAGCACTTCCAGGCCCTGGCATAAAACGTTTTCTTTCAGTAAATCAGAATCCAATCCGTAATCAGGGAACAAGCTTCAGAGAGAAGGTAGGCAAAACGGCTATCAAGCAGTGAATTGATTTGGTTCGCTGTGGTTCAACGAAAACCATTAGGTGGGAAAAATGAACGTACAACTCTTGAAGTAAAGAGTAGGACCAAGATAAATTTGTGTTTTATCGCGGTATCATCAGTTAAACAAAAGGAAACTCAACGCGTTATTAGCCAAGAATTGAACAGTTGAAGACATATTTACTTTTAACACATTAGGGAGCTTTCACGATCACGTTTTAAGACTGATCATAGCCTTTGGTCAGTGAAACGGCTGTTTTTTTCTAATTCTAATTATTATCATTTGTATATATTTTTTATAGCCCATAATGGCTCCTAAGACATTTTTAGTATGTCTTGCACTACTGGCGGTGGCCTACGTCGAAGCAGGAAGACACCCTAAAGCTACTAAATTAAAGAAAGGTGAGTTCTTTTTTAAATGTTTTCGTAACGAAATAACAGAATAATGGAAGAGAAGTCTTTATTGACCTCTTCATAAGCCACTGAAAGATGAACGAATATATAAAAGTTTTATTGTAGTCTAAGACTAAAAGAAAGCGAAGTAACAATGCATTATTTGGCAGTGACGAGGGTGCAGCAAACCAAAATATTAGATTTCTCGGCTGTAGGGCTCTCTGTTGTTCGAAGCGATCGCTTTAAGATTCTTTGATGTTGTTGCCTCGATTTTATGAATAGATCAGTTAAGTAAAACGCCAAGTGATGCAAAAATTAACATGTAACTTAAGAAAACGTTTACAAGCAACAAGGAAATTTCTGAAAAAAGTAGAATTTGACACACGAAAATTTAGAAGCGACGATCGAAAAGTTTGGCCACATGTAGCCCACCTAATACCACCTGTAGCATGAGGTAAACATCAAAATAGTGCCGATATTAATTCTACCAAGGGTAAAAAAGATTTTAAGTTAAAAGTCTTGTTTAATTCGTTCACAGAGAAACTACAAAAACCATTTTTTGGTGCTCACAGAACCTGAATGGCTAACAATTATCTTACTAAAACTTTTCTGTAAAGCTCTTATGGGCCAGTTTTCCAAAATTAGTATGCTTTGTACTTCCTCTTACGAGCCACTGCTTGAAAATATGATTAATGAAGGTCTCAGTGGTTAAGCATTACTCTCACTCTAAGGAGAGTGTACATCAGTTGAGAGTTCAATAATCATTTTTTGGAGCTAATGCATGAATTCCGTAGATCAGTGGTGAGAACTGCGATCATTTTTCGGGCCACGAGTAACGTTGATTGACTTATCAGGTTTTACGGTGATAAGTCATCGGCCCTAGATTTACCTCTCTCTTTCTCACAGCCAAGCAACTCTGTGTTCTTTTCATTAAAGGTTTAGCTTTCGGATTCAATTGCATAGGCACGGTTATTCAACTGAAATTTTTGAGTGTCTGAACGTAGCCCCCAGGGTGTCATTTATCACAGTATTTGGCACTTATTGCTTTTCCACCTTTTTAAGGCCAATTTGTTGAACTGGGGAGCTCATGGGGCGAAAAATCATGATATTTAAAATGTTTTATTTAAGCCTCATTTGCACCTTTTTTGTTTTCTTTAGTTACATCAAGCAAAGGATCAAAGAAATGCGGCCCTATGTGTTCAGTTTCATGCGCACCTCCTTGTCCCCCAACATGCTGTCCTCCTCCCCCACCCCCACCCCCACCATGCCCTCCTCCATGCCCACCACCACCACCCCCTTGCCCACCACCTTGCTATTCCTCGAGTATAACACACTCGCATAGCTCCTCTTGGGCACCACCTCCGCCACCACCCTGCCCACCTCCCTGCATGCCACCAGGTCCCCCTCAGTCTGTTCACCACATCCATCATGTAACACATCATCACATGTTGCCAGCACCACCTCCACCCCCACCACCTCCATGCCCTCCTCCTTGCCACACAGCTAGTGTTATGCACACCCACAGCCACCAATGGGCTCCAATTCCCCCACCTCCTTGCCCACCACCTTGTTCACCACCTGGTCCACCCCAGAGAATCCATCATGTCCATCAAGTTGTCCACCACGTTGTCCACCCACCACCGCCGCCACCACCCTGCCCACCACCCTGTCCTCCACCCTGCCCTCCCCCATGCCCACCACCCTGTCCTCCCCCATGCCCACCACCCTGTCCTCCCCCATGCCCTCCACCCTGCCCTCCCACATGTGCCACAACCTGTGCGCCGTCCTGCCCAGTATCATGCTGCAAGAAGAACAAAGTAAAGGATCAGGAGGCTTCTAGCAATGACGAGGATGAAGAAGAGACCGAAAACGAGGACGAGGCTGTACAGAAGGAAGAGAAGAAACAAGAGGATGCAAAGGCAGAGGACAAGAAAGAGGACAAACAAGAAGACAAGCAGGAAATTAAGAGCGAGAAAAAGGTGGAAGCTAAAGACCAAAAGAAAGAAGACAAGGAAAATAGCGACGATGAAGATTAACTCAATCGAGCTTTATAGATAGGTTTCTTTTGGTGTATGTTACACGACGTTGTTGGCGCCCAGGACGATGCGCACTTAGTGCGGTATACCAGCTGTACGCATGCTCGTACGTTTGTGAATAAAAGAATTTCGATATTTCGCCAGTTAATGTGAAGTTATGTTTTGAGAGAAGTTGTACATGTCCTTGTTGATATTTAATTAAAGGTGTAGCGTTTTAAACTATTTCATTTTCGTCTGATGTGACTTCATGTTAAGCCCTAAGCAATGCAGGTGAAAACGCCAACTCAACTCAGTTGATCTCCAGTCTGTCATCTTAATGCGCATATCAGTGTTATGTACCTGTTTTCCAGAAAAAAAAGAAAAAAAGTATTTCCTATCCCGATTAAACTGTCCCACTCAATAAGAGATGTAATCAGATCTAGGGAAATTAAATTTCTTTTCAGTTTTTTGAGCTAGCCTTACCGTTAGATGAATTTGTTCAAAGTTTCACTAGGGTGTGCCGTGAAACTTCAAAGAAAATATGATTGCTTTACATAAACGATGGCGGAGATCTCAGTTACAACAAAACCAGCTACCTTCTCCATTGAGAAAATAGTCTGCTTGAAGTAAGCTCCTGCTCCTTTTCTTTTACCAATACTTCGAGTCACACTTACTCTTTAAACATTTACAGCATTAAGCAACAAGGTTGTATATTTAAAACTTAGGATACGAACCCAAGGTTTCTATTGACGAACAGTAATTTCACCTTTTAAATCGAGATTGGATAATTAGAACGCTATTAGTGTTCTTTTACATTATAAATTTGGGTACTTTTGAACAATTTGGTATAAAGTATTCATTGGCACAAGGAGTGAATTTTCTTCATTTACTATTCAACAGATAGTGAGTTCGGTAGCCATTAAGAAAGGGAAATTTGGGAAGACAGAATACAATAGAGTTCCACTAAATACATGGGGCTGCGGATAAAATGCAAAATGAGATCAGTTAAAAGAAATGCAATTAAATCTGATTCTGAGTTGGCGGACGTCCGTTGATCTTTTAGTAAGTTCGACTCTCACGAAAAAAGTATAAACATTCGCCAAAGAAACAAAATTTTTCCTCACCAATAGAGTTCCTTTTCTGATCTGAATCATTTCAATAACTGCACTAAAGGACTATTTTCAACTCACAACATCCCAGTATCATAGAGTGCTTATATTTCTTTGTCAACCCAAGCTAACTTTCTGTCCCTTGTGGCCATTAGATCAAATCTTGTAACTGTCCTGAATGACGCAGAGTACTGTTTGCGATGGAATATCTGTTTGGAAAGGCCTTTGGTTGAAATTTCTCTAAAAATTTTCGTGCACTTTTTCCGATCGATACCCAACCAAACCTCATCCCCGCTAATAAACTCATTTGCAATGGATTTATAAATCTACTGTAAGCAAAACCTTCGTTTGTTAGGGTAAACAAAACCTGTTGGAGGAAGTGCACTGTCCCTTTTTTTGTTACCCTTTTCAGTCATGTAGCCTGAGGGCAAATATTTCATATCTCCTACTGTAGCTCTAAGTCACTAGTTGGAAAAGGGACCTACTGCCCGAAGGGAAGCACTAAAAGAAAGCCTGATACTTGGCAGGGTTTTAGGCAAGGGGTGTTACGCAGAATACTGCTGCTTTTAATAAGCATTTAACAACATTGGTTAGCATTCTGATGTTGCAGTCCAGAAGTGTTACTGAACAGTACTTCTGTGTTGCGTTGTTGCAGTTGCTTCGGAAAAGCTAATTACATGTATTCGTAGGTCCAATTTATTCAGCCTTGTAAAATTAAAGAAGTGCTATCGAGAATACTCTACATTGACTATTTTTCTCACTTTTTTATTTATGGGTGTGAAAAGGTCGAATTCTGGTGGCTAATTATGGTATTGTTCTACATTTCCCAAGTCTAAAGGTTGTCTGGCAGGTCTATAGTTTCTGTCAGAAAATAACCAGAATCAAGCATCCTTTGTGTAGCAAACACAGGGCTTCACCTTAGGTCAAAGCACATCCAAAAGAAAAAATAACAATAAAATAAAATGATATAAAAAATGTATAAAACGTTAGCTGCACAAGGTTTCGAAGAATTAATTTCAGACTCAACACGATTAATTCCTTTTGCTGCGTTTGACTTTTCAAAACGTTTTAAATAAATATAAGGTTTGTTCACAAAGCAATAGAGTGTAACGATTTCCTTTTTTGTTATTTGGAAACAATTTTTCCTTTTAATTTGACAATTTTGTTCTGATTATCTTGTTAAACCTTTCAGTTAGTTCATGAGTTTTATTTATTTACCGCAAACGCAAAAAAAGTCATTTCTAGCGGGCGCCTGCGCGCTTTAGTAGACTACTCGCATTAAGACTCAGGTCGTTTTTTATTCAATTTAAATGGTGTTTTAAATTTAAATCCCCAGCGACAGTTATGTAAATCAAAGTTCGTTTTCTACCTGTACTTTACAGTAGAACTGTTATTTATTGCTCTGGATAGAAAAAATCTTTTTTTCTAAGCCTTGGGAAGAAATCCTGTCTTTGACTAGTTCATATTTAATAAAATTTCCTTAATGCTATACGTTAACGTTCCTGCGGTACTGTTAGTTTTTTAATTGACTCTCATTCAGACCTCAGTGGGTGAAAGATATAAATTTTGACCATTCTAATGAAAGCCGCTGAACTGAACTTTCCTGTGTTTTTTTTTATATAGATTCTGCAAACTACATCTTTGTCTGTGAATAAAATCCTATGGTGAGAGTATTTAAATAAAGTTACTAAACATTACCGTCCTACGGTGTTGTTTATTATGTTTTGCAAGGTCCGTCTGTGGATAAAATCCTGAAGTGTGGCCATCCAAATGAAAGCTATTGAGTAGTTCTTTCAGTGAAAGTTGTTGTGATTCTTCTTTAAATTTGATTTTGATGTTTGCCCAAGTTCAAGTGTCATTTGTCTCGCTACCACAGTCAGTACAAGTGTTACCAGACCTCGATGCAGGGGTCACTGATACACACAGGAAAATAAACTTCATCAAAAGCGAATGTTTATTACAATCAATAGAGCTATAACACATTGAACCAAAATATTGTTAAATGCAGAACAATTTCACAATAACTTTTCAGTAAAGGTTGAAACGATATTTTAACGATTCAATGATTCGTTAAATACAGGCACCAGCTACTTCTATCCAAATATATATTGAGCCAAGAAAGAAGACAGTAAAAAGAAAATTTAAGCTAATACATAAAACTTTGAGCCGATCTTTTAGGGTTTGGGCTATTTTTTGGAATGTTTTTGAAGACGAAATATGTTTTGAAGAATTCTCCCGAGTCGAAAAATGATGTGATGGTTCATTGCACAATTCAGACGGGTACCAAAAGAATATCTGATTGTTTTAAGGCAACAACCAGTTGCCTAAAAACAAAGAAAGCGTTTACTTTTCTTGCATTTCTAGATCAAAAGCAAACAAGTCACAATTCGAAAATACAAATGAAAAATCAAAGAGCACATGAGATAGAAAAAAGGCGGGAATATTGCTTAGCGTAAAAAGGCTATTACAAGTGTGCTGCGCGCGAGTTGGAAAAATTTTCATTTCGACGTTATGACGTAGATTACTTCATGGTTATGTCATTGAGACTGGTAAAGGCGTTCATAGGTGCCCTATGAAGTCAACCAAAGCTATTAATAACTTATAATCTTTCTTCAAATCCGGTGATCCCTTGTCATAGCCAGCCAATCAGGTTGCGTCTTATCGGCTGAAACCTGTGGCTGGTTCAATCGTCGACATAATTAATAAGATCCTCTATTGGCGAGAGTTTCTCAGCGTGTTCAGTAGATCGTTTTTGAGCTCCTAGAAGGTAAGTTCAACAGATGGTTTTAATGTAACGCTATTATCCAAAGGACGAACAAATCGTGTTTAAGTAGTTCTACGTTCTTGTGCAAGGCGTCAAGTAACAGCGTCAAATTTACGAACGTCTTGGTAGAAAGGCATTTAATACTACTAAGTTCATTTCTTTGTAAAGTGACACCACTGACTCTAAATTTCATTTAAAGAAACGTTTTACAAAGATAGCTTTTTATATTCTTGTGTTTTTAACGTATTTTGTTTTCTTCTGTTAAGTACCAGAAATGGCCCGATTGGCAATCTTCCTCTTAGCCGCTGTTGTGTGCGTTAGCGCAAAATCTTTCAAAGGTACGTACGTATTCCCAAATATCTTTATTTTCTGTTCAGGATTTAAGATGTTCCTGAATAGTGATTATCGCAAAGGATTGAAGTGATCTGGAGCGAAATCTCATCGTGAATATCCGTTTGAATTATTTCAGTTAATATTTCACGGTTGAATTAACACAGTTTCACAATTTTTGTTTCTGATTTCGAGGGGGTTGAAAAAGTGTATCCATGTTTTATGGCGTTTTTTGGTGGGTTCTAAGTTCACGGTATTTATTCATACGACATAAGGGAGAAATCGACCGATTTCATAACGATGTTTCCTTAACCGTTTCATTCAAGCTGCCATTTTTTTTTTCAAAAAAATAATAATGCTAAAGTATAGGTGATTTTGGCAATAATTTGTTCATGCACAGAGAGTAAGATCTAAAGTTCAGTAGGTTGAGATACTTTAGAGTATTCCTTGTTTAAAAACATACACTTCCATTCTTATAATTGCCACTTTTGTTATACACTTGCTGTTTATTGGTAACTATATAGAGACAACAAACTCTCTTTCTCGCTTCAAATGAATTGGTTAAATCATGACTTTCACGTTTTGGAATTTCTATTTGCATTACCTTCAGACGCCATTTCACAGCGTCAGTTACCACATAAAAGGCAAACATATAAACGCAAAATTTGCAACTCGTAAAACACTTTAAAAAATCGATGTTGATTTGTACATTGTATGACAGTAAAGTTTATTACTGCTCCATCATTAACGAAGTCATTATATTTGTTTACAGAAAAGAGAGGCGCCATTCCGTGTGGATACAGCTGCACTGCTCCAATGTGTGCACCAACCTGCCCAACCTACTGCTGCGCTCCTCCCCCACCCCCACCCCAACAGATCCACCATACCACCAACATCCACCATCACCACATCCATCACCAGGCACCTCAGATGCCAGCTCCACCAGCTATGCCAGCTGTAGCTCCTCCTCCGGCCACTGTTCACAGCCAACAGCACGTCTGGGAATATGTTCCACCTCCACCACCATGCCCCTGCCCCATGCCTGCTCCACCACCAATCGTGGTTCCTGCACCACCCCCACCTTGCCCACCCCCATGCTATCCCTCAGCCCCTGTGTGCGCACCATCCTGCCCACCTATGTGCTGCAAGAAACGATCAGGATAAGGCTATAGCCATGTACATACAAGAACACTGTGATAGAAATGAAGATGCTGGGTTTGGGGCTGTTTTGTGGTGTTTCTTTATGATATCGTCGGCGAACACTGCTACCACTCCAAGAAAACGACCGAAGAAAAATATTAAGCCGTAATATTGACATCTATGTACGGACGTTTTTGTAGAATATTTTCGCGTTCTAGTGATCTATTTATGTGTAATAGCTTCTTTTGTTCCCGTCGGAATACAATTAATTCAATAAATTATTGTTAATGAGAAAAATATTAGTGTGTTTGATTTGTCTACATACGTGAACTAAATGGGATTGAAGACTGAGAAATATGTAGTGCGTTTCACTTCAAATAACATTATGACATTCCTTTGAAGACACCTTCTTGACGTATTTCCCCGTTATCTTGATATTTTCAATGATCTAGACTAAATATCAGCCAAACGTTTGATACAAAAACTTATGCTTAATTTTTACTTCACTGTTTTATTATGTTCATTTTTGTCGTATGCCTCAGAACAAGCCAGCAAACGACTTAAATGACATTTTTTTCTGGACTCAAGAAACGCAAATCGACTCGAAGTGCTTAAATTTGTCCATACAAGTCTAATTTCTGAAATTGGGAGTTTCAAGCCACGAAACAACAAATCAATATTTTGGCGCTGTTATAAAGCTTTCTTTCAAGTCTTTTAAGGTATACCAGTTTGAGAGATTAAATTACATTTCAAGCTGAAATGGAATAGAGATTCTCTACCAATAATCAGCAGAATAGATCGAAGATTAGGCCGTTTTATTGGTGACTGTAAGTTTAAATGTCGTGAAAAAATGCCTTTGGAATACCTGGTTTATGTGAAAAATTCAAAGAGCAAAATGAACTTTTTCTCGTAGAATAATGCAAAGTGAATATTGGTGGTATAACAAACGCTAGTTCATTCCTGTAATGAATCCTATGTAGACCCGTAGGTAACGACTATAGTGGAAACATTCGCCCATAACATTGCTGTGAATCATCCGTTAAGGAAGATTTTTTTCACTGAAATTTTTATTACTTTTTTCTTCCCCGGTAGGCCATTTTTGATACTGACATTGGTTTGAGCAGCTTGCTATCTTCATGGGGTACAATTATATTCTGTAATCTGTTCTGTTACCTTATAATTCCTCACTTACTATTAATCGGCAACTATAAATGAAATAATTGCTTTTTATTCACAGAACCAGAGCATCAATTCCCTTCAGTAGTTGTTTTATTAAAGCCCCATCAAAAAGTCGCAAGGTCTGATAAGCATATTTCCTCTGTAGGATCCCGTTGTTTAAAATAAGGGTAAGTCGCACTGTTATATTCAAGCGGTGTAATTATGACTGAAGCGTAACAATGGGTCAAATACAGTACATATAGTGTGTCTGTGTTTTAAGAGCGGAGTTTTCTTCAGTTCTGCTTAAAGGTTCAGAAAATAGGTACTCACAATCCTACGGGTTGTTTTAATCTCTTCAATGAAACACCATGCAAGTTGACAGAAAACTATTATGAAAGACTTAAATATGGGCATTTTGGCGCAAGACCAGTGTTCTTGGGGCAGTCCACCAGTAGAGCGTAAAAAATTAATCGCTGACCGTGTCAACAATCAAGTCGTGTCAAAGACCAAGACCACTAAATTACGTCGCTGGAAAGGACTGTGGGATCATGCATGACTAAGCAAGAAAGAGCCAATCAAAGAAGACAAGCAAAGCGGGTAGCGGACACGATTAACGCATCACAACGAATTCCATTTAAAGCAAAGTAGCAATTTCCTGATTGTGTTGCCCGAGGATTCAGGGATTTTAGGTTTTCCTGAGAGAACGGTATGTTCCTTTTTTTGTTATAGAAATTTTGTATAATCAGATTCAGATTGTCTATATAGTTAGCTGTCCGTAGAGTAAACAAATTTGCCGACCAACAAATTTTTATTTGATCTCTGGTTTTATAAGTTGATCGTTAGACGACGCCTCGTTAGCTTAGCAATATCTATGAAACAAACTTGGGTAGTAAGCTTCGTTAATTTTTTTTCGAACTTTTTAAAGCATGTCACCTGATCTTTGTATATAGCCATTGCATAGATTCTAGGTGAACAGTTGTTATGAAAACTTTATTCTTTGCCCAAGGTTGTTTCGGAAACCGTTTCAAATTTCAAAAATTACATACATAAGAGCATTTTTGAAGAAACTGAGAGATTTTCAACACATAGTACAAATCTGTTTTTACCTGTGCTTTGATGTGGTGGTTGTTCGATTGTTTTCATAATATGTAATAGTATTTTCTTTTTGTTCCAGGCAGCATGGATAAGCGCGTTTTTCTTTTCCTAATTGTGCTGGTAGCCTTCTCTGTTGAGGCCAAGAAGAAAATTCCAAAAAAGAAACTTAATCAACTGAAAGGTAAAATATTAGGAGAACGCTACACAGTTAGTGCGATTATCCTATTTATGAAGTGCAATAATTTATGGCTGACACTGGCATGTACTGGCGTGTTCGCTAGAGCGATTCAGCACGAGTTCAAAGATGAAAAGTAGAATGAGAAATGTAAAAGCTGATAATATTCAAACTTATAAAAAGTATAACAGTCTTCCTATCTTTTAAAGGACTTTTGAGGCAGCGGTAAGAAAGTTTAGTGAATTGTTCTTCAGGTAGCTATGCGTTGCTTTATTTTTTCATAGTAATGCAACGATTAAAAACCTTCAAAATTTGTCTAAAATATATCTTTCATCAGAACTAAACAGACAGACCCTTGCACAACGAATATCCATCGACACCGTTAGGATTATTGCCATGAAATACAACGTTGCAAGTTCGCAAAATTTTGATGGGGGGTAAAAACGTGCCCCCCTACCAAACTGAACATCTTCAAAATTTGGCGAATTTGTTGAGCTACATGTTCGTTAGATTTTAATAAATCACTCTGAGACTTGGCAGATTTACTATTATTAACGCGTACTTTCCAGAGGTGTCGATAAATTTTCGCCTAGTTGTCCTTACCAAAACTTAAAAATAAGAATCATGAAGGGTCGTCTATTATCATAAATGTCATTTTACCACTGAGTACCAGCAGGTTTCTCCACCCGTCGAGAAACAAAAGCAGATAAAGACGGGTGTAACAAAAGCGTTTTTACTTTCTTAGTTGTTAGAGAAAATAATTCAGTAAATGAACTGCAACCCTTTCATTTCTTTTGACTTTTTATGATTTGAACCTAGCTGAGTATTATTTGGTTGTTAAAATACACAGTTAATGGCTGTGTAAGAGTAAGGGTAGAGTGACAGGATGCCATCTGGTTTCCCAATGTGGTATTACTATAAACAAGAGAGAATTATCAGGAGATAAGGAGGAAAATGCTCGGTCTAAATCCCGTATAGCTTTGCTGTTTCTCTTGTGTACGACGTAGCGTACCCGGTCACGGCTAGAGGGGTACGCGTAATTTTAAACACGTACAATTTAGTAGTTATTTTAAGTAGATAAATGGTTTTCTGGCCTGGTTCTAAGCCTTCCTGCAACTGTTGAGAGCAAACAATATTTAGATATCAGAGTGTGTCAAATGAAAACGGCCTAGAACACAGTTTTCCTTAGCGCTGTCTGAACTATTGTTTGAACAACCTTCCCTCAAACTCACAACTGGTAGGATAATCCTCCTGCACTCTTTTGAGGTTCGATAATAATAAATCAGTTTGTTTTCAAATTTTAAGCGTTGGTTCAAAACTTTACTTTCTTACTTTACGCAAAGTGATAACAATATAATAATAATTTTGTGGTTTTATTTGCCCATCTTAGGAGCTAAGAAGTGCGGTTACGGATGCCCAACCACCTGCCCCTGTCAACCAACCTGCTGTGCACCGCCACCACCACCACCACCACCTCCAGTATGCTGCCCTCCCCCTCCTCCACCTCCACCCCCTCCAATCCAGACATCTAGCCAGTCAACTCTATATCACCATCACTTCCATCCAGCACCTCCTCCCCCTCCTCCTCCCCCGCCAGCTCCCTGCCCACCACCTTGCCACTTCGGCCACACCTTACATCACCACGTGTACCACCAAAGCCCACCAGGCCCTCCTCCTGCCCCTATGCCGTCACCTCCTCCTTACTCCACTCAATCTCATCAACACGTTTTTATCCATCACACGCACCCCGCACCACCACCTCCACCACCACCACCGCCGGCGCCCTGCCCACCACCCTGTCATTCTGTCCAGACAGTTCACGTAGCTCAACACCACTTCCCACCACCTCCCTGTCCTCCACCATGCCCACCTCCTCCTCCTCCCTGTCCTCCTCCATGCCCAGTAACTTGTGCCCCGCCCTGCAATGTTTGCTGTAAGAAGGCCAAAGTACAAAAGGACAAGAAAAAGCAGGACGACAAAGAAGAGAAGAAAGAAGAGTAAACCAAACCTGAGCGATTGGCTGTTTACGGCGCTCGATGTTTTAAGACAAGTTGTGAACAAGGATTCCCAGCGTTCAAGTTTCCGAATGTTAGGACTACGACATAACTCGTTTTAAAGTTAGAAAAACGACTATTCCAGTTGTCAAAGTGCTCGAACTGAATATATCTTTGTAAATAAGGATTGCATCGTTGCGATGAAAAGGACCTAAACTGCTAGTTCAAAAATGGGATTCGAGCTTTTGTGATCGTTTAGTACAGATGAGCTGTGTTTTGCAGCTTGGTCATATTTAAATCTCCATGTTATGTTGTCAATTAAAATCTGTGTTAAAAAACATCATGTTCGTAACTGATTTCCATTTTATTACCTAACGCAATTTTTTTAAAACCATTTCCAAGATGAGTTTCTTGAAGTGCAGTTTCAAACTTGTTTCGTTTGCCCTATCAACAACCCGGAACGGCGGGTTGTATTCCTGCCAGTATATGTATTCCCAACACTAGAACTCAGGAGCCCATCACTCATAGGTTCCTGTATAGAATTATATTCAACAATACTGTGCAGGAAACTGGCGCCCTCTGCGGGGACACTCCCTTTAGAAACATCTCAAAAAACGGACAAAAATACCAAAGTGTAGGCGGATCTTGTTAAAATCCAGGATCAGTAAAATTCTTATGTCATGCGGTAAATAAAATGGTAGAGATTTTTCGAGTTGTGTATATACAAAAGCATAGGAAATAAAACTAACTTTAGGTTTACAGTCAAACCTTCCGTAAGCGACCACCCAAAAAGCGAGCATTTAGTGGTCCCTTACTGGACGTGGTCGCTTACAAGAATCGAGCTACAAGGGGTCCGTTCCAAAAAGAGGTCGAAACACATCTACATTTTGGAAGATAATTTATTGCATGCAATTTGACGATATGCGCAGTTTAACGTTGTCAGCTAAAATCACATCGCATTCTCTTAGTATTGTAGAACGTACACCGAACATAGAGGTTGAACTATGCCCCAGGTGGTTGTTTATAGGGGGGATAAAAACACTGAAAAATTGCAAAGCCCTCGTCCAAAAAAGGTGATCGCGGTCACCTACGAGGGGAGGTCGTTTGTGGGAAATTCCGGCTGTAGTAATTTGACTGGGAACATTTCAGTGTTTTAGATAGGTGGTCGCTTATCAGGGGTTATTGTGCATAGAGGTCCGACTGTATTTAAAAAGGGTATGCTAAAATAACTCGATAAAACGCACCTCTTGGTGATTGAAGAGTAAAAAGACGAGTTGTTTAGTTACTAACTATCACGCCTCTTCACCATGTAATTTATGAGAGGGGTAACAGTTCTGTTTGCCTTGCTCCAAATAAATTGGCCTTGGGACTCCCACTATTGAACTATCCTAGCGTGTTTCGATTGTAGGGTCTTTCACTGAATCTGTAGTCGGTCAGGTATTGTCCCGTATGTGAGTATTTAATGTTGTGTCTTAGAGCCTGCGTCATTAGGGATTAAGCGACGGCCACGGCGACGGCAACGAGAACGGCAAAAAGGCAACAGGTTTATATTAGCAAAACAACAATTTTGCACGTGCATCACGCTTCTTTATACATTTTTTAGCCGTTGCACGACTACGACGTGAGAGTGCCAAATTTAACGTTTTGTCGAGGAAGGGAACAAAAGACAACAACTTTCTTTTTCTTTTCCTGAACTTTGAAAAAGTCCATTAGAATTCACCTCCTAAAAAATTTGGCAATATTTGACGAATTAAACGAGATGGATTAAGCGCGATAAAGTTTTAGGCAGGGCCAACTCACTTTTTTAAGCGACGTTTTCGTGGCAGTCGCCCTCGTTGTTGCTTAAGCTCCCTATTTTCTTGGCGGGAAAACCGTCGTCATTCTATTACGGGATTTAGCGAAAATGTCCTAGTGGCGGGAACAAGTTATCAAATGTGAGAAGTTTTATCATTTTGCGATGGGAAGAGGGCTTAACCTCCTTCAGTATAAATAACCGCACTAACTTTTTTGGTGTAAAAAAAAAGAAAATGAAACTTTCTGGAGTGTATATTTTTGGAGAACACGCCCAAAATCTTTAATTTAAATGTCGCACTCGTATGGCCTACTAAGTCAAACCCCATTAATACGGACACTGAGGGAGCAGTAGAAAGTCTATTTATTAATAGGGTGTCCGTATTGAGTGGGTCCATGTTTTTTTAGGTCAAAATTACACTCTTTACTTAAACAAAATTCTAAAGAAATAAAACAGGACATTAGCAACACGAAATTAAACATCTCTGTTATTATGACAGTATTATTACTCATTCAAAATAGTTCGCCGTTTCTGATTGGCCTAAATCTCACGTACAATTCATGATTAGCAGCTATTCTAAGCTCACTTTCTTCCGGCAATAGTGGTTCTTGTTTGGGTCAAATGTTGATTTGTATAGACAACATAATTGCTCTTACTTGCTATGGGAGTTCAACCTCAATTCATTTCGCCTCGATGCTAGCTCACAGCTGCTTATCCGAAAATACATCATAAATATTGACGTGACATGGTTAGTACTATGAGCATGAGAATATGTATCCCCACTTTTGAAAACTCCTATCCTTGCTAAACCTCTGAGAATGTGTTGAAAGAATGGTGAGATTAGAGTCCAAAGGCGCCCCAACACTGCTTGCCCTTGCTGGAACAGTATCGCAAAAAATTCAAAACGGAAAAGAGAAGAAAAAGAGAAAACTTTAATTCGTATTTTATTTCTTCTAGTAACCACTTTCATTAAAAGCTAAAGATCGCTTTTGTTCAGTTTTCAATGCCTTCAAATTAGAGGCACCAAAGTCAACGATAGTAACGAATCACCAAAAAATAAGTTGTAGTGCCTCCTTAGTGTCATGAAAACTGAATTGAGAATCACAATTATTTCAAAAAAGATAATTTAAAAAGGCACGCGGAAAAATTTGATCGATGTGGTGGTAGTTCTTCCTAAAAGAAGTACCCGATACTTCATAATTATATCTAAGATGGCGTGAAAGGTAAGTTTATTTTCAGTGTTAAATATTTTTTGTTTATTTTCACTCCTAGGCCTAAGTGCTCAAAAACAAATACCTATAAATGATACAACAAATTTGTATAATAAACTGCAATTGCATCGTGGTAAACAGGCATTATTTCGCCCGAAATGAAGCCTCGATTTTGTCACAAACAAAACGCTTGTCCAGTATATTTACACTATTTTTCAACATATTCCAGTATACTTAAAGAATCTTGAAGCAGAATTCAAGAATGGACCTTTTTAGCTTCTGCCCTTTTTGATTCTTTCGTTGTGGGTTTGTCACCAAGTCTCCTTTCCTTATCAGTTCATGTTTTCTCAGTCTAAAATGTGGCACCACCCTAGTTTTCCGCATTACGCTTCTTCTTGTCACAGCATTCAGGCTTGCAAGATGGTGCGCATGATCGGGCGCATGGAGGTGGGCATTGAGGTGGCATTGCAGGCATGATAGGCTGAGGAGGAGGAGGAGGCATGAACATTGGAGGCTGTGGTGGCATCATCATTGGTGGAGGTGGTCCCTGACAGCACGTAGGGGCACATGAGGGTTGGCATTGAGGCATCATTGGAGGCTGCATCGGGGGCTGCATCGGGGGCTGCATCGGGGGCTGCATCGGGGGCTGCATCGGAGGCATGGGTGGCGGCAGAGGTGGGAGTGGCTGTGGGTTACAGCATTTTGGAGTACACGCTGGATAACAAGCTTTGGGGCAGTTTGCTGGGCATGGAGGTGGTGGCTGGACAGGAGGAGGAGCGGGTGCCACGACTGGAGGGGGAGGAGGCATTATTACTGGCGGTGGGGGAGGAGGGGAACAACAGCCAGCCTGCTGGCATTGAGCGGGGCATGGAGTAGCTTGAACTGGTGACACCTGAGGCATCCCTCCTCCTGGAGAAATGGTGGTTGTCCAGCGCAAGCAGATTGGTGGACACTGCTGAGGAGGAGAAGCCAGGCCGGGCATTCCGGGTGCTCCTGGAGGTCCCATTGGACCCATAGGGCCCATTGGTCCCATAAAGCCTGGTGTTCCACGACAACCTGGTGTTCCGGGGGGTCCCATGCAGCCTGGTTGTCCTGGGGGTCCAGGCATTGGCATTGGGGGAGGAGGAGGAGGTGGAGCGCAACATGATGGCTGACATTGAGGAGCACAGGAAGGAGCGCAATCTGCCCCACATGGACTCCCTGTAGAATCAGAAAAAAATTTTCGGATCAGTATATGATTTTCGAAAATTGCTTACATAGCCCAGCATTTTACCCTCAGTGAGAAGTTATTGTTGACAGCGGTTAAAGAAAATGGTACTTTCTTTTAATTAAAAAGAGAGAGAGACAGAGAGAGAAAGAAAACAGTTACTGAAACCGCTGACATTTTCCAATAGTACTTAATTCTGCTGAGATCAAGACTTCCTCAAACCAATAAAGTACTGACCATACCCACCAGTTTATCTAAATCTTCCAAATTGAACAAAAGTCTATTAGCTAAGCATGATGCAGTGTATGTTGTATAATCAATAGTTGCTTACTTTTTGCTCTGAGTTCCTTGACCTTCTTAGGAACTACAAATAAATGAAAAAAAGGATAATTAGGTCTTGTTGGGCATAAAGTACTGTTAAAAGAAATTACACAAATGGTTTCTTTGTGAATAGTAGTATTGTCTGATGAATAGGTTACAAGGAGGCTCAAATACCAAAATATCCTTCCAAAATAAAAAGCAAAAGGCGAAAAGCAGAAAGGAGTTAATGGATATTCACTGGGTATATATAGAAAGAATCAACAAATATTAGCGCCATTTATACGAGGAAAATATCGGAAGAATTGCGAATTGGGCAAACAGCTCTTATAATAAATGTCCATCGTTTTGCTCACATCTTATTTCTGGTTCCTGACCTCTTTCTCACGTGACTGTTGCCAATAGCTACGTCGGCAATCAAACCAATGGTTTGGTTTCAAAGCAACAAGGATATACTGCGAACCTTCGCAGAGGAAGCA